AACTCAGTTCTAATTGTTAATCATCTGACAATATCATCTATAAGTTTTATTTAATGAATCAGGCAGACAAATTTGTAAACAAAACTGTTTTTTATATATATTTAAAACTCTAAAAATGGACAAAAACACAATTTCGTGCATAAGTATCGCATTACCTAATTCAACTGTAAGAAGTACATTATTGATAAGCTAAATAGTCCACAAATTAACAGTTCAAAGGAAATATACTTTTCACAATACTCTAAGCGAGATTTCTTCTAGAAATAGGGGTTGTTAAAATCGCGTGGAACTTTTCATTAGGGCTCAGATCCATAACGTGATGGGAGGAAGTTCACCAGTTTTGCAACTCAGCAAAATATAAAACAGGACAGTAGGAAATAGAAAAATTATATTTTTTTCCCCATTACTCATAAAGGGAAATGAGGTATCGATTTCAAACAATTATTTTCGGTGATTCGATTTGGAAGTATTTCATTAAAATATTGAACTAATCCCGACATTTATTTCAATGGGACTTAGTTGGGGAGAATAAAAAATATTTCTTTAAAAATTCATAGTTTTAAATAGCTAAACGCGAATCATAATTTGCTATTTAAAAAAAAAATACTTGGCCTACATTACTGGAAGTGTATTTTGATTATTTCTTATACATTTCAACCCATTTAATACTATCAGCCAGGTCTTAGATATTCGGCGTCTCTGAATAATGACGACATCTCTAAAAAAACAAATTAATTTATTTCTTAAATTGTTTTGTATTAAGTAATATTTGAATTTGATTTCATGCAATATGTCTCAAATTCAGTTGCTTTATTAATAGGCTAAAATTAATTATTCTCATACGCTCATTTGTAACTTTTTTTTGCTTATTCCTAACTAAGGATTGCTGTCATAATAAGCATTGCTATCAGCAACATTTCATTCTTATTAAAAAAAAAAATTAATCAGTTGGTATATTATTATATCAAAATCAATGCAGAGCGAATAAACAAAAACAATAATCAAAAAAACATTTTATAATGATTTTCTCCCTCGGTTCCAACTTAATTCCCATTGGAAGAAATTCCAGATTCCAATATATATTTTTCGATGTAGGACCACATAACAAAATGTGGTTGAAATCACTGACCTACTGACTGTGACCTGCTCTTGTCAGTTTAACATATACTCCCTGGCACAGACCCCTTTTCATCAAATTATTAATATCTACCTTAAACCTCGTAAATAGCTTCATGTCATCGTAACGTACTATTTTATTTACGGAAATTCTCGGAATTGAGGCGTTTTCAATCTGGAGATCGACAAACTTTGTCTATTTAACTAGGTACTAAAAACTCGTTAATATTCATTTGCTTACTAGTTGAATCGTAAGATAATTTGAGAATGAAATCGAGAAAAAAGGTGGCCTTCAAGAATATTAGACCGTTTGGCGTGACTTCCACCCTCAACAGCGGGCCAAACAGTCCAATATTTTTGTAGGTCGCCTCTTTTATCGATTTTGTGTTACTGTTTGGTATATAATTAATTAAATAAATCCACAAAGAGAAAACTCTACTGACACAAAAAAAAATTCACACAACTTTCCGCTCTACTTTGAATAGAAATTATATTCTGGCAATGTTGGGCATTATAAAATTTTTGAAGTGCATTTTAAATAGAGCTAAAGCTTAAAGTTTACAGATAATAAATCATTAAGACTATTAAAATTACAAAAAATCTATTTATTATATCATAAATAGATATATAAAAGATATAAAATAAGAATCTAGTTAATCCATCTGCTTTTGTAACTATCAGTCTCTGAGCCTTTCAGTTGACAGAATGACTAATTACAATTTCAACATTTTTGAGTAATATCATTTTAGTGATATTTCTAGTTGGAAAAGATATATCTATACAGACAGTGAATAAGTTGATTCCAGAGTAAGTGCTTTGCAGTGCTGAAATATAGAACTGTGAATAAAGATATAAATTTTGACACTAGAAACATCACTAAAATTAATAATAAAGAATGTTGAAATTGGAGTTAGTCATTCTGTCAACCGAAAGGCTCATATATGCCTAGATAGATTTATAACTACATCTGAATATTTAACCTATAAATGATTATCGATTGTAGGACTATTAGTTATTAAACTATTGCATTGTAATGTTTACTAAAATGATATTACGAAATTTTCATTCCCTGTCATGGTTAGGTCAAAGATTGTCACACTAATTGTAAGTGGATAATGTTTGGATTTCACAATGGGAAAATTTATCAAATTACTCACTAATTTAATTTTAAGGTTACTTCATGATTTTTTGGAACAGCCAATAGATACTTGATTATTTAAATATACCATCTCTAGAGTTATTAAACTACTGTAAATATATTTAAGGTTATAAACATACCCATGAAATACTTTTATACTTTACTTTATTTTGAAAAAAAATTTAAATTAAGACAATTTCATTTAATTTCCCAGGAAACATGTGATTTAGATTAAATAATGTAAGTTTTCGGAAATTATTATTTATATTTTTTCGTCACTCTCCGTTACCTTACAACTTTATTTATACAACTTTATTTATCTGATTTTTTTCTCTGAAAATCTGTGCTTTTCAACGATATATTATACCTATACGTTCTGACTGTTATTTCCGGAGATTCATTTTCAACCTAGATAAGCATTTTTATATTTTTCTTCAGTTTGCAATTATCATATTCGTTCAAACTTCATATTCAGCCATTTTTATAGTTACGGTCAATAAAAGAGAGTTCATATTTTTAAATAATCCATATTGAAGGTACTTTAGAGGAAAACGTATATGAACATCGGGCATTTAAGCACTGTAAAGTGACATCAATGGGGATAAGACCTGAATGGTATTAAAGACCACTTAATTATAAAATAATACACCGAATTTAATCAAAATCGTTAGAGCTGTTTTTCACGAAAAAGTTGCTGCCGCATCAGAACTCTATACATCCTTAAATACAATTTAAGTTCCGTACGACTTTTCGTTTTTGAGCTAGACTGTTCACATATACACAAACCATTTTGCGGGATCGAAATGTGTATTTCCGTTAAAAACTCCATTAAGATTCCAAAAATTCACGATCGCAATACTTTTCCTTGCTATATATTACATATATAGGCAATCGAAAGTAAAAATTGACTTTACTCCTACTCATATGTTTTATAAGAGAAAATGCCCTTTATACATCGACTATAATTTGTGGGCGTTTATATGAGCTTAAAATATTTTAAACAAAATCCAAATCAGAATTTTTCTATTTAAAATATGGTTGTAATTTAATAACATTTTATAACAGTTATTTATTTATTTTGAACACGGCTTTAAATTGTTTATAAAATAAAATATATTTTTTTTTGTTTTTAAGGTTTTTCTGTTTGCTTAATAAGATGGATTTGTAATATTTTCTTTAATTTGGCGGAACTTGGTTATTTGGACTCAGGGGATCTCAAAGCGTGTATTTCCGTTGAAAACTCAGATTTTCATGATCGCAATACTTTCCTTAATATATAAAACATAAATAGGTAAGTGAAAGTAAATGTTTTTAGTTTGGGACGAAATAAATACGTACGAATTTTGTTTTTTGTGCTAGGCTATTCACACACATATACCCAGGCCAGTTTGCGAAACTTTTTATTTTTTTTTTTACTCAGAGTCTCAAAGCAGTTATTTCCGTTGAAAGGTCGGGATTCGATATTTTTCACGATCCCAATACTTTCTCTAAATATTTCAATTGTAGTTAAGTGAAGTAAAAATATCTCCTACTGTGGGATTTCCTATGTAAATAGGACCAATAGTTCACCGCCCCCTCCTACCCTTTGCGATTCCAATGCATACAGTACAGCCTTTCCGGAAATTTATGGCAGTGAGCATTTCTTCCTTGTATAGATGAAATTTAGGTATCTATGAGATAACTAAATTTCAACTATATCTACGAGATATGAGTGATGTCTTATCTAGGGGGGAGGCGAGTTAGTTTCAGGCTATTGCCTCTGCCTACCAAAATGGATTTTTTTTTCATTTATCAATATTTATTACTGTGAATGATCTAAGCTAAATATTTAAACAATCCCAATACGTTCTAGTTTTTTAATTATAATGCATATACGACTACTAAATATAACCATCCCATTACTACTAACGTTTATTTTTCGCTTTATTTATTTTATTCACATTGATTAAATTTATATAAATTAATTCATATTGGTTTAATTAATATGTTTAAACGTTTTTCGTGATAAATAAAATTACTAATTTTGTTCTATATAGTTTACACATTTGTAATTGGTTTAATTAAAAATATACCACACATCTTTTGACTTAGGACTTCGCTACTGATAAAATGAGTAAAAATGAAAGTGAGAAAGGTGTAATTGAAGACAAACTATTTACATGAATGTCCTTGTTTCGAAGAAATAAGACAGGTTATTTCTTAAGGCGAGACTAATTTCTCGAAATTGGCAAAACTTTAACATGGTGAGAAAGCCAAAATAATGAATAAATTTGTAACATAAATAAATAAAATACACCCTAGTATTAAGCGTACTACATACTTTAGTTGAAATAAAATTAACTAACTTGAAATTTTCAATTTTGACTTATATTTAGGCAACAGTACCATCGGGCTCTGTAGTCCTTGGCCGAAAAAACTTTGTACGTTTTACTGGCTTGCTAATCCAAAAAAAACCTCTTATCACTCGCAAAATTAACAAATAAAAGAAAAATCATTTTTCGGATAAGAAAAGATAACGGTAATGCAACCAAGGAAAGTATCAAGGAAGTTTTCAAAAGTAATTAAAAGAACAAATTTGTATATTCGACCACGATAACAACCAATATTTGATTCATTACTTATATATAATATATAGGTCCATAAACATACAAAATAAAAAGATGAAGCATTCATTTTAGGATTTTATTTCAATTTCTAGGACCAAGTCAATGTTATGTATAAATTATTAAATAATAAAAAAAATGTGCTCGAATGTATCCAATCGCAATGCAGGAAGATATCAATAGGATATGCGCTTGGGCAACTCTATAAATGCTGATAAGACCAAAGCAATCCTGATCTGATCCCCCTCACTCATCAAATCCATTAGCGTACCTTCCAATCTTCTACTGGACAACTTACCTATCTCCTTGCACACTACCATTAAAAATTTTGATGTTATCTTAAATGAAACCCTTTCCTGGAAGCCACACTATCTCTACCCTAAAACAGTTCAACCATCTTCGCTACCTCCTTCCATATAATCCCCTCAACTCCTAGTTTTCTCTCTCGTTTTCTTTGACTATGCCTGTATGGTGTACAGTGGACTTTCAGAAGAATTCGAAACCAAACTTAAACGCCTGATGAATTGCTCAATACGTTTTGTTTTCAGAATCTTGAGATAGGCATATTACACCCAGTTGAATTGGCTCTATCTGTCCCACTGCCATCAGTACTTCCTTACTACCTTCCTGTGCCAGGTTATTAGGTCTCAGTGACCCTCCTATATTCTACAGAGATTATAATTTAAATCCTCCATTCAATCCCCAAGTCCAACCTCTATCCTCCTCCTCCAACTGCTTTATTTGAGAAATCCTTTGTAATTCAAAACATCTCCCTCTGTAATTATATCCCTCCTGATATTCAAATCTCTTCTCTTTAAGCACCCAATCAACTTGATCATGAAATGTATGCAAGACTCTCCAGATACTATTTATTTATTTTATTTTTATTAATTTCTCTTTATTACCTATATTTTTAACTATGGAAACTAATATCTTTATTTTTAATTTGTTCTAAAGGGACCCTAGTCCCAGAATAATAAGGTATTTTCCTTTCATTTAATTTATTTAAATATGTTATTGAATTACTTTATATATTTCCCATGTTCTTTTAGGTTTTTTGCACCAGTTCCCATGGAAACCCGATCACTTTTATTTAATATTTCTAATTATTCTAATACTATAATTATAGACCCTTCTTGATACACCCTTCAAAGATAAAACAAATATATTTTTATATTGGACTTTCAACCAAAAAAGGAAGGAAACTCATTTTGAGTGCACTTACTATACACTACCACTGGTACTTGAGGAATAATGAGGTGGTCCAAGGTTATGACACCATATGTAAAGTAGCCCGGTCAATAGTTATTACCTATAATATAAAACAATTATTACTTGTGTGGCTTGTTGAAAAGCCAATGGAACTCTGATTCTCTTCATAAAATACTGGATTGAGGCAGAAGCTGGTACCTTGCGATCATTAGTCCACGATTTAGATAATTAACAACTTTTTATTTTTATATTCTCATCCATAGATTTTTGACAGAATGTTCAGAAGGCTGTCAAGAAAAGTAAGCAGATAAAAAAAAGTATGGTTGGATTACCAATGAAAAGTAAACCGATTCTTTCAGTAAAAACTTTGTCATATCAGTAGTTATACTATTTCTATAAAGATTGTAGATACAGTTAGTTTATCGTGTGGATTAGAAAAAGGAGATTCAGAAACACCCATCATCATTTTGTCCAAAAATATTATTTACATTGCTGAGACAAAGAAGCGAAATATCAAGTCTGGTTTCAACACAAGTTTTGAAGATCAAGCAACTGTCTACAATATAATTTATAATATAGTTTTTCCATTCTGGAACAAAAATACCATATAATCCATGCGGCTGACAGTCAAAATGTCTTGGTTTTTTTTTTCCCCCATTACCCTCCCCCCTTACAATTTCAGGAGTCTCTAAACTATAGCCTGCAAGCACTTCCAGTCCGATTCGCCAGTTTCTTTGGTTACCCGGTAAAACTGTTTAAAAAATGTAAATTCAACAAATTTTACTCACACAAGAGGTAACTATAACATTTATTACATGTCATATTTCTCTTAGAAAGCTAATTTAACAACTGAGATGTCGTTTATAGAACAAGATCTTTTTATCATCACCAGTCATGTCCTGCGGGCAAAAAAGTTTGAAAACACCTGCTCTGAAGGTACAATCAAACCTATTCAAACCAGAGTGAGAAGGTAGAGATTCATCCCGTGGATCCGCCATAAAATAAATGTCAACCCGCCATATTGGATTCTAACGCGCCGATAGATTCGAAAATTTTAACATGATATTACTTTCTTAAGTTTTGGAAGGTGATTTGACTAATCATAATCACGCTTAACCGACATGTTTTTCTGCCAATTAAGGGACCGCAAAGAGGCAGAGTGCCCAAGACAGGTCTTGCGACCCCAAGGTCATTGTAATAGAATAAATAATTGCCTGCTGCAAATGCATAAATAAATAGCCACATTCAAACCTGAGCTACAGAGAATAGGCGTACACTCACTAATATATCCTGCTCTCTTATATTTTTTCAAATAAAATTATAATCAGGGACTGTTACGCAATACCAGAGTCTTCAATAATAAGATGAGCCCATTTTTAACAATATCTTTTAGCTCCTTATCATAATTTATTTATCTTAACATGTATATTAATATGAAAAAATCTTTTTCTTTAACTTCCTTGTTTTTGCATTCTTTTTTCGAACTCTGATTTCAGAACCAACACATCAATATTTTAATAGTAGCTCTGGTTAGTCAAATTTTACTTTTGGGTTAATACCTAAATGGTATTATCTTAACATATGATATATTTTTTTGAAGAGAAGATTGGTTGAGGTGTTTAGTAAAAAAATGTAAAAATAAATAAATTGTATTTATGAATATAAATATAAAAATAAATACAATTTACTTATTTTTACTGAACATCCCAACCAATCTTTTCTTCAATTATTCACTACAGTCAACCATCAATCCACGATTATGGATATATTTGTTTTAATAGAATAACTTCCTTGGGGTTAGAGCATTAGATCCTTTTAGATTTGTACTATTATACCTTCAGCAATGCTAAGGTCTTTAGTAGCCAAGGTTTAACTTAATGTTTTTTAAACTATATTTAAACAGACGGTGGCCAATGATGAGACCCATTAATGTTTCAATATGATCTTTGTCAGGTTTAGGTAAATTTTATAATTTATACAGCTTTTTCTCGAGAAAAATGGATTTCTATAGCGATATTTTATATTTGGAACACAGAAAGAGCCAAATTCGAAAATGAAACAATTGAGCATTGTGTTAATTTATCTATGAAAAACAAACAAAGACAATGTGATGCTGTATGTATCAAGAATGGATCGAGCAACAATGATAATTCAACAGAAATGGAATTTAATACTGAGAAATAGAAAATAAGAGAATATAGTCGATTCTGAAACAATCCAAACCTTTATCAATTTATCAAGAAAGCTAAATTTTACATAAACCTAACAAAAAAAAGGTTTAAACTAAGACTGATCTTCTGAAAGATAGATCACACTCCACTTAAAGATAATTTCTTATTTTGTTGTTAGAGGGAGAAAAAAAAAATAGAATAAAAAAAATAGTTCATTTCTTATATCGAAACATCATCTTCCTTCTTAAAGTTGTTAACTCCATCTTCAAGAAGCATAGTTTTAAAATATTTATAAAATATCCTGAACATATATTGTTCTTTGTTTGTGGGACAAATTCCTTCCATGAAGCCGATGTGTCCACCTCTTGATGTCACCGCAATACAAATATTATCCATTTTGTTAGCTACATCAAGTGGAATACCTGAAAAATGAAAAGAATCATCTGTAACTATGTAACTATATTCTTTGTTCTATATTCAATGGTTTCGTGACATAATGTATACAAAACTTTATTGTGGTCATTAAGTAACAAATCATAAAATAAATCAGTAAGACTTCGATCAATTTTCTCTCTGACATCAGAACATTCTGCATTTAATGCGATTATATTTGATACAAAAAAAAAAAAAGTGTGTGTCACTATTGTGTGTATTTTTTAAAACTACATCTTTGATAACTAAATAATAGTCTCTTACATTGTAGAAATCCAAGAAGTTGAAATAAATCAATATAATATTGTAGTATCCTTAAATAGGTAGTATTTTCTTAAGCTAAACCTCCGATATCATGATAATAGACTCTTATTTTGACGAAATCCGGAAAGTTGAAATAAATCAATACACTATAGCGCAATCTTAAAATCGATAGTATTTTTAAAAGCTAGACCTCTGAAAAATTCTTTGAAAAATTAAAATTCTTTGTTGAGTCTCCATAGAGACGCAACTGGTATCAATGCCGTTTGAAATATCTACAATTTTATTTCAATACTACATAGTTTATATCATAAAAATAATTTTTTAATAGTGTAAGCTATCCATACCTTCAACTGGTTGGAATGGATCATCAGCAGAATTTAGACAAAGCACAGGTAAAGTAACTTTGTGTATTTTGTCGTGGATGGTAGCATGATCGTAGTAATCATTGGCATCCTTATATCCGAACGCCCTTGCTGTGTAGTTATTATCCAAATCTCTAATAGTTTCGCACTGGAAAATATAAAAGTTTTACTATAAAAATAATATTAAAAATGTTATATTTAAATAGATGTATTCGTTACTTCACATTGTAAAAGGAATAATTCAAAGCAAAATATTATATTTGAGCTACTCAACTGCCAAATATAGATCTTTTTTTAAACTTAAATGTCCAGTTTAAAAAATTAAATATGTATAAATGCAAAACAACTATTTTAAATTTTCTATGATGCTAATTTTTTTAATGAGCGTAAATGAACATTTAGATTTGTATTTGCTAATTTTAAAGGATAAAAAAATTTCTTCTCAAGAAACCATTATTGACACAGCAAACTAAATAATTTACAAGAATATTCATAACTGAAAGAAGAGAACAAATACAAACATCACAACATTAGGGAGTCCTATATCATTAAACTTACATAACACACCAGGAGTTGCCTGTATATTAATTATATCAATAATTGCAAAAGGATAGTAAAAGTCAGTTCCTGCGTCAGGCTCATGTCAGGCACAACATTAATTTCTGACACTTGTTTTATTTTAGTTTTTACAAACAGGTGAATTCAAAAGATTGTAGTAATGAATTAATAGATGAATAAAATTACATTATTATTTCTTAATCATAATAAAACGTTAAAAATTGATATTTAATCATTTAATATAAAATTTCTGCCTGCTTAGGCTCAGAACTTTCAAGCATTCAAGCATACTACTAGCTGTAGTAGGAGTGCCTCAAGGATCAGTACTCACTCCACAATTATATCTCATATAATAGTGATACATGAGATTCCATACAGCTCCTGGACTTGACTGCAACTTACGCAGTGGGAACAAGTCATCAAAATCAAACATTTGTTTCACAGAATTTATATGAGCTAATAAAACTTCATGACAAACTATGGAAAATTCAACTCAACCAAGGCAAATCATAGCAAATTACTTTCACTCTTTGACATGAAACTTTTCCTCCTATTTACATTGACAATATCCAATATCCTCAGACAGATGAAGTTAAATATTTTGAACTGACATGTGGCCCATTTATCAAGAACAAAAAAAAAAACACTAACTTAAGACTAGAATTCAGAAGCGGATTCAGGATTTAAAATAGGGTTGGCTACATATATAGTTCTGTAATTTAAAAAGAGAACATATTATGATTATTAATTTATTTGGCTCATGGTATTCCTGAAACCAAATATGGACCGAAAAATGAACCGAACAATGAAAAAATATATATTTTTTCTATTTGGAGAATACAGAAAGCATTCCTTCTTCCAAAATCGAAAAGTATTTTTATTTCAATCAAATAAAAGCATGTATTTCATCTACTAAATGTAGGAGGCAGAGTGGCCTAGGGGCTAACGTGTTCCCAGGCTCTTTCGAGTCCCGGGGCTTTTTTGTGGCATATAACACTGGCATTAATCTCTTACCCTCTCCTCTCTTGCAGGAAAAAAGCCCTTGCAGCTGAAATAGTGAGGTAGAAGAAAATGGAGGGGGGGGGAAAGCTACCAAATGTAAGCACATATCAAGAAAAAAAATTATCTTTAAAAGCACCATTGTATCAGTAAAGTTTTTTTTTTATCGGCCTTCTACTACTTTATAAACATTATTTTATATAGTTTCTTTATTTTTCTCTCAGAGTAATTATGGTTACCTAAAAAATAAAGAAAAAATCCAAGCCCTCAAAATTAAATTCTGGATCTGCTACTCGCTACGACTATTATATTCATCTCTTTCAAGATGGTCGAAATTAAAACTTAGACAGGAATTAAAAAGTTACACTTATTTACCTAAGCCCATTTGGGCTTACACTTCATAGATATACAGGAGGACAATCCATTATACCCATGTGAACTTCAAACTTTCCATTCAATCATTTTCATAATTATGACAAAAGTACTAATACAAGAACTAACCAAGGTAGGTGACTACCACTTTTTTTTACGGGTGTGCGTAAAGAAATAAAATTTTAAAATAGTAGATAGTAGTGTAAGCATAAATTATTACCTTAAGGATATCATCATAATTGTCAGGACGGAGAGGGGGGTCCATTCTAAAACATAATAATAAAATAAATAAATAAAAATAATATAATATAATAATGAAATAGTTCATAAGAGGTAAGAAAGAATGGAAATGGGTAATTCCCAGATTACTTACCAATATGCAGTCCAAGCCTCTACTGACTAATTTTGAAATTTCTTAAGGTCAAAGCATTTAGAATACATATACAATATATATATGTATGTATATATAATTTTTTTTTCTCTCTCTCTCTCTCTCTCTCTTCTTCCTCAACTTTCAGGCTATACAGAGTTTTCCTGAGCCATGATTTAAAGCTGGAGGATTAATGCCAGAGTTAAAAGCTTCTCCTCCACCCTCCAAGCAGCACCGAGAAGCGATTTTGTAATTATTTTATTGTCTATACCTTCGGTTATCACGTTGCAGGGCAACATGTGCATACAACACGCGTTAGCCAGCTCGGCCATCCTGCCCCTATTCAATATATTCTAGGTTTATGACGGTCCCCAATGAAATAACAAATATACCACTATTTGTGTAGCTGTATGCCAAAGATAACAGAACTGTAAAAGTCCTAGTGAACTAATTGTAAGTTATCAATAAGACATGAGTTTTCTGGTTAAAACTTTTTGCATATTTCGAACAAAAAAAAAATCCTTTCTAAATAATGTTGCAACCTTAAATTTAAAACTGTCCAGAAAGCAAGATTCTAAAAAAAATATTTTAGGAAAAAAAAAATTAAAATAAAAAAAGTATGGTCTAAAAGTTTAGTGGTCACAGCTACATGTTGTGCGCCAATTTTTAATGAAGATTAAAACAACCACCTGATCATCACTATGTCTTAAGTCTTTGCCGTGCACTTGATGTTGGAAGATTGAAAAGCAAGATCATATATTATGATTAGTCAGCACCCTAAGACTTTACTTTCCTAAACAGGTTCTCTATAAAACATACCCAACAAACAATTCATACACTGGATAATAACTTATTCAGTTACTGAATAGGGTAACAGGAGTGATTCCCAATCACATGAAATTAAAAGTAATTCATAAAACTATTCTCAATGTATCAGAATTACAAATATATTGTCTGAATTAAGTCTACCGACAGTTAAACATTATAACAAACCAATAGAACTTTTTTTTTTTTCTTCTACTCTTATTTCAATAACCCAATCATACAGAAATTAGAGATTATAATAAGACAACGCTAAAAAGATGCATCCAAAGACGAACCCATTTTTTTTTTTTTTTTTTTTATATATGTTGGCCATAAGCACGTCGACCCCTACTGGGTCCATTGTGCGCCAATTTCAGTTGGTCGTTTTGTTTAAAACGTTAATCCTGTCGCTTCCGCGTATCTAAGTAGACTGATTGGATTGACCGACTCATAACTTCTGGGGAGATCCATTTGTTCCTCCCCAAATACCACCAGTCTCAGCCTTGTAAATCTATCACATCTGCATATGATGTGAAAAGCTGTTTCATTCTCCTCCTGACAGAATCTGCATAGCGGATTCGTCATTACTCGGAGATTGAACATATGATTGATTAGCTTACAGTGACCTGTATAGATAGCTGTAAGCTTTTTAAGGGCTGCTCTATCCATGTTCAGTAGCAGTTTACTTCTTTTTTCACATGGACCTTTTAGGAACAGCTTCGAATGTCTCTGTTTCTTGTCGGTCCAGTAATTACTAAATTTGTTCCCATAAATCTCCCTGATCCTGCCCTTGGCAGTGCTGAGGCTGATTCCACAGACAGGCTCGGGAGTTACAGGAATGGTATCTGAGCCCAATCTGGCTAGTTCGTCAGCCACCTCGTTGCCTAGTATGCCAGAGTGACCTGGCACCCACTCCACTGCAACTCTATTGTGCTCAGTTAGTTCGTTAAGTGCTATGTTGCATTCCTTAACGACAAATCCAACATATACTACTACACAATATAAGAACATTGTTCATATTTCTTGTAAAGATGTTTGAGATGGTATGATACAGAAACTCGAAAAGTTTTCAGCAAATTTTTGAAATGATAATAGTCGGTAACATCCACAAACAAAAAGAGTCAGGCGGCCAACAGCTTGAATAATGGATAAATAGTGTTACTGCTTAATTTATTTTCTTAATTACAATTCAATGATATTAATCACAAATATCAATTTCTGTTATGGATAAAAGACCATTTTTGCTTTATTTTTAATGAAATTGATTTGATCAGCACAGTAAAGGTTCTTACACACAGAGTGCAATAGGTCTCTACGAAACGATATTCCTGTCGGCGGCAACATGGCGATAGAGGTGTATTTCTATCTATTGCATTATGAAAAGTTGATGGTATCCTATTGTGATTGGTAATGAGAAATGAATACAGCATGATAATTCTAAGCTTAATAATCCAGACGCAAGCTAAGTCTCTATATGAGCAGAGGCAAAAGGTGATTTTTTAAAATGAAAATGCTGGGTCACATGTTCCAAAACCGGTAAAAACCTTCTTAGAAATGTTTAAATTGGAAGTCCAACCTCACCAGACATATTCACCGAATATAGCCACTACTGTTTATCATTTATTTCGTTTGATGGTACATGGCTGAGCATCACTTCCATTCTAATGAAGATACCTTAGTGGCTAGTGATGAGGAATACTATGAGTGGCAATTTTTTTTACCACTTACTTTAAATTAAGCAGTAGTATTCACAAAAAAAAACAGCGAGGACATATTCAAGGTTCCAATAATTACAAAAACTAAATTGCAATCATACGCATTATGAACATAAAATTTATAATTACAATGCAAATTAGATACATTAGTGTAAACGCATGAATTATGGACAGGGAGTCCATTGATGAACAGGTTGGACTTTAAATGTAAATAATAAGCTTCCTTGTTGATTTAAAGGTTCCAGTTTTTTCTAGATTGCAGATCAATGCCGTCTATTGACAACTGTATGAGCAAAGTTCCCAAAATAAAATCTTATAATGCCTATCATTGTTGTTTCTACAGAGCTCTTGAGATCAGTGTGTTTCATATCTTCCTACTAAAAGTTTTGCTAAGAGTAAGTTGAACATTTATGTTATCTTAGATTTATCGTTAAATAAAGATTTTAGAATTTTTCTGGGTTATGTCTATTACTGGTTCTGACCCTCTGTCCATTAACAAAACAATTGAATTTAGGGATGTCCATCACTAGTGTTTTTTTTATGGAGTTTTTTTTTTTAATGGAGATTATATATGCATAACTGAATATTTTTTCAATTTGAAAGTGTTAAATAGAAAAAGAGATTCTAAATGTCCAACGGAGAAGTTTATAGCTATAATAATTATGGTGGCCTAAACAAAAAAAGAAAAAAATTTCCTTAACTATGTAAATAACCCACAGGTGCTCTTACTAATAATAACAATAATAATAATAACTAATTAGGATACATTAATTGGATAAAACAAATTTTTCTTAACTGATTACGAGCTAGCACAATAAACATGCAACAACAAGAGATTCTGGGCTCTATGAACCTTTTGGATGATGTTGCCCTTAAAGTAAATTAAATAAGATGAAAAAAGATGAATAATTACTTTTTTATGATGCCACAGAGTCTGGTGGCTATCCGCCTGTTGAAAACCGTATTCAGGGGCGGTGTCTCCAAACTTTTCATACCAATGTGGACATTCCATGGCACAGATATTAACATTGCACAGGAGATCGGTGTTTTCGCTCCCTCAGGTGATGAAAGGTAGTTACCAAGAATCAACCTTTGAAAGTGTTAATTAAATAATGTTATTTTGAAATACTGGAATTCAATAGGTAATTAATGAAATTCTAAAAAACAAACAAAATAAGACTTTTAAGGAAACAGATCAGCAACATTTATTTTAATTTTCGTGTTTAATACAATATTCTATTATTTAAAAAAGTTAATTAATTAGTAATAAACAAATAGGTACCTTTCTTTCATCCAAAAAAAAAAAAAAAAAAATACAAAGCAATAAAATTTTTTATTAACAATAAAACATATCATCACTTTTTTAAAAAAAATATACGTTATTTTTTTCATTAAAACAAAATCTTCTTTTTGTCTGTCATTCTACAGTATGCATGATAGTTTAAAAGATGTGGAGAGCTTCATTTAAAACAGAAGTGTATTTTTGTGTAAAGTATTTTATCTACCAATGTGTACAAAGAATAAGGAGTGACTAACAAAAAGATTATGTCAAACAAAAAAAAGGACTATATTTTTGAAAAAAATTAAGATTGAGTGCTATCAGTGGATTATTTCTCAACAAGTGGTTTCATGTTATCATTTTCATATTATCTGGGTGTAACTTTATTTTTAATAAAGTTTTAAATATCATGAATAAATAAAAAATTAAGACCAAAATAATAATTTGTATAGTAAGGTGGCAAACTTTACAATTAAATAAATATGTGATATAATTTAATACATTTTTTTTATTGTTAATAATTAATTTTATTGCTTTGTGTTTTTTTTGGTATGAAAGAATGGGTCCTCATCGACGATTATTAAATCATTAACTTTTTTAGAAAAAACAAAAACAATTATATATATATATATATATATATATATATATATATATATATATATATATAGTATGAAAAAAATTAATAACCTCACAAAAGGTGATATCATAATGATAGTAAAAGTATTGAATCTTAAGCAGAAAGTCAAGTTCCCTCCCACATCACATTCAGGGATAGTCCCACCCTTCCCTCTCCAATTATTTGAAAATCCAAAAAGTTGAGCAATTTGAGAGCAACCTAATTCAAACTGTGAAAACTAGGGAAAGTATTTTATTCAAAGAATCATCACAATTCAAAACAAATACCAGTACCTTTTAAGTTAAGCAATTCGTATGTTATCGATATAATAGAAAAGAAAATTGTTGTTCTAACTGTCAAAATTTGCAACAGGTCAGTGAAACGTTCATAGCTAAAAGAGTTGGTAACATTAAATCTTTTTTGAACATATAAATACATCGTATTGTTTTAAATTAAAGTTTCAAGAAATTGCGTGTCTACTACTACTACTGAAATGGGATATATGAATACGTCACATATTGAAGTGAAACAAATTTTGTATGATAGCTTTTATTTTAAAACTACGATTTTCGAAGTTTAGTGCAAATCCGTTCGCTAGGTTTTTTTTTTTTTTTTACAAGCTTGTACATTTTGTACCGAAGCATAACTAGTGACTAGTCTTCATGACGTCATATCCTCCAGCCACCGCAGACCTAGAGTTCCTTTCTGCTGACGTCGTTCTTATAAAAGTTTTTCCTTTTAATAGATCCTCATTAAAATTCATGTATCATTTTGTACAGAATAATTCATCTATTTTTTCAACTATTGAGCATGTAATAGAATGAGAATTTCTGAAAAAAATCACGATTGATGCATTTTTACAGGAATGAAGGAAATTTTCTTATCGTCACAAAAACAACCACACGATAAGTGATACTAACTGTAAAGTGATATTAACATTTGCAAGTATCTATTAAAAATAGTATTGGATCGAGATCAGGTATAGAATGCTTTAAGGCAGCGCTTCTAAACCTATCCTAGACGCGTGTGCATTCCGAGTTACAAAAAATATTGGCGGATGCGATCGTGTTAAAAAAACAAATAAAAAAGCATTTTGTCCTTTATTTGACACACGTTCATTATAATATACTAATATTTATTCATCATGAAAATCGGATTCGTAATTATTATTAACGAGTAAACGAATAAGAATATATGAATAAAAATATAGACAATATTAAATATTAATGCTATTGCTATTCAGCGAAAGAACTTAGGTAAAATATATAAAAAATAACTGCAACTATAAAATTTTAAAAAACACAACTTAGAAACCATTTAGAAACAGTACGAGTTAACAATATGATGGGTGATAATTAATTCCCCGATTTGTGTAGCTGATTGTGCGGGTATCACAGTAGCAATATTATGAAATCCAAAGTAACTTTTTATTCATTAAATCATAAATTAAACCAATCCTATTTTTTCTCTCTCTCTCCCTCTTTCACGCCTCTACTCTCAAGGGTCATTGGAATTCCTATTTATTTAATTTATAATCTCTAATTTTAAAATTTATTTATTTTTATTATTTTAATACTTTTCCATTGGCACAAGATGACACAATTGAAGAATTGAATAAATAAGAAATAAATAATATAATAAACATGATATAGAGATTGAGAAACTCGCTAAGAGAGGAATAGCTTGATAAAATAGGCAGAGAGAGATCGGCCTACAAGTAAATGAAGGCAAAACAAAATATATGATCATAAGCCGAAAATTTCACCCCAATAACAGGATCTGCGCAGAAGGTAAATCATTCTCAAGAGTAGAAAAATTGAAATACCTCGGCTCCACAATAACCTCAATGAATAGGGGGCCCGTGAAAAACCAACGGGCAGAAATAGACCCTAGCGCTTTATAACTAGCAAGAACAGAGATTTCTTCTCGTTTTTAAAGGAATTTAAATCACTAAAAATCTCAACAAATCTCAAATTAAGGGTATACAATGCTATGATAAAGCCAGTTCTAATATATGGCACTAACCAGCACCTTAGAAAATAGTGTTAAAAGATGTGAGAAAAGTCTTCTGCAAGATGACCGGAGCGATCTGGGGTCAGAGTACTAACACACGGAGAAGAAAGAAAAATGACAGAAAAAAATATATATATACATATATTATTATTATTATTTAATAATTATTTTGAACGTATCTTTATTTCTGTGATACCCGTATACTATCGCTCAATTTCTTTTCAATATTATCTAAATATAAGATAATTCAAGACAGTGTTGAAGAACGGAATGTAAACATTGCTTTGGAAAGAGTGACGTCATTCCACCCTTAGCCTAAAACGTCCCTTTCTTTTGAATAACCTTAATATCACGACTTAATAATAAAGTATTACATGACTTAATAGAAAATTAATATCTTCTGAACTGATGATCGATAGAAAACTATAGTTTTTACCTCGTTTAATATATTTTTTACACATCCATAAAAACAAAATATCCATTCGTTGATATAATAGCATCTTCCAATTAGAAACAATAATTTCCTTATTGTTATCATTCCTTATCTTTATCATTGTTTTTCTTTTGGAGAACGAAAACTATATTAAAATTCGGTAATTTTTCTCTTAACATATCTAATCACAAGTTTTGTGCTCATATGCTTTCTCTTATTTTATTGTTTGAAATTGGTATATTATAATCATATTCACCTTACCAAATTATAAAGCAATGACCAATAAAATGCAATGCCACCACAGTATCTCCAGCATTTAAAATTATTATACTGAAATTTTATATCTTGTAAACATTTTTAATAAATATTTATTTTATGTAAAAAAGAATATAAGCACGCTTTTTTAATGTTAAAATTATCGTGATTCATTATTATTAAAAATATAGGAAAACCACAAATAAATTGGCGCCCGTCGCTTAGCTATTAACCCATAAAGGCGCCCTTAAGTAGAAAAAGATTTAAGAGACCTGCAGGAAATGAATCATTGGATGCAAGGTTTTCGTTTTCAATTTTCAAAATAATATGCTTGAGACTGACTATTTTTAACAGAGAAAGAAAACTATTATTCCTTATCAAGAAATACTTATTCTATGTCAACAACTATAAAACATTTCCGGAACAATTAAATACATTAAAAGTTCAGTTTTTGACTTATACAATTCAACTACTCAAATTTTAGCATTAGTGATGACATTCTCAAGGATTTAAAACAAATAAACAAACAAAAAATTCAACTTAAACGGAAAACATAGCGCGGAACTTAATTCACCTTGTTTAAATTATTTAAAATAATGAAATAAAAGTAAAATTATTACTTACCCACCCATAGAAATGCCAACAGCGCCCAACAATGAACCTTCATATTTCGTTTTAACATGATCAAGAACTTCCATAAAATCTTCGTAGTTACAAGCGCAATACGTACGAGCAGTCTACAAAATGTTAAAAAAAGAATGATGGAAATATTTGTTATTGACGATTTATATAATTAATTAAATAAATCTTGGAGAAGCGTTAAGGAAATAACCCACTGGAGAAGGTATGGTACTGTTTTAATGTTTGCTGAAATTTGTCTTCAGTTGTAGGGCTTCAAGCAGGACCTTTTTGTAAGATAACATTCAATAGTGTTATCACTAGTTCTTTTGAGATCTAGAAACAATTAATAGGTTCTGTAGCTTTTTTTTTTTTTGTTTCTTCCTACCTAGCCATTTCTGGTATACGGGGTTTTCAGCAGCATCGGGAAAGATTTCGAATGTTACCGCCACCGATCGAAATTCTCTTTGGTTCATTGTTCTTTATTAATACACATAGTGCAAAACAGGCGTCACCTAGCAACTTGATTGACCGAACATATGATGATAATTACATGTTCGTGTCCCGGGGCTAAGAGCCTTTTAACTCTGGCATTAAACCTTTGCCCTCATCCCTGGCTCGAGGAAAACCCCGTATAGCCTAAAAAGGCGAGAAAGGGGGGAAAAACATTATGTGTGTATTTATTTTTGGAAATAATAAAATAAGGTAATTTGTGATGCTAGTCGAAGCTGCGCACCTTTACGTGAGGTTGCACCTTATTTTTCCTCTTTAAGGTCAGTGGCAATAAACTATTCTCGAACTTCTTTCTTCCTTCCAGTTGCTCATCCCTACGAGGTTAGATATTCTTTACATGCTCATTTAATTTACTTCTATTTATTCTAGATCAGCCATGGTTCCCTTTCAGTCTTCCCGGGATACATCCCTTCTCCAATGCTCAGCTAAGACATTTTGGTATTTACAATGTCTGAGGTGTTCACCACTACTAGATACGGTAGCTTATATTCACTAGATACGGGAGATAATTATCAATGCCACTCTCTGGTTGCCATTTTTATCTTTTGAGTTTGTCTGATTTAACGGCTTCACACGACTACCTAAAAAGCTCTGGTCGGTTATTTGATTCCTCCAGAAAGCACTCCATTTCCTCGACCGTTCGTTTCAGAGATCAACTATCTCTGACGTATGAGAAATGAATGGTAGCATCTAATCCTCTCCCAAACCTCAATCCCAGGTACGTCATCTTCTATTAGTGCCCTTACTCCTCCCAAGTTAAGATTACCATGGTGACCTTTGTCTGTTTTTTCTTTCAAATAAAGGTGCTCTTAAGTAGAAAAAGATTGAAGAAACCTGCAGAAAATGAACCATTGGATGCAAGGTATTCGTTTCATTTTCAAAATTTTCAGGTTTCGTTTGGCCGCCATCATCCTAAACTTCCTTCTGTTGCACCATTATTCTATCTTACTGGCACTCTACCCTGCTTCAATCATAGGAGTAACTTTGCTAACTGCCGCTACTATCACAGCCAGATTAACGTACGTTCCACAGCACATTCTAAGTACCCCACACTCTTCTAAGTACCGAGCCCTTCTATTACAGAACTAGCTATTAACTAGGAAGTACAGATTGTTGTCGCAGTCACTGGAGTACAGTAAGCTATAACTTTGGATATGGACGAAAGTAATAGTGACAGACTGCCTTTGAGAGGTAGAAGGGTATACAAACCCGATCTTTACTCGGAACATCGGTATTAATTCTTGTCTAGAAAAAATGCTGAGTAACTAGAGATTTTGAGGTTCTTATTTCCGGGTGGCTGGAATATTTTATCCCATAGTATAAAAATTGTGTTGTGAAGAGAACCAAAACTGATGAGAGGATTTTTCCAGCTAAACTGAAGACGGTTATTCTTCTAAAGGTCGCTAATGAACTTAGGATCCTCCTGTTGCTCCAACTCAATTCTGTAGACCTCGGTGCAATCGAGGGTGGGTTGGAAACTATGTTTTCTTCCAAGCATAGACTAACTGATAAAGTTCACTGGTTGAATCTTCATAGGCATTGCTTTTTTGTCGTCGCCGAAATTTAATATTCTTATGGTCCTAACAGATTATAAAATATCGTTGCGCATTGATCTGCCTGGACCTCTCCCAGAAATTCGCCAACTAACCCATCTTCAAGTAATAAATCTCATCTCAGTCTTTCGGTGCAGGGATAATCAAATTGACCGATTTCATTGAAAACTGCACTGAGGATATTTCATATCTTATACATTTTTCTCAACCAAGAGGAAATTGGTTTAAAAAATGAAAATATTTTCAGTATTAGATGGATAAGCTTTTCAAAAACCTTTATGAGAATAAAGGTGTTTATTTATTATACCTCTCGAGGGCACGTAATTTTTAATTTTCAACACTGCTAATAATTTGTATATATTTGTTTATTCTCAATATTCACGCCATCGGCGGTTCAAGATCGATTAAGATTATCCAGTTGCTTTCATCCGTAAATATTGTATTGAATACATTAATCAATAGCATATTTATCCTGGTCATTTACTATTATTTACTACAGAGTACATACACTATAGTTAATAGTTTTACTAATACAGTATAGCTTGTTAATAACTGATTTACAAATCCATTAGTAGCAAGCTGTTTTGTTTGACATATATTTTTTTAAGAGTTAATTTTTGATTTCTTTTGTTTAATTATTCGTATTTACGTTCAATACTCGAAAAATCAGTTCTCCATTTTTTTTTTTTTTTGCAGTATTTCACCTTAGTTTGTCCTCTGATGCATTCAATTTAATATGCTTATTTCTTCCCTAAATTAAATTAACATTTATTCCTTAAGAAAAAGTTTTATTTCGACCAGTAAGTCGAATATTTTCGCTGATACCATTATTACATTTCTTGTTACTTTAGTATACTATCGCTATAGATTTTGTTAATTCGATTATTTTATTGATAGTCAACTGTTGATTTTTTTTCAAGGTAATAAAACGATAGCTACTCTGCATTTTTAATTATATTTTAAAGTCTTGAATAGTTCAGGAGGTTTTATACTTACATGCGTATGGTTCTTGAAGAAGTAATTTAATGTTTTTCTGGTAATATATTGTAAAAAGTTTAATACTGATATGTAAGTACTTGAATTTTTTGAACTTCAAACAAGCCTGAATTGAATACTCAGTATTCAAAGGTTTTATTCAGCTTTTTATGATTTGCTTTATACACTTGCCAACATTTCCTATTTTGCCTGGGAGTCTTCGGAGCTTAATCTCCGGCATAATTTGCACAGACACGTTCCTTAATTTCCTTAACAGTTTTCTGAATTTTAATGAGATCTTTTTTCTCTATAAGTTTGTTCTACGATGGGACAAGTTCCATTTCTGAAACTTCCCTAAAAGTGGTTTACAAATGTTTCGACTTTCACACATACGTTGATTCAATGATTGCTCGAACGGATCGCTGGATTTTTTTTTCTTGTATGCCCTTTTTTTTGCTAAACTTCCCAATGACCTTAACGATCTATGGAAGATTGTAGATTTATCTAGAACTGAACTTGTGTTGTTGTTGAAAAGAGATATGCTAAGAAGCGTGCACTACCGATATTCGCGTGGATCTTGTGACCTTTGGAGGTAAATCCGCTGATAGTGTCTAATAAGTCAAAACACCTTCTGGTTACAGAATGTTACGGTGACTTTAAAGGGAGGAATACCGAAACGTAAAAAAATCGACGCATCATCGTGATTAGCTATCTTATGTAATACAGATAACCTGTTCTTATCACTTTGGATCTTATTCAATAAAACAGATGAGTACTGATTTTTACATAAAAACTTTCAACAATGCTTATTTAATCACAACTCATTTAGAATAATGATAATGCGTTTCTAGATCACTTATAAAGAAAGATAAGAATGCGGAATTGTACATTTGACCTACAATATAATATTGATATACAATGCAATAGATTACTTGATAATTAGAAAAGCATAAGATGGTACCCACCTTAAGGGGAATTCCTGACCCTCTTTGATTAAAAGCAATAAATCTAATTCCAAGACTTTGTGCCGTCCAAGCTAATCCCCTTGAGTAATCAGTACGACTACTGCCTGTTATACCTAAATGCAAAAATAACTATAGAACAGAGAATAAATGTATTCATTTCTAAATTTATACATATCATGGTTGTGCAAGCTTTTCTGTGCTCTCTGGACTACCACCCACTTGGGATACATAACATTTCAAGTTATGTATATATGTAATGTGTATTAACATAATTCAACCATACCTTTGTATAAAAGCATCTAGTGCAGGTGTACCCATTCCCCTTGTATATCGCTACCAAGATGAAAGCTAACTCCAATAGCGTACGCGTGGGCATTAAATTAGGCGAACCTAATCCAAAACAATACGATTTTAATGAAATAGTTGTAATTGTTTATTAAAGTAATTCTACCACACCTTCGTATAAAAAACATGTAAGGCAGGAGGTGCTCATTCTCTCCAAGAATAACCCTCCTCCCAAGAAATGTTATTGCTCCTCTTTTCTTAAAAACTGTACAAGTGAAGATAGAATTATGAAAATTAAACTTCATATAGCGTTACAGAAAAAATATGTAAAGTAGATGTACCGGTAATAGACACTGTATCACTAGCGGATCCGGGATTTAATTTGGGAGGGAGGGGGGCTTCAACCCGAAAGCTTTTTTTACATAAAAATAACGATAATTACTTTAGAAAAAAAGAGAGAAACTAACTACCTATATGAAATGGTGTTTAAGTGATTACTAAAGTCCTTTTAAATGTAGTTACACGAACAATAATACTTTAAGATATATTTTTTCCCATAAAACATGGTTTTATTTTACCATTTTGGGGGAGCTTCAGCCGCAAAGCTCTACCCCCCTCCGTAGATCCACCCGTGCACTGTATAGTAATAGACAGTTTTCAGCACAATACCATATTGTAAACTTTATACACCAAAAGGAGAGAGTAAATATGAGTAGATTTGCAGTTAAAACACTAAATAGTGCGATGCTTGAACCTCAAGTGATATTATGTCACAATAGTCCCCTGGTAGTTGATTTTTTATTAAAACAAGGCAACAATTTGTTTCAAGGTTTCCTCATTACTTTTCTTTAGGGGATAAGTTGCAAACTTTTATTCATTCGTCTATGTTTTTTTAATTAAACAACAAAACCTATTGACCCCAATAAACTGAGTGTCTATTACTGGTGCAAATTACGCTGTCGGAAGGTTTTCATGAATAATTAACTAATTGACTTTTTATACCAAAAAAAAATGTAATAAAAGATTAAATTTGCTTTCAATTAAACCCATTAGCAAAGATCCACCGTCAGAACTAATGATGAAATTGTGTCTTACTAATGATGAATTAATGTGTTGTTAATGATGAAAATGTGTCTTAAAGTATCTATTACTGGTGCATTGATCTTAGTTCAGCGTACATTTTTTTCTCAATCAGTTGTCGAAAAAGGGGTATCTAAGTTCTATAATGCAATGGGGGGGGGGGGGGGGAGGAGGAGGAGTGGTGTGCCAGACAACTCGTAAACCGAAGATTAAGAGTTCCGGTGCGGGGGCTGGCATTGATCTCCACCCTCTCCTCTGACCCGGGAAAATATCGTAATAATTTAGGTAATATGCCCGTTACATCGATTTGACTACAGACAGAAAGACAGACAGACATCGAACCAAATTTGATCCTAGATGCCCAAAAGGTAAAACGCGAGTGGAAACTTTCGATTCTGAACACAATTTTTTTTTTAACCTCTCGCACGAATAAATGCTTCCCGAGAGCGAGGAAGCAAAAATGAATAATTGCAACCTCACTATCGTACTGTTGTGGCATTGTATTAGTGGGAAAGGATAAAAAAAAAAAATTGTGCTTAGTATCGAAAATTTCTACAAGCGTTTTACATCTTAGATATAACGGGACTAGTTTGGTTCGGTGTCTGTAGTCCAATCCATGAATATGACATATCGCCTTCATCGTTAATGTAATACGTAAATATATTATCTTAAACACGACATGGCTCGTTCGATTTGGGTTAACGTTAAAGAAAAGTTGGCTAGTAGTGAAAAAATTATGTGTATCGATTTTATCGAATTTCATTGAGTAGATATTATTTAAAGCAAAATTAGGGATTGCTGAAGTAATGATAGAGAGAGTACCACATTCAATTTAATTATTTTCTAAAAATTATGTTGCTTACGGATGCGCAAAGCTTTGATAAACATATATTTCAAAAACAGCTTTGGTCAAAAATTGGAAGAATTGGTGAAATCGTCTACTAATGGTCTATTATTACCTTTATCAAAGTCTATTTTACAATTACAATTAATATACCCAATTGTTAAGAATTTGATGTCTTTGAAATGTCGTAGGCAGTAAAATAAATGATCAAGATGTCGATACATTATAAAATCAATTCAAAAATATCATTTAAAATAAATAGTCGGTATAATTTTTTTAGTTGAAAATGGAGGTAACAAAGAAAATGTTTAAAGCCGCAGAGATGGATACACGTGAATCAGGCATCAGTTTTCTTTCAACGTACTCGTGCGGTTGGCGGTAGGCGGAAGGTGGTCTGATTCGCGAGCACGTCATACCAAAACGAAAAATAATCTAGATACCTACGTTGATGTAGAAATCTAACGGTTTTATCCTTTGATCTCTTCAAAATCAGTCCAACTTCGCAAAAATTTGGTATACCGTTTTTTATATTCTCAAGGTCTTAGCTCGAAAATTCATTGAGGGACATTCTAATTAGCATTTCTGAAAATTATTCATTGTTACTTGTTTACTTGGCTTTAGTTGCTATGAGAGATGGACGAAAAAATATTACCCCACAACTGGTAGTTTATCGTATAACAAATTCAGCATATATTTCTGAAATGGTGAGATAAGTTGATAATTTTTTAGTGACATACCAGATTATTATTATTTTTGTTTTTAAACCTTTAAAAATCATACCTCTACAACCAACAGAGATAAGAAGGTATTGCTGGAGAATATTTTTGTATGACTATCCCTACCTTAATACCCGGCATTTCCTTCCGGGACACACTGTATATAATTTTTGATTATTACAGTCCCACCATCGCTTGAAAATGAATTAGAAATAAACATATTTTCATCACATAGCTTGCACAATCATAAATATAAAATTCTAAATGTAAAATATTTGTTTAAACAATGAAACATTTTATGATATAATTAAAATTTCGTTTTCAAAATAAAAGGGAAAACAGATTTAGTCTAACAAACATACCTGGGATAGCAATAATTGTTGGAGCATTGGATGGTAAGCCTTCTTTTGGTTCTAGAATATCTAAGCAAAGTTCTCCTCCATCTTTCAAAGTCAAGATTTCTCTGGAATTTTCATGATACAATAAATTTAACAAATCGAAAATACAATTAAGAAAAACTGGTTAATTTTAAGGCACAATACCTCTTATATGGTACTACTGGAATGGATCTTTTTCGCACAAATAAAGGAATGATAGTTTGAGCTCTTGGTTCTATACACCACAATGTTGGCCAAAAATTTTCTTTTAAAATTGGCATATTTTTTTCAATGAGCTCTGAAAATTTTCCTTTTGGCTTTGTGGCTAAGATGGGTTTCTGGATTGAAAAACAATTTTGTTAAAATTAGAAATATGAGAGCATACAGGAAATAAAAATTAGATTAAACAAACTGATACCTTCACTACTTCGAACAGATAATACAACATGTAGCAAGATGTAATCGCACTTGCAATGTACCATTTTGAGTGGCTGTTGAGCGTATGAATTAAGGATTCTACCCACTCCATCTATATGAAAACAACATTTTTATCAACTGTCTCATACATTTACAGAATGAATAAAAAACTAGGCAGGGTGGTAGATAACATGGAAATATTCTTAATACTGTTGAATTTGATAAATAGAACATAAAAGAATACATTTAACATACTTACGTTGACTTACAATTCCCTAAAAACTACGAAATGACACCTATCAGTGACGATACGGCACATTCAATGGCACTCAACTGTTCAACGGTTGGTGGATGATGAAACACTACACCTCCCCACTACCAATTAAACTGATCTAGTTCCATGTTTCACCGCAGGGAGGCGGTAGTAGTCGTTCCCACCATGACTATTCTCTTGGGTATTTATGATAAAGTAAACGAATAAGACAAATAAAAAATGAACAGTAAACAAATGTCTGATAAAAACATTAAATAAGCGGGGACGGATTAGTAATGTAGCATAAGTAGCAAATATTGGTGCTTATAATATAAAAAGTAAAATAACGGCAAATGGAATTTTAGAGTATTAGTTTGAATAAGAAATGAACTATCGTGCTATGTTGAATCAATATGTATTTTTTTCGGCATAATGTTCTATTGTTTTCTTTGTTTAAATTATATTTTGGAATTGTTATAACCGGACTTATGCTTGTATTTGTCAGGAGGGTTGGAAAAAATTGATGGTCAAATTACATTTCCTAGTTTTCGAAACTCTATTTCACTTGATAGATTCTATTTCGAAAATAACTCGTTCGGTTTGATTTGGTATCAATTTCATCTAATTATGCTTAACAAATAAAATGAATGTGTTTCTTCCTGATGGATGAGCCTGTTAAAGCGTAAATTTTAATATTCTCGAGCCTAGCGACGCCACACAGGGGAACTAGTAAGGGAAAACTCGCGGCATTTGCTAAATCTTTTTTTTAGAACGCCATAAAGTAGATAAACTGTTTTATTGATAACTTCTGGAATTCTTGAGAATATTTTCAATTATAAGAGGAATTATAAATTATAAATTTTTTTTTTAATAGTTCAATTTAAAATAAAATATATTTAGTGGACGTCACGAGTTTTCTCTTACTTTCACTGTGCGCCGGTTTAAATCCGACCTGGACTAGTAGAAATTTAGCGCAACACTGTAGCAATGAATCTCGACCTTCCCACACTGTTTATAATAGGTTTGGTTTATTTTAACTTTGATGACGTTTTAATAAATATACAATAGATTGTAACAGATATAAATTTTAATTTATTAAATTTAGATCAGTTCACCAAATCGCCAACTTCGACCTTAAATATTAAAAATTGAACTTATTAATTATTATGGCCATGGAACGCTGTTTGGGACCGAATATATTGCTGTATATATTATGCATCCAAAACAATTTTTCTGGTAATTCGACGATGGTGATAAACTAATGACCTAGATGAGGTTCAGTTTAGACCTATATATTAGACAACACACTGGTAAGAGCTCTACTGTACACCTTGTCGTCAAACCAGCCTTCTTCGAGAATTCTCTGAACCACCGCAATTGAAAGATCAATGAACTGCAGTTCAAACAGTTTTCTGCTTTTGTATATAAACACAAGAAATATAAAATCGCCAATAATTTTATTTATTTTCTTAGACTTTTAGTAGAGTTCAGAAACCAAATTTAATTTGTTTGTCTTATTTTCTTTTCTAGAAGATGTTTAATAATGAACGATTAATCTTATTCAATTAAAGTTTAATATATATATATTATTTTTTTTTTCAAGTGATATTTTATTTTAGAAACCATGATAACACCTCCACAATCAATATCAAAATGTACAGTCCGTTTTACTCTGTATAGGAGGAGTTAGGAATCCAAAGTATAAGAGGGTGCCCAAACGGCACGTAGTATGAGAGCTCCTGCTGTTATTGAATGCATGTTTCACATACTTCAATTCATTAGTTTGATAAAATTCCATCCATCTCTTTCGCTTAGGCACGCGTTTTTCTTTGACAATACTATTTAATCAAGCAAATAAATAAAGATTTGAAAATCAGGTACTTATGGCACTGTGCTAATGAAGTACGTAATATTTTTTTTTCAATTTTGGAATAATGGACCTTTTACATCTTGTGCTTCCTTAACCAGCCTTTTCTTCATAGCTGCCTATCTTGAGTTATTTCTTACCAGTTATCTGCATACAGCTCTACTGTGTTTGTCTTTGTGAATTCGATCTATCCATCTGGTTATTGGCCTTCTACATGATCTCTTGCCTACGTTTGAGGCAATCATTGTTGTATAGAGGTTTCCTGACGGATTGCTTTGAGATACATGCACTGCCCATTTCAATCTCCTTGCCTTCATATCATGAGATATGGATAGACCAGTTTCTGATAGCAGTTCTGTATTGCTCCTTCTCCTCCATTCGTTGTAACTCTCACTGAAAGTTGAATGAACGTGCCAATGCATTCTACAGTATTCCTACGTGAAGCACGTTAATGAAATTTTCACTCGACAAAAGTTAAGAAATCGTCGGCAAGATCCTGATGCATCCATGAACAATTACATTTCAACCTCAATCGCCTGTCGAGAGATTGTAAACTTATAGCTGTTACCGCTGAAGTGAACAGAGACGAAAACGAAAGGGACGTATTTATAGTTCCAAGTCTTAACGTACAGCAGATGATATTTGAAAGGTATAAGCACCGTGAAAAATACTGTCAGCAAGCTAGAATCCTTGAAATCATAGCCGCAGATTTCAGGGAAACGAGTGGGGCGATCGCTCTTTTCCCTCCCCAATTAAAATAGGGAGGGGGCGAGATTATTGTTGCTAGGTACTATTATAAAAATAAATTTAGAAAATCAGAATCTTTGAAATTAAAGGACCTAGGTATTTCTCGTCTCCTTTTTTACTAAATAGTTAAAAAAAATTACTATCTATATGTCGTCGATGTTTCTTGTTTGAATTCTTCAATCAGGGAAATAAATCCAATTTATTTTTCAACAAAAATGTATTTTCCCGTCAATATTTATTAAATTATTTATTTAATAATGTTTATTAGTGCCTTGACATAAATCTTTAAGGATGTATCCAATATAAATGTTAATTATTATAAAGTTTATACAGCATTTTAAAGTAAATAACTAATGAATAACAATCGCCTATCTCTATCATATCTCCATATCCATATATCCACATCTTCACTTCCTAAAACATCCGCTAAAAACAATACCGAAAACCACCGAAGTTCTAGCGCCATCCTTCCAACGAGGAATCCCAAGTGCAGCTTTGAAGTTCAAAAAATAGAAAAAAATCAGCTATAATTCAAGGACTACGTCTTCAGAAAAGGGTTATTATTCTATATAATTTATTATTCATTAATATTATACATTATGTAATTATCATTTAATTTTTTTTTTAATTTGAATTTAAGGGTGTGATATTAAAGGCTATGAATATATGTTTAGAATAAGTGTTTGAGTGTATTTTTCTTTTTTTTTTTTAATTAAGCCTTTCTCAAGGCTTTATTTCATTAAATATCATTGGTACTCAGCTCATTCTAGTTTCTAAAAGTCATGCAGCATTAGAGAGATAACGTTAATCTACAGTATGGAAACTACGCGTGGTTTGAATATTATTACGGAATATGATTACTCAGCTAATATTATTTAAGTATTTTTTCATTGTTTAACTAGTCCATCTTAATAAGAGGAATATGTTTTTTCACAGATATCTTCGATGCTAATGTCCATGTTTGAGCTATAGAGCAGAACTACAGCACAGACATAGTTTTTAAAAATACTATTGATATTAAAATAACTCATCTACTATTGTTATTTGGACTATAATTACCGGGAGACTATTAGTTTTAAGGTTTTAAATTAAGACATGCTATTGTTCTGAATTTATGTTATGTGAGCTTGTCATTTTTTTTATCTTTACTGTCTTATTTCGCCTTATCGACTATGCGGGTTTTTTCTCCGGCCAGGGAGAGGACGGAGGATTAATGCCCCTGGCACAGGGACTCGAACTCGTAATCTTCAGGTGTATATCAAAAGCGTTAACCGCTCGGTCATCCCGTACCCTATGTAATCTTATCAATTTTTGTCATAATAATACAAGAAATAGTAAACATTTGATAAGTTATTTATTTGGGAGATTTTTAAAGATTTGTAGTCGAATCTTCCAACTAGTATCCTATTTATAATTTTTTTTCCAGTCAATTTAGGTAACAATTAGTGATTTGATGATGGACCAACCAATAAATAGATAGCCAAATCAGAATTATGTGTTATAAACTGCCTGATATTTTTATATTTATTATATTATATTTTTCTAAAATTTACTTATAATACTATTATCTTATTATAAGTTAGAATGATCTGAAGGTAGAGGCCCAACAACTTTTCCCGGGTGTATTTTAGTAATAGTTATGTATTATATTATTGGAATATTCCACAACAAAGCCTAGGCGGGACCCTATGGTGGAAAAATATTTAGCCCACAATAATGGTCACTTTTTTTTTATTTTGCAGAAAACGATCAAATGAAAAGTCAAAAGGTGTAAAAGAAAGGCAAAGTTCATTCCAAACACTGCATTTAGTAAGGCTATTAACTTAATTTGTTTCTATACCTCAAAATTTTAAATTTGTAGGAAACACAGTAGCCAATAATCAGGCATAATAGCAAAAAATTGGTTTCTTAGACAGGACTCCAGAAGTTGTTGACTTGAACAGTTCAAACCAGCAAGAGCAAATGCTAAATTTTGTTTCCCAAATTCTCTGTTAGTACTTGCAGTTGGTGTAAATTACTTGAGGTGAATAAACAGCAAGGTGGACCCTCGCCACATCGTAAGAGGCAACAAGGCGGACGAGCCAACTACCGCGGCGTGGTTGGCCCGGTCTTCTCTATAGTGACGACAAAGGCAATTCATTGGCTGGGTCAGTGACGTCACTCAAGTATGTCGTGCTGGTATCCAGACCCAAGTGAGCACACCTTACAATATATTCACATTGTTATTTGCTCTTTAGTAGATTTATTCGAGAATAACCATGAAGAAGTGCATAATGAAAACTGTCAGTTCTTTATAATTTTATTGATGCTTGTATAGTAATGTATCAGTACTGTCTAGAGTATACTCCTAATTATCTGTCCGAAGATTCTCAATTTAGCACCGATGGACAGCAACATAGCCTCGACATTTGAATCAATAGGATTGGAATTGTGGAAGAAGTTGTAAGGGGTCCATCCACACTTCAGAATATTGATCATTTCTCTTATTTCTCAGGATTTGCTGTAAATTGTGGCCATAAGATATCCCTCGAACCATTCAGCGAATCTAAAGGCTTACTAGTGTTGCTTTGATCACAGCAAACCATTAGCTGATCCAGCCAGGGGGCGCGTCCCTCCTCCCCCAGGAAGTTGGAAAACAAATTGCGAAAAGTAGCTATTTAAAGAAAAGAGAAATATAGGAAAAATTCATCCTCATAGACGAATTTCCTAATGTAATATAAAAACAAAAGTTATTATCGTAACCAGCACAAGTGATTTCTGCCATTGACACACTCCTCTCTGGGTGGTGAAAAATAATTCAGAAAAAAAGTTCTCAAAAACAGTTATTCAAAGAAAAGAGAAATCTAGGTGATCAGGGATCAACCGCTGGAATGAAACCCTGAAAATAACAAATGAAAACAATTATACAATTCAGAACTTCACCACTATTTTATAGCCTCCATTTTGCAGCAAACTATTCCTGTTGAGTTACTCCTATTCATTGGTGAAGTGTGTATAAAGTCAGGTACTCTCCTCAGAAATCACAAAGAAAGAAAATATGAGTTGCTAAACTTTAAGAAAACAGCCTGGTGGAGGAAGTATAGGGAGGAAGAAGAGGTGGCCAAAACCATGAAGCTCAATTTCAGACAACAAGTGAGTCCAAATTGACAATTCAATTTCAATTAAGCAAAATCACTTCTAACATTACAATGCTATACTAAAAATTGTAATTTCACAATCAGTAATATGTACTTCATTTGTCAAGAGCCACAAAATTGTACAAAGACACAAATTTTATTTCTTTTGTTTTATTCAATTATATGCAATATAATCATGTTCTCAATATTTTGTTTAATTTAATCAAGTATGAAATTTCAGTGATCCAACCTCATACAATCCACACGAATTTTCACAATCACCAGCGCAACATAATTCAATTATAGACCAATGAGTAATATTTGGCTCACACCAAATTACCGTGATCAAACAATAGGAAAAAAATCATCCTCTAAGACAAATTTTATAATGTGATCATCATCATTATAATCCCGAGCTCGACAAACCATTACTGGATCTTGGCTGCTTCAAGAGTTTTCCTCCATGCTTCTCTTTCCTGAGCAGTCGTCCACTAGTTCCTGATTCCAATGATTCTGGCATCAGCACTTATCTCCATCTTTCAATCTCAGTTTCGGACTGCCCACTTTTCTTTTCTCACCGGCTTCATGCTCAGCAGCTTCTTTGGGGCCGAGATCTCGTATATCCGTAGAACAAACGTGGTCCGCTCATCTCAACCTTGATATCCGGATAAATTTCACCACATTCGGCTTCTTGTATAAGTTGGCTAGTTCTTGGTTGCGTCTAATTCTCCATGCATCATTCTCCTTAAATCGGGCAACTATCTTCCGAAGGATCTTCCTTTCGAAAACTAATATTTTACTCTCATTGGCCTTCGTCAGTGTCCATGTTTCACATACATATGTATGTCAAAACCGAACTTATAAGTACTTTGTACAGGAGAAGTTGAGTTGATCGTGATCAGTACTAGCGGATCCAGTCGAGGGCAGCACCCCTCTCTCCCTTGGATAGTGAAAAAAAAGTTCGAAAAGGAGCTGTTTAATGAAAAGAGAAATGTAGGGATAATTCATCCTCATAGATTTTTTAAAATGTAATATTAAAACAAATTAATATAATGACCATTTTTATTAATCTTACGGTTGGTCATATCACGTCACCTCACCTGGCTGTGGATCAAATTGCACCCGGCCTGAATGTAATGTAAGAGCAAAAGTTGGCTCGTAGGGTGAAGTGATGTAGTTTTTGAGCTGCATTGAACTACGAAGGTTTGTGCTCCTAGTTTGTCCCTACTGACTCCGAACTGAGTCTCGCTTGAAATACGTGATGGAGGAAAATTAATTTTTAAAAAAATCTTTATTTATTCTTTCGAATAACCTTTTATTCGATCACAAGGAAATATGTTTTTTATCCCGGGCCGAGTTTTTATTCTGTTCCAATAGATCTGGACGTATTGCAACTTCCATCAACTATAGTCTGCTTGAATAATCCACGCAATTCATAAAACTGGTCACGATAATAATTTGTATATTTTTCGTTAGAAAGTTTTGTTCTTTTCTTAAAATAGCTGCAGTTGGGAACTTTTTCGTGAAGGAACGTAATAATTATTTGGTCTCCGATATGACCTGAATCTGATTATGATCGAAATCGGAATTATTCTTAGTTTTTTTTTTTTTTTTTTTCTTAGAGAACTCATTTCCAAGTTGCAGGGCCATTTATAGTAATCTGTCTCAGACTTTGACAAAGTTGGTAAAAATTAGCGTTCATTGACCGTGGTTATCGACTATATCACTTAATCAAATTATTAAGTTTAGGTACTCGTTTAACCTACAAATTAATGTTCTTTAATTTCTTAAAGAATACGTTTTTCGCTTCGATGCACTATTTAGTAGTAATAGATGACAAAAAAAAAAAATCACATAAATCTGGCTTTATTGGCTGTAAAAAGTTTTCTCTTGGTGACACCTGTTGGTTTTTACATTTAAAAATCTATATACAGGGTGTCCCGTATGTAGAGGGAAATATTTAAAGCAGCAATAGTAGAACCCAAGAACTAAAAAAAAAAAAAAATATATATATAAACAATGGTTCGATTTTCAGCAGAGAAGAAGGAAATTAAATGTTTGTGATTTTTTAGGTAAGTCATGTTTTTTGTTGAATAGGAAGTGATAATTAAAAAACTTTTTAATTTAAGTAATTAAAGATTGTTTCACCGTAAATTAGACAAAATTTACTTCAAATAAAACTAGAGTTTGCTTTTGTTAAAACCATTTAAAGAGGACGGCTTAAATGGTTTTAACATGGCTTAAATGGTTTCATGGGCGGCTAAACTTAGCTAAGGAGAGGGATGAAATGGGTAGTGGTGGGGGAACGAGAAGGGTTGGAGGATATGGTACAGAGGTCCGTCTCCTCCCTCCCTGAGAAAATTACTGGATTCGCCACTGCAGCAAACACCGGAGAAGTTCGAACTGTCTCCTCTACACGGGCGGATCTACGGGGGGGGGGGGCTTTCGAGCTGAAGCCTCCCCCCCTCCAAATGGTAAAACATAACCATATGTTTTATGGGAAATTTTTTTTTTAAAAAACCTCTTAAAGTATTATTGTTCGAGTAATTACATTTAAAAGGACTTAAGGAATCACTTAAACACCATTTCATATAGGTAGTTAATTTCTTTCTGTTTTTCCAAAGTAATTATCGTTATTTTTATGAAAAAAAAAAGCTGCCAGGCTGAAGTCCCCCCAAAATTAAATCCTGGATCCGCTAGTGCTCCTCTGTAAGTCCCTATATAGACTTATTGTTGCAGGACATGTTTAGCATAGTGCTAAAAGATGACTCCAAGAAAGCTGCTGGACTAATGTTTCTACCAGATAAGACGGAGAGGCCTACCATCAGATGGGAAGATCTTGTTACTGAGATACCCTAGACCTGCTGACCTGATGCTCGTAAGCGACCAGAATATATGATTATCCGGCGAACGGTCCGTAGTGTTAGGAGCTTAGTTTTTGAGTAATATATTTAGAAATAAATGTAATCTCACCACTCGTTCTACTGTCTGGATTAAGTTCAAAGCAACCAAAAAGAAGAAACAAATATTTTTTTAGCCTTAAAATAAATTGTTTCACTGAATTTATCTTCCGGATTAGACCGACCGAAATATCCAGTTTCACAATCGAAACTGTACTATTATAAAGGATATTGGAGGTACTTTTTGAGGAGACAAATTGTTTGACTTATTAACTTTAAATGAAAAACTATAAATAAGCAAATTTTTGATTGAAGGACAACCTGATCGCTCGTGCTGCTACCTTTAGGTATGGATAGAAACCATTTATTTGACAGCTATGTTTAAACTTATTCACCGGTTACCTTCTAATTATAGATCAATTGTTACTATAGAGTAAGTTAAAGCAAGTTCTGGATTGTTGTCACTCACTCAAAATTACATTCACGTTGTTTAAATTATTTCATTTTCTATGTTTTTAGGAAACATTCTAAGAAATATTTATCTGATGTTGCTCACCAACCTTTCTTTAAGTAATTATTTCTACATTAATTTAATAATTTGAACATAGTATACATTAAGAAAAATCACTTCTACTTTTTATTTACTTTATAGAAAAAGATCACAAATCATCGATGGAAAGGCTATTTCAAATAAAATACTTTCCGACTTGAAATGTGACATTGATGATTGGATAAATCTTGGCAACAGAAGGCCACAATTGACTGCAGTGATAATTGGGGATCATCCAGCTAGTGAGTTATATTTAAAGAATAAGTCAAGAGCAGCTGCTATATGTGGTGTGTACTATTTAAACTATTTGATTGTTAAGAACTTGGATTTAGGCATCTGATAGTAACTGATTAAAAAAGTATGTTTTAGGTATTACAACTAATATTGTTAGGTGTCCGAAGACAATAAGCCAAAGAGAATTATTAAATATTATCAATGAACTGAATTCTGATGATACTGTTGATGCCATACTTGTACAGGTTTGGGTTATGCCACTAAAATATAAACAACTTACCCATATTCAAATTGTATATAAATTTCAACCAAACGTTTGTTTTTTTTTCAGTTACCCTGTCCGCCTCATATAAATGAAAAAACTGTGTTCAATACCATAAGCGTTAGTAAAGATGTAGATGGTTTTAATTCTGTGAATATTGCGAATTTGACTTTACATGACCATGGAATTGTACCTTGTACAGCTCTGGCTGTTAATTCTATTCTACAGGAACTTGGTAATGTGCTTAAAGTTTGTTGCTTCATCTTTAATATGCCATTTTTGTAACATTACAAAAACTTGTTTTTAGATATTCCTAAAACATGTTTGGAAGCTGTAGTTGTGGGTTGTTCAAGATATATCGGACTTCCGATTTTTTTAGCTTTACACAATTATCATAATTTAGGTAAATCTTATAAGAAGCATTAGATTCATTTATTATTCAACAATTCTATTGTGTAGATTATTTTGTAATTATTAATTTCAGGAAATATTTCTAACTCTTCACGAAACATTACTCTGACAATTTGTAATGAATATACTCCTAGAACAACACTTAATCATTGTCTCCAAAGAAGTGACATAATTATTTCTGCTGTTGGTAACTGATCTATTCCTTTCATTAAAGATTTTGAATCTATTTCACAAGTATTATTCCAACATGATGGTTGTACACAAGACCACATTGTATTTGAAGATGATCCATATATATATATTTATATATATATATATATCTACGTATTTATAACACCCAACTTAATTGTCACTTTTGTTTATATGTTACTAGCTGAATATTGAAATAAACACAGTTTCATTTTTCTGACAGATGATTATCAAAATTAGATTATAGTTCAGATTATTAACTTAGATTTAGGTTGTATTACATGCCCAGTGTTAAATTAAACATAATTAAATTTTACTTATATCTCCGAAACAATTTATTTAGTCTGATTTGTTTACTTTGTGTTGTAAATGCAATCAAACCTTCAAATTGATGCACTTGGCTAGCTTCGGCATTCCATGAACTGTATTTTCATGTGTCCATCCTTCATGTTAGCATGACACTTGTAAAGTTGTATTGACTCTTGTGTAGTATTTATAAGAAAATATATAATTTTTCAATTTTTATAATTTAGTAATTGAAAACTAATCATTAAGTAAGCATTTTTTTTTTTGGCTTCATTTCACAATATTCATTCACATATTTTAAGTTTTCAATATTTCGGTGTCAATGGTTCATCTTCAGGAATATATATTTTTTTAACTTTTATTTTTATATCCACACGCCACAACTTAATAAAATTTGGCCTGTGATCAATTTTGAAATCACTTCCCTTCAAATTAATCTTGTTTTCCATTATTATTGAATTATTGTTTTGTTTTGTTCGTTGAATTCATTTTCCTGTTGATATAATGTTTAAATCATTATTATAGGAAAACCTGGTCTAATAAAAGGGGATTCCATCAAACCTGGAGCTGTAGTGATTGATGTAGGTATTACAATGGTATCTGAAAGCGAAGCAGAGAAAGACAAATTTGTCGGAGATGTTGAATTTGAAAGTAAGTATTTTTTATAATCCGCTTTTATCTATTTATTTTAATGAAGATAAAAGAGTAAAATCTGGTACACATCATACAACATTCACATACCATCCTACTTTGATAAGAAATTATTTTCTGGCAAAATTAGGCTGTCACGAAAAATTTTCTAAAGTTGTTATTATATATTATTAAATGTATATTAGTAGATCCTCAACATTTCTTCAGAAAAAAATTGAGTATTACATGTTAGAGAAATATAACAGTTTAATAAAGGATAAATAACTATATGAATGTCTTCTACTGAGAAGTATCATGTATCTGTAAATGGAGGGGGATTGGAGAAGATCAACTGTTTTCAGTTTCCAAGTTTTTTTTTCTCTAGTCCTTAGGTTCTACGTCCCATTTACTAACCCTTATTTCGTCTTTATTTACTTATTAAATTTTTTCATAGTTTATATTTAATATTTTTACTTTCACTTACCTATATGTCTTTTTTTTTTTTTTTTTGTTTGGCGCTACAAACCATGAAGATCTTTAACCGCGAGTGTGGTCTCCTAGACCACATCCCGATTCCCGATTTAAAGTACGGGGTAGGGTCATCAATCCTATGCCCGTAGGCTGACGGACCTCACATACCCGGGGGAGGGGAAGGGGGGGGAGGAGGAATCTTGGGCAGCGTGGCTTTCCTTGGTGGAGGGCCACCCATCCAAGTGCTAGCCACGCTCGGGTATTGCTTAACTTTGATTACCTATTGCAAGCGCCTTAGCCCGCAAGGCTACTCCAGCCCCCACCTATATTTGTATAGTATATTAGTAATTGAATAACTAATATATAGTAAGGGACAGTATTGCAATTATGAAAATTTTCGAATTTCAGTTTTCAACAGAAATACATGTTTTGAGGTCTCCTGAATCAAAATAACCAAGTCCCACAAAATGGTCTGTGTTTGTGTGTGTAAACAGTCTAGCTCAAAAACGAAAAGTCGTACAAAACTGAAATTACGTATTTAAGGTTAGTATATGGTTTGGATGTGACAGCAACTTTTTTATTAAAATTGGCTAACCGGAAGTGCCACTTTATATCATTGATTTTACAAATTTTATGATTTTCTCGAAAACGGCTCTAACGGTTTTGATTAAACTCAGTGTATTAATGTATAATTAAGTAATCCTTAATATCATTTAGGTCTTATCCTTATTGATATCACTTAACAGGACTTAAATATCCAATATTAAAAATGTCTTCCTCTTAAGTACATTTAATTTGGTTTATTTTAAATAATTTACTAACTCTCATTGTTAGGAGTTAAAAAAAAAAAAAATGCTTATCCAGGTTGATAATAAATCTCCGAAAATAATATTCAGAACGTATACATATTATATTTCGTTGGAAAGCGGAGAACTTTAGAAAAAATATCTTATAAATAAAGTTGCAGAAGGTAATGGAGAGTGATAGAAAAAATATAAATAATATTTTCTGAAAACTACCATTATTTATCATAAATCACATATTTCCAAGGAAATCAAATGAAATTTTCTTACTAAATGTAAACTTTTAACAATTTTTTTAAATTTGAATAAAGTATTTAAAATTAACGGAATCAAGACAATCACATTGTTTAAAATACTATTTCAGTGTACATGTGTAAAAAAGTGAAATATAAAAACATTTTATGGATATGTTTATAACCTTAAATACTTAAGATCTGATATTATATTTAATTAATTATGTATCCATCTTCTGTTTATTCCGAAAAGTTATCATGTAAACTTTTAGAAAATTAAATTAATGAATAATTTGATGAATTTTCACTTGTGATATAGTGGGGATTTTAATGCCAGAACAGGAAATAATGTTAGATCAGGATATGGCGTTCTAGGGCTGCATGGAGGTGAAAATGTAAAAAATAACAATGGACAGCGGCTAATAAACTTTTGTGTTGATAATGACCTCCTCATAGGGAATTAATTATACCCACACAAAAGAATTCATAAAATTACTTTCTCGTGCTTGGAGCGAAATAGTATAATTGACTATTTTATATATGACAGACACATTAGACAATATTTCGCTGATGTAAAGATCGTGAGAGGAGCATAGATAGGCAGTGACCACCTTCTACTTGTGGCTGATACAAAGATAATTGTAGATAGTAAAAGAAAAGCTAAGGCATTTAAGACCCTGAATATTAGAGCCTTGGATGATCCAGAAAAGAGATTCCTCTACACGAAGGATTTAGAAGATAAATTAAGAGTAACAACTTTCGACGGCGATGTAGAAAGTATCTGGAACAAATTAAAATCATGTATTCTGGAGGTTATAAATGCTGTATGTGGGAACAAGAAGGTGTCTGGTAAGGGAAAGCGGACTGACTGGTGGACCGAGGACCTTCAACGAATAGTGGCTCGAAAAAAGCTTGCCTGGAAAGCATACCTTTTAGATAGAAATGAGGAAAAGCTACAAAACTACCGAACAGCCAGGAATGAATGCAAGGCAGCCATTAGCCAGGCCAAGAAACGTTCGTGGGAGGATTTCAGTAAAAAACTGAGTGAAGACCATCGTGAATCCATAAGAACTTTTTGGCGAAAAATCAAATTTGTAAGAGGAAAGAAAAATAAGCCCGTCAGAAATATAAAGGATAGCGATGGATCCCTGCTTACCGACAAGGAAGAGATCCTGAACAGATGGAAACAACATTTTCAGGAACAATTCTCCAAAAATCCAGGAATATGTGACTGCCAAGAACGAGAGCACTCTACTCTAGAAAGCCTAGAGGTAATAGAAGAAGAAGAAATAGAAGATGCAATCCAGACTCTAAAAGCAGGAAAGGCACCGGGAAGGGATGGTATCGCCCCGGAATGTTTGAAATATGGTGGAAATGAACTCCTTAAAATCCTTCAAAAGCTCTTCCAGGAAGTATATGATAGAAAAAAAATTCCCAAGGATTGGGAATATAGCATAATCCTTCCAATTCATAAAAAAGGCAATTCACCGGATTGCAATAACTATAGACCCATCAGTCTGCTCTCTTTGGTCTATAAATTATATACCTCTATATTAGAAAGGAGGCTCCGGCGGCTTGTGGAGGGACAGCTAGAAGGTGAACAGGCTGGTTTCCGTCCTGGCCGGCAGACTCAGGACCATATCTTTGTTCTTAAGACCATCGCTGAAAGGCCTGGGACAGAAACAAAAACCTGTACCTGGCATTTCTTGATCTAAGGGCAGCGTTTGACTCAGTTCCTAAGAAAGAAATTTGGAACGCTTTGGTTGCCAAGGGCGTGCCTGGAGATTTGATTGAGGCAGTGAAATCAACCTACCAGGGAGCCACTGGAGTGGTAAGAATAGATGGCACGGAATCAAAACCTTTCCCAATTGCGAGAGGAGTCAGAAAGGGAGATAGTTTAAGCCCCGTCCTGTTTATAAACTTTATGGACAAGATCCATAAAATCTGCAAGCGTCGGACTGCATGGACTACAATTGGAAACTGGAATTTGAGAACAGTCATCGTACAGAGCTTTTTATATGCGGATGACATTGTGCTCATCGCCGATTCCAAGATAAAACTACAGCAATCACTGGTAGAATGGGAAGAAGAGCTGCTGAGAAAAGGTATGCAAATAAATGCCTCCAAAAGTAAAGTGATGGTTATGGCGAGAGAAGAAGAGGAAGACGTCCAATTAGTTTGCAACAAAGAGTTTCTTGAGGTGGTAAAGGAGTAAACATACTTAGGTACCATAATTACTAACGCTGGTAAGATAGATGCTGAGATTTCGTATAGAATATCTAAGGCGAATCAAGTATATCACCAGATAGCTAGTAGTATCCTCTGCTGCCGTGAAGTGGATAAAAATACCAAGATGCACGTCTACAAGTCTGTATACCTTCCTATTCTCACCTACGGCAGAGAAAGTTGGACTATGTTGGACAAACATTATAGTCGCATAACAGCAGCGGAAATGCGATTCCTACGTAAATCGGTGGGCAAAACTTGGAGGGGTCGCATTAGAAATGAAACAATCAGAGAACAGCTGGAAGTGCCTGAACTCAAAACCACCTTGGAGAACAGGCTATTAAGGTGGTTTGGATATGTCTGCCGCATGAACGAGGACATGGACCCTATAAAGATATTAGAGGCTCGACCCAGAGATAAGAGGTCACGAGGGCGTCCCAGAATCTCCTATCAGGAGTTCATAGAGAGGATCAGAGGTAGAAGAGGGAAATCCTTCAACCAAATGAAGCAGTTAAGCAGAGACCAGGAAGAGTGGCTTCGTTGGATAAAGGCTCCTCGACGCTAGAAATGGCATTGTGAGGAAGACAAAGAAGAAGAAGAAAATATCCTAACGGTATCCACTTACAATTAGTGTGACAACTTTTGACCTGTCTGTGATAGACAATGCAAATCTCTTTATTCCATTTTAGTGAACTTCGCAATGGAAAATAACAGTTTAATAACATAATAGTCGTACAATCCATAATCAACAGTTGATATAATAAATAGATTTTTAATATTTTAATGGTATTAATGATTTGTTAGCTGTAAGCTTTAGCTCTGTTAAAAATGCGCTTCAAAAATTTTATATTAGCCCAACATCACCAGAAAATGATTTTTATTTAAAACAGAGCAGTAAGTGAAAGTTGTGTGTTGTGCACTTCAGATTTGTTTACTATTTATTACAATCTGAAATGGTTAATTATTTGAAATAAACAAAATTAAAGGTACACTAGCAGGAGAAATTTTAAAATTTTGTCTTCAAGCCTTTTTAGGCTATTTCAACTAAGATAACAGCAGCCCGATATCAAGATAAAGACCACTTGATTTTACATTGATATAACAAGTTTAAAATAAATGGATTAAAATCAAAATCGATTGAGCCATTTTCGAGAAAAATGTGTAAATTATTATATGTGTGCCACCTACGATTAGACAATTTAGGCGAAAACGTTGCTGTAATAATCCAGGCCTACGTTAAATACGTAATTTTAGTTTTTGTAATATTTAATTTTTTATCAAGGCTGTTCACACACACGCAGGCACAAACATAGACCATTTTGTGGAACTTGTTTTTTTGAACTCAGGAAACCTCAAAATGTGTATTTCCGTTGAAAACTTGGATTTGAAAATGTTCACGATAGCAGTACTTTCTCTCTCTCTGTTGTTTTTTTAATATTCTTGTGATAGATTGCACTGCAACAACATCAGACCTATTGTGTGCCAAAATTGTCTGTTTATTAAAAGAATAGTTGGAAAACTGTAAAAGACTTGTTGAATTGACAATCTCACAGATCTTTAGATGGAGACAACTCCTTTCTCTATATGTAAATATTATTGAAATATTGGAAATAAATATTCCATATATTGGCAACTGAAAGTAATGAACATATAAACTATATATCACTGTGTGTGTATTGATGCTAAAGTTTGTATAAATACATACATATTATTTTGCTCAATTTGTATAAAAAATTAAATAAACCCACCAGAATGTTATTTTCATGATTAACCATCTATTTAGCTTCTTCCCAAACTTTTCGACTCAACTACTCTGAGAATACATGGATCATACAATAAAATGTCAAATTATTTTGTGTACTCAGTTTGTTTAATTTATTATTTATTGGGAAATTTTGCTGATTACTATGCTTCATATTTCGTACATTGACTAATGATTTATTTTATTTCCATTTTATAGAAGCAAGAGATATAGCTAGTCACATAACACCAGTCCCAGGTGGTGTGGGTCCAGTTACTGTTGCGATGCTGATGGCTAACACTTTTCACTGTGCTGTTCTTCGCAAAAATAGAAAACTGGAATTAGATCAGGCAAATTCCATGACTGAAGACTGAGTTGGACAAATGAAAGAAGGAGTTGTAACATTATGTTTTTGTTAAGATGTTCAATAAGCTTTTATCAACTTATGTTTTTTTTACCTTTCATGGTATTGTATAACTTGAAATATTAAGCCAATTGTGAGTTTCCCTAGAATTGTACACTGTTGAAAAAACTTTATTAACTATGAAAAAATATATATGAATTTTGGGCCCTGGTAAATATCATGAACTACATTAATAATTATCAACAAATGGAAACTTTTTTTTTTGCCCTCCCCATCCTCACTATACAGGTTTTTTCTGGGCCAGAGGGTGAGGGTTCTAACTCGTGACTATTTTTATCCAGTTATCTGTTTATCAGCATACCGGGCAACGGCGGTGCTGTGCACACACGTTAGCCCATTCAGCCACCCCGCCCCCTCTCAATAAATGGAAACATACCTCATTCGAACATCAAGGAATGATGTAACACATTTATAAGTTGCAATGGAATTAATTTGAGAACATTTATTTTTGACTCCGCTGCCTCACCTTTTTTTGGTTGTGTAGGATTTTTTCCGAGGACAGGGTTATAATGCCAGTGTTAAATGCTCCCTCTCCCCTTTTCCCGTCCCTCTTGGTAACGGATCTAAAACTCATAATCTTCATGTTACCAGATATGTGTATAGCAAACGCGTTAACCCAGTTGGTCACTCTGCCCCCAATTCATTTTAGGACGTAAGCTATAAATGACGTCAAGCAATACCCCTTTTGATAAAAATATTTGTGAATGGCAACAAAACCATCTAAAGCATTTATGCTCATAAAGAGGTCCCAATATGTATCCAATAAATAAATTTTGTATCAGTATTCTGTAAATTTTATTTATGTAAGATTATTTTACTGATTACATGGAACATTAATTTTTCATTTGATGTGTAACTTATAATATGGTAATTTATGACCTTATGAAGATTAACAACTTCAGTGTGTGTATTTCAAATCTCATTCCCAATTGTCAAAAATTGTATTATGTTTCTAGGGCTATATATTTCCTATTAATACTGATATATGAATTTTATCTTCATACTTTATTTAATAATCAACACAACTGTAAATGTAGGTTTCAAACAAAAACTTTTTGATGCATGTAGACATGTTTAATTATTGATTTATCTAATTATATCATTTCATGCACAAAATTTTATTTATCCTGTCCATTACTCCAAGACACAATTACGTCAATATGTGTAAAAACTCATTAATAATATAATTGATACATGGATAAATTATAATGTAATACATGGTTGGATAATTATATTGTTAGCTAGTGCTAAAAGTCCCTAAGTGTGTTTTTGATGCAGGTTAACTTTTAATTTTGTTTTCATGAATTTCGACCTCATTGATAAAAAAACACTGTAAGTACATCAAAATAAGGAAAAACCTTTGATTTATCATATATTGTGATTTAATTTTAAAGAATATTAATTAATGAATTATTGCAATAAACTCACAATATAATTTATGCATGGATGCATTATGTTAAAATGTTTTCTCTTTGGAGGAGAGAAGATATTTTGTGGAAACATTCAAAAGTATTTAACTCATCTATACATTTTAATTATATAAATCATTGAAGCATCATATCTGATATTGATTATACTTTGTTGGTTAAATATTGATTAACCCAGACTTTTAGTGAGAAATGGTATTAGTTTATTGAATTAGGTTCGAATAGAAAGCAATGTTAAAATAATTTTAAGTATATAGCATTAAAAAGGAAGGAGATGGTCCAGGGTGGCGGTCATAAGTAGGCTAAATAGTGGCAGAACTATTTTATTAAAAGCCATCGTTTCGACCCGACTTTGCAGGTCTTCTTCAGGGAGGTGTGTTCAGCTAGGAGTTTCACTTAGAACTGAATGTTGGCTTTTGATAAAATAGTTCTGCCACTATTTAGCCTATTTATGACTGCCACCCCGAACCATCTCCTGTTATAATGCAACAGTCAACTATTTAATATTCAATATATAGCATTAACATTAACTTTTGTGTTTAGAATTAAAAATCTGATGAAGTTTTCTTTATCAACCGATATTGTTGCAACCTTGTCCACGATAGGCAATGAAAATCTCATAATTAAATCGATCTACTTAAACCACAACTTTAGTTTCGGAGCTCTCTATGCAAAGAGAGATTTGTAAGAACATATATAACTCTAATTTATAAATAAATAGGGATTATACCATGTAATAAAAACTCTAGGAACTAAATCTATATAACTTCATACATTATTTTAACACTTATTTTTTCTCCTCATAAAATTTATCTAAATGGAGTTACAAGTTTCATTGCCTATTGTGGTTATAATTATCACCTATAATGTTAATGTTTTAGTGTCACTGTAGTACCTGTGATAGACAACATAGTTGTCCTTTGCTAATTGTAATTTATTGTATTTTATAAGTCACGGCTTTGTATGTAATAAGATAATAAAATCACAACTAATACTTTTTTTTCCTTTATTTATTTTTCTATATACCTTAAGTAACTTATATCCATTATTAGTATATCCTTGAGTCTACCTTTTATTTATTTAGAACATGCAGAACTGTGAAGCTTGTTTTATTTTCTGCTGGGTGGATTGAAATTTATCACATTATGAATACACAACAGAACTCTGTGTTCACCGAAAACTTATATCCTTAATTAGGCTAATGATATCTGAAATGGAATGGTGAAATAGCTGTGTCGTTTCCATCAAGATGTGGTTTAAGACAAGATGCTTTATCATTCCCCTTGTTCTTAAAACAGCTATCCGCTCTGGAGTAAAACTACAGATACAATTTTCAATTGAACAGTCTAATTGCGGATGACATTGACACTTTGAGGCACTCAAAATCAGCTGTGATACATGATAAATGGTACCTGATACAGCTAAGATACATGTTTGACTTAAGGCTGCTGCTAAACATCTTATTGTGGGGGATGGGGAGGATGAGTGGGCTAACATGTGCAAAACATCTGAAGATTAGTAGCTCGAATCCTGGTGCCGCAGGGGCTTTTAATTCTGGCATTAACCCCCCCCCCCCTCCCCCACCATCTCTCCTGGCCCGGGATAAACTCTCTTTAACCGGAAAGATAAGGTAAGAAAGAAAAAAATATACATATATTTATAAAGTGTGTCATGTCCTCTAATTAGTAGCCTTAATACCAAGAAGTCATGGAGGACATTTCTGCTTTTAATAATTAATGTAGATCCTATCCTGATTTCTTCTGTGCAGTCCAATCAAATTTGATAATTTCGGAGAAAAGCCCTTTTTGTTCCAACAGATTCTAATGCAATTTGAAAGACAAATTTTAAGAAGAATCCTTAATTCTACATGTGCTAATAACATCAGGAGGCAGTTAAGTGGCCAAGAAATAATTATGCTTCATTATGATGATGTGGACATAGTTAAATTTACTAAAGTTGAAAGACTTTGATGAGCAGAACATGTTACCAGAATGAACTCAGAAGCGATTCCTCCAAAGCAGCTAGAAGAAATGGAAGACAGGAAAGATGGAAGGATTGTGTCAATGAGGATGCCAAAACCATCCTTGGCCACAGAAACAGAGAGCAGTCTCAAAGAATAGAGATGGTTTTACCTGACTAGTGGTTAAAGCCACTAGTGGATCCAGGATTTAATTTTGGGGGGGCTTCAGTCCAAAAGCTTTTTTTTATAAAAATTACGATAATTATTTTGTAAAAAAAGAAAGAAACTATCTATATGAAATGGTGTTTAAGTGATTCCTTAAGTCCTTTTAAATGTAATTACACGAACAATAATACTTTAAGAGATAATTTTTTGATATGTTTTTCCATAAAACATGGTTATATTTTACCATTTTGGGGGGGGGCCTTCAGCTCGATAGCTCTCCCCTAAATAACGCCGTAGTTAAAGCTGGAAGAAACCTTGACTATACTGAGTTGAAGGGTCAGTTAAATAAGTAAGTAAGGAAAATAACAATATGATTTATGGGATTTGATGAGAAGAATAAACCAATGGTCATGAATGATTTGTTAGGAGGGCCTGAAATTTCAAACTTCTGGATGATATAACCATTTCTTAGTTCCAGACATTGTAAAATGAATGCCCAAGAAACAAAGGGAGGTTGACTATTTTCACCAATTACTTATTGGGCATGGTTGATTCAGCTTAGTTGAATAATTAAGTAGATATTATGCTCGCTTACCAAGCAATCCATTGAAGTAGGTAGTGGGCTCCCCTACTACGTGGAGAATCTGCCTGACAGCAAATCCACAGGTTGTTAAAGAAACAGGGGAAGACGTGTAAGTCTACTTGAAGATTTATTTTGTCTAGGGTCTACTTCGTCTTTATCCCTTTATCTATGACAAAAATCAAAAATAAATAATTCATGATAAGTGATGATAAAAAAATCAATAGAAAATTTAATATAAATATACTTTTAATATAAATTAATTAAGGGTTAACAATTAATAGAAGTTATAGTTAATATTCAGCACCAACACATTGGCTTGTAGGAACAGTATATAATCGATATTCTCATCGATACTAAGTTACCTTTTGCTTCAGTGGTTCGTGTGTTATTAATTCAATAACCTGCTTATGGTCTTCCCGTGTGTACTTGTGTCAGTTAATATTTTGAATGATTTTCAGTGTCTGTTAGTCCATTTATTGTTTCCTATTTAAGTTTAAGTTTCTGCAGTTTTTTTGTTGTTGTTATTACTTTTGAAATAATACAGCACCCTCATTTTTGAGATGCTGTGTTTACCTCGACTTGGCTAAGTAGGAGCATGTCAGGAACACGTGTGTTATATCGAAGAATCGTCTGCGAGGTTCTTAAGTTGTCATGAATTCTGTGGTCAACGTTTATTTTTACGTTATTCATTTAAGAAATCGTACAATGTAACTATAATAGTGATAATGTACTGAAGTCTTTATTTTGTTCGACGTTATTGAACTTTCTCTTTATTACAAAAAAAAGTGTCATTTGACCCCAATTTTGTTTTTATTTGGAAAAATAATGCATTTTTTCCAAAAATACCTTCTGCCTAAATTCAGATTAATATTGTGACAGTGTGTTGAAGAATGGGGAAGAGAAGAACACGCCAACAGTCTTCTAACGGAGTTGTGAATGAGGATTCTTCAGAATCAGATGGAGGCCAAAATTCTGACAAATCGCTAAGTATGAAATCGTTAATTTTTTATAAGTTTCTATTTTTTTTAAGTACTTATTGTTTGACAGAGTTATTATTGTAGTATTCATAAATGTGACATTAACTTATGGAATCATGGTTTTCTTATAATAATTAGTTATACAATTTATATTGTAAGACTTCATGTTCAAGTTTTGCATTACAGCTGCTGTTAAAGTATGTCAACATGCTGGAAAATCAATTGAGCAAAACCAAGTTAAAAAGAATATTCATTTGGAAGATATAGAAAATAATAATTTCTGCCTTATTTGCAGTAAACAAGGACAATCAATAAAGGTAACTTGAGTGCAATTATTTTGGTTTTAAATTTTATAAATTGCTGAGTTTATTGTTATGTTTTTAACCTAATAGGGAGAGGATGTTTGGGTATGTTTGCGCTGTGGTGCCAAAGCTTGTTCCTTAGACCATTCTCAACGTCACAATGAAATACCTCATTCTGATTCTCATGCTCTGTCATTAAAATTGTCGGATAAGACAGTTTGGTAAGTACTCACTGCTCTTTTGTTACTTATTATGGCAATTTCTAGTCATAACTATTATTCAGTTATGTTAATTGAGTTGTTTTAATGTAGTTTTTTAGTTTTAATTATGACATAATGAGGATATTGTATTTTGTGATCAAAGCATTAAATTTGTGTTAGCTATCATTCATCGTTTATGGATTGATTGGTTTATATTTTTATAAATAATTTTCTCTTATTCGAGTCGCGTTAATTTTTATAATGACGATTAACGTGTTTAAAAAGATTCTTTTGAACCTAGTATGGATTCTCTGCTTCATTGGGAATATAATCATTTATAATAAACTATTGAATTGTGCTTAAAGTTTTGTATATAGGCTAGGTTACTATAACATTAAAAGCATTTATATTATCATTCAAACTGTGTTGGGATGGTTTTTTTCCATGGATCCACTACTCCAGTGGTAAAGAAAGAAAGTAAAGAAATACTGACATCTGTCGGATCGATATAGCCACTTTAACACAACATAGTATTTAAGAATATTAACATCATCACATATTAAGCAGTTAGTTACTAAACTCCAGTTTAGAAATGGAAATTGAACCAATTCTATTAAGAAATCTGTTAAAATTTAACCACAATGGTCCTTAGTTTAGTCCTTGTAATGTAAGTTAATATATAATAGACCAATATAAATTGGCTAGTTGCATGGTTTAATTATTACTTAAAAAATTCCGTTGTTCTGATATTTTTATTTATTGGGAGTTGTTCATTTTGATTTTAAAACAAGGTATTAAAGGAAAAAAGATATAAATATCTGTATTTGTTATTATTTCATTTATCTGTAGCAGAGTATTACACTTTTTTTCTTCATTCAAATTGTAATATAATAAGAGCAAGTTTCTCATCAACCTATTATGGATTCTAGAAATGCAAATAAACAATTAAATATTCAGGAAAAATTAATCAATCTACTTCTGGTAATAGAAATATTTGCTGAGAATTATGAACCAAAGTTTTTTTCTCTTGGCAGAAATATAATAATATTGCCATTAACTGGGTTTATTATTGGTCATTTATGTTACATTACAATCTTTGTGGTTAGATATAAACACAATGGTTAGATAGCCACCAGAAAATAGGAAATCTTTTTTTTTTAGTTGTATTGTTGTTGGTTAGAAGAGATGGTTACAAGACTTGCAAGAAAGAATGGCCACCAGGGGGTTTCAAGAAGAAGACTGGGAAGACTGAAAAAAATGGCAAGGTCTCTTAGGAAAAAATTTATGTGACCTTAGGTTGTAAAATATGCTATTACAAAAAATTAGTTATTATTAATTATAAGCAGACAAATTGTGTCCTGTGTTATATAAGTGGTAGATTAATTGTGTGATAGGAATACTACTATTCTGGAAAACCCAGCCTATATAAACTGGGTACCTAATCCTTAACTAGGTTGGAAGGGAAACTTGGTAGTTAAGTATGTTCTTCATGACCAGATCATCTCTCCTTGTATAACCTTTGGTCAGGGAATGATATTTCTTTTATTAAAACTTGATGGATTACTTTATTTTTCCTACATTAGTCAACCTGAATTAATAGTATAATTAAACAGTATACTAATAGCTAAATAATCTTTATTTTTTAAATATGTTCCTACGAGTTAGAATTTGATCTCATGTATTTTATTCAACTACTTCTGTCACTGTTACCTCCCCCTATTTATTGAGAATGTAATGGCGGGGTGTGTTTGGCTTAAGAATTTTATGCCATGTTTTCCTGACTCATTTTGGTAAAGTTCAAGCTTATACCACATACTGTTTTAAGGATTCTGGGTTATGGGGTCTGTGTGCCCATTCTACGACAACCCTATTATGCACAGCAAGATTGTTCAGAGTTGCACAGCCTTTCTTTCTTTAACAATCTGCGAATCCATATAGTAGTTATTTAGAGCGCCTATTGCTGTCTGACTGTCGGTATAGATTATTCTTCTTTGACCAATCAGTTGTTCATACAGTAGATTAAAGACACTGGCAAATTTTCAGTTGTTCAGATTGTAATACGGAGGCATATTTGCCAAGGGGGATTGAAAAACCTTCTCTGGATTTATCTTTCCTATGGATGCTTGCTATTAGCTGTGAGAGAGCAATCTGTATAACAGTTTATGCCACTTATTGTTATCGATTACGTATATTACTTTACATTGTTTTGATAAAATAATAAAATTCAAGATTAAATTTACTTAAATATTTTCTTAAGTATGAATATTCCCTTAAAATCTAAACAAATCATTTTTCAGTATTTTAAAGATGGGTATGATTCATTTATTAAGAACCTTATGAAAATTTTATAACACAAAATATTAAATATAACAAAACTGGATAGTCAATGAAGTTTGAAAGCCATGGCTCTGCTTATTTATTTCCAAAACATTTCATCTCTTTTACAATAATCATGTAATCAATGTTTATGGATATATGGATTAATGAAGTAATGACATTAACAAAAAATAGTTTGTAATATTTGTAAATTGTTCAGACACTTACTTGTGATTTATTTTTCACTACAGAGTCTGCTTTTCCCCTCGATTTGTAGTTTATTTCTCAAGCAAAGCTGTAGCTTAAGTAAATTATAGTGTACCCCATAAAATGAACTTGAGTTGATAAATTGAAAGAGATGAGCTGAGGAACTCTTAAACAACCTGCTTATAGTCCGAATTTGCCCCTTTGTTTTAAAGTATTTTACTAACGTCCTAAAAAGGATTACTTCGAGGAGAAAAATTCGAAAGCAATAAGTCAAGTTAAGAATTATAATGTAGGATAGTGATACTCCATATTGATAAATTATTGAATCTGAGTTCTTAAGACCTGATAAAGAAAGGAAGTAAAGAAATACTGACATCTGTCGGATCGATATAGCCACTTTAACACAACATAGTATTTGGGAATATTAACATCATCACATATTAAGCAGTTAGTTACTAAAATATATAATGAGATACGTATTTGTTCAGGAAGGCTGGGATGCCTCGGGAGGGATTTAAGAGTTTCCAATTATAAGGGCTTTGGTTTTCATGGCACTTGAAGTTAACTTAGTGAGAGTGGCCCATGCATTTATTCTGTTGATGTTGTCCTGCATTTTCATGATTGCATTTGAGGAGTAAATAGGGTCAAAGGAGAAATGAATATGAATGTCATTGATATATAAATGATACTGGGAATGTTAATTGGAGAATGAGAGATCATTGATCAAGATAGAAAAAAGGGTTGTAACCCTTGTCTGTTGACAAATTCTAACCTTGTCAACGACGGCGTATTGGGAATGATCAGTGAGAAATGATTGAATCACTGAAGGACACTGGGTGGCAAGGATAGACTGTAAAGTTTATTAAGGAGGATATTGTGCTCAACAGAATCAATGACTTTGCAAAAGTGAAACAAAAAATAAGGATGATGCAGGTAGTTCAAAAGGTTATTTATTCCGTTCCAAAAAGTGGGGTAGTTGGGATTGGACTACTTGTTCTATAGGTTTGGATAAATTTGAAGGAAGAAAAATTGGGTGGAATCATTAAGGGTGAATTAGATTTCTTCTTCGATGAGGGAACTAGAAGAGTTTTACAGGAACAGGGAAGGTGGCCTTTTGTAATGATGAGTTGTATTTTAAATAAGAGGATTAGAAAGAAATGTGACTTTATTTAGTTTGATTGGGATATTATCAGGTCCATAATCATTGGTATTGGGTTTTACAAAAGGAGTCAACGAGGTCATCATTGGTGAGATAGAAAACAGAAAACACTGATCAGAGTCAAAGGGGAGATAAATAGGGTCCAGAATGGATGTCAAAATGAATGTTCAGCTAATCAGCAAAAATTAAATTGATTAGCTCTGAGGTATATCACCAATGGGCAGTTTGCGAAGGATTGCTTATTTGGTCTTGGAAATTTGCTGAATAGGGATTTATCGAACTAAAGAAATTTGGCACTGCGTACTGCCATGTATATTCCGCTATTTGGTTTAATTTATTTAGCTAACATTTCTACTCCAATTATTTTTTTCGTCAGACCTACCAAAATAAAATTTAACATTGCAAAGTGATGTAATAATGACCATAATACAAAACCAGTTACAGAGTAAATATCAAATAAAATATAATGAATACAAGTACAAGCCTTTGAATATAGTATTAAAAGTTTAGAAATATTAGAAAGGTTAAGAAATATTTTAATCATCTTGATCATTCCCTATATTAGTCAATATAAACAAAAAAGACTTGAAAATGTGTATTCGAAAATTACATTCAACAACACAACAATTGCACAGGGTGACTGACTACATCTCTACAGCACTAGAGCGGAAATTATATGCAACCGGAGTATTTCTGGATGTCGCCCAAGCGTTCGACAAAGTATGGCACCAGGGGCTTCTCTTCAAGCTTAAGACCATACTTCCACATACTTACTACTTAATTCTCCATTCCTTTCTCTCAGATAGATTTTTCTCCGTTCGACATGGCCAAGGTCTATCCTCAATTCGATCAGTTTTAGCTGGTGTACCTCAGGGATCAATCCTAGCCCCACTACTGTACATCACATACACACACGACATTCCTCAAAGTATCCACACTCTTACAGCAACCTACGCAGACGACACTGCTATCATTACCAGGCACGACAATCCTACAGAGGCATCACTTAACTTACAACATCACTTACAAATTATACTCGATTGGTGTAAACTTTGGAAAACTAAAATAAATTATCAAAAGTCACAGCACATCACATTTACTCTAAGACCAGAAACATGCCCTCCTGTATACTTAGACAACATACCGATTCCACAAACAGACAGAGTACAATACCTAGGCCTTACGTTCGATAGGAGAATGACATGGGGTCCACATGTGAAGAAAAAACGAATCACATTAAATCTAAGACTAAAATTGTTACATACACTGTTAAGACGACCTTCCAAATTAAAGGCAAGACAGAAACTAAGTATTTACACGTATCTTTTAAAACCTCTTTGGACTTACGGACTACAAATATACGGAATTGCAAAACCAACTCACATAAATAAACTTCAAACTTTTCAGTCTAAGATACTACGACTAATCACTCAAGCACCATGGTACGTAAACAATCACACTTTACACACCGACCTACACGTTCCGACAGTCAATGAACACATACGAACGTACTACAAACGATTTCATACCATGTTAAACGGGCACTCCAACCAGCTGGTAAAAGAAAAGGCCACAACTAGTATGCCCGAGAACTCCAGAAGACGACTGAAAAGGGTCTGGATGAGGGATCTGCTTAAATAATGTTAGTAAATAAAAGCCATGGAAGGGATACCGCTGGGTATTGCTATTCCTCATGCCTATCAAGCCTTTTTTATTTATTTATTTTTTATTTTATTTTATTTTTCTCTCATTACTAAGCCAGCACATCTGCTGATTGTCAATAATAATTGACAGGTGCGGATAAATAAATGTAAGTGCAAAAAAAAAAAAAAATAATAATGTTTTCACCTTGAACCATTTCCCCCCTATATCTTATTTTAATTGATACAAAACCTATCTATCCTTGGATTGTGTTGGATATAATATTTTTTTCTTCAGGTGTCATTTATGCAAAAGTGAGATCCCTGCCTCTTCCAATAAAAAATTAAAAGGATGTGTTAATAATGTTGAAAACATGTATGAGAAGTATCTTCAGGGACCAACTCCACCACAAAAAAATGGAGCAACAAGTAAGCTAGAATGATATCAACCTCTGTAATGTGCATTAAATCTAAATTTTTAAGCTTTGTTTTAATTTTGGGATAAATCAAATATAAATAATGGTAATTATTTTTATGTATTTATTGATTGAGGTTGTATACAAACCATAATTTTAGCGTATCTCAGCGTAGTATCCTGTGTGAACTACACACTAATTTGGAAACTTTCTGTTCTTAATACTTATTAATTATGATGAATCATAAACATAAATTTTTAATCTTTAAAGGCATTATAACCTCAGAAACTTTACTTGTTCAAAGGTATAGTTCAGGGACTTTACACGACCCAGAATTGAGTTCTTATATGGACCAGAGACCTTTATGGTGTAATGAGAAAAAGTAAAAAAAAAAAAATTCATTATCATGATCAATGAATAAGTTGTATTGAATATGATCACCAGTTAATTGTCAAAGAAATCTTAATAGGTGTGGTATTAATCAATTAGATAATATTTGTCCTTTTGCTCCAGAAAAAGATGAGGTGTGTTCCAAATGGATGTCATCTTTTTTGCATGGCAATTACCATACCTCTCAACATGATCTTGAATAGAAATAAATTCGAAGAAATTATTTGAAAAACACCCTCCTTACAAACCTGATTAAATTGCCCTGTGTTAATATTAACACATTATAACATGCCCTTCGAGAATAACAATTTGAAAGCAATGAAGAATTGCTGCCAATTGACTGATAACTTTCTCACTCACTTTTATGAACAAAATATATATTCAAATATTCAACCTTCCAAATTGATCATGTAGTGTGTAGATCAGGCTGAATACTACATAAATGTTGAAACTATGGTTTGCGTATAGCATTAATTAATAAATAAAAAAAACTTTATATTTGCTTTGTCCTCCTATAGTTGTTATGCAAAACTGTTATATTTATCGCTCATATTTCCTTTTTTTAAGAAATGGAAGCAATCAATGAAGAGGAAAAAGAAAATAAAGTGCTCGAAGCCATTCCTCTTCTTCCTCCAAAAATAAGGACTCCTCCTCCGTATGGTTCACCAGTTAGGGTAAACAGTTTTCTTTAAGAAATAATTACATTTCTCTAATTTGAAATACATTGATTGATTTAGTTATATATATATTTATTTTTTTTATACAATAGGGTCTAGCAAATTTGGGAAACACATGCTACTTCAATTCTGTTATTCAGTGCTTAGCACAAACTCCTAACCTCACTAAAACATTAAAAGAAATGGAAATATCAGATAAAGAAGTAAATATTCATCTGAAAAGTGGCAGAACTCTCGTAAGTGTATTTGTATTTTGAAGAACTTTTTTTTTTTCATGGTTTTCTACTTGTTTAGATACATATTAATTGATAAAAACTCATATATTTTTGAAAAATATTTTGGATAAAGCATTACCAGCGTTTTCTGTTCTATCGTGGACGAACAATAGTTTCTGTTTTCTGTCTACTGCAGCTAGGGCAGAATATGAGAGAGGTGTACTAGCCGGAGTTAGATAATCACAGATTATTTCATGTTATTTTCATTTTTCTGAAAATTTACTGCTATGCTTAATGTATTTGAAAGAAATATCCATCTATACACGTACATAACAGAAGCATGTAGAATCTGGATTTTATACGATTCAGAACTCCATTGTAAATGATAATTACATAATTATTCATGCTTGAAATTGTACTGATTTCTTACATTAATTATTTTCTAATTCTCTGACAGTTAAAAGTTTTGTGATGTCTCAAATTTTTTGGCAAATCGGAAAGAAATTTTCTTGAAATAGATACTGATTTTTAAATAACTAATTCCAGAGTGAGGTACAAGCTTTTGTATGTGACTACTGCTTGATATAAAAACGTTTTGTTAAGCAATCTTAGAACATTATAAGAGATAGTTTTCTTCTTGTCGTGTAAGTGATTTAGAGATATTTTGTATCAAACAAGACTTGTTTTCTTCATGTGAAGTCATATATTATTTATGGCTAGATCTGGAATATGGAGGAAATTAATACCACTGTCTTGATGATTTGTAATATTGATAGAAGAAAAATGGATTGTTGTTTACTTTTATTTTATATTTCAAAAATTTAGAGATAATATTTAGGTTTATTGGAGTTTATAAAATTTATTGAGTTATTAATAGATATGTTTTTTAAGTATTAATAAAATTTATTATCATTTGGTAGTCAGGTACACTAGAGAAGTGGGATGCTCTATGTGAGTCGCTATGTGAAACCCTTTGTGAAGTGAAAGCAGGAGGCTCGACCTATGTACCACAGAAGCTGCTATCACTCCTGAGGAAAAGGGTACCTCAGTTCAGAGGCAGTGATCAACATGACTCTCACGAACTGCTCCGTCATCTCCTTGACTCTGTCAGGGGCCAGGATCTCAAGGTTCGTTTCAATAGAATTTTTTATCTTATAATTTAATATTATTATAAAATGTATTATGTCTAATTCATTATTTATTAATTTTTTCTATCAGAGATATAGAAGACTGATGCTTAATGAACTTGGACTTAATGGTCTAGAAAATACAGAAAAAGTAGATGCCGAGAAAACAAAAGAACTTAAACAATTAGATCGAGAGGTACCAGATTGTTCATCTTTATAACATTTCTGTTCGTTGATGCAATTTTACATAAATTATACAACTGGATTTTACAGGTAACTGACACTATAATGCTGATACCTGATCAAGTCTTCCGTGGGTTTCTTGTGAGCAGGCTTGAATGTCAAGAATGCCATCATTCTTCTGAGTGCGTCGAATCCTTCCTTGACTTTTCCTTACCTGTAACTTCAGAGAAGGTATTGTTGCTTTATTTGAAAGTATTTGTTAATTTAACAAAGAAAAGATTGTTATGATCCTTTAATTACTTTTTGTTCATCAATTATTAAGTTGGAATTAGATTTTCTGCAATGTATCCTCCTGTATAACTTATTTAACTTTACTTGCTTCAGCCACAGCCACCATCTCTTAGGCGGAAAGGATGTGGTGGTTCTGAAGATAAAAGTGGAAGCTCAGTTATGTCAAAGCATCAATTGAAGAAAGAAAGGAAAATGGAAAGGAAAAAGAATCGTGGAAAACATCATAACCAACCTCAAACGAAGAAGATCCAAGGGCCAACGATGGGACAAGGAGAATCTATTCTTCCTATTTCTGAGAAAGGTAAAGTTAAAATTATGTTTTTATAATGCATAAATATTACACATAATCCCTGATTATTGAACTGAATCGTCGGATTGCCATGCATAACTGAAGTTTGGGGATAATCTGCATGTAAAAAGAAATTGTAGAAGCAATAAATTGTTTTAAATAAATAATTTCTATCATTATTAATATAGTAACATCTAACTAGTACAATTATAACATTGTTCTGTTTGAACTGTAGGTGAAAGTGATGTTGACGGTGATGTAGAAAGTGAAGGCAGTGATAGGAAGTTTGGGACAGGAGAAGGGGAGTTGAAGAATACTAACAACATTCCTAATGACTCAGGGTCTGCTCCTGATAGCCCCAAATTGATGCGAAGGACCAAAATGGATCTCGGTATCGACTACACTAAGTTTCCCCTCTGCAATGGTCTTCCAGATATTTCAAAACTCGGTTTAAGTGATCCTTCTCAACCTGAATTGAAGGTATATTTCTTCATTTGATTTATTTATTTTATTTTATAATTCCTTTTTTTTGCATATTGGGAAGTTTTTTAAGAATGAGAGTTTAATGTTAAAAATTGTATTCAGGATGATTTGAAGTGCATAGATAGTATTATTAATTTAGTTGGTTCCTCAATATCTATTGTCAAGGTATTACTATTAAAGAAATCTAAACCGTTTTCAGAACCTGCAAAGTTCTTCTCTTTTTTTAATAAATATTTCATTCATTATTGGCACAACAGACGCACGTAATGGTCCTAGCCTTGCTCAATTTTCTTTGCCCTCTCATCCCTGATGGATATGCCATTTTTTTCTCCAATCTTCTTTTACGTTATATATCCTTCTTCCCTTGGGGCTTCTCCTTGAACTAATTCTCTTTGGTTTCTCATGATAAAGCTTTCTTGCTGTCCTCCATTCTCAGGATATGTTCTAATCATTTCATTCGCTGAACTTGAGCGATTTGGGAGATAGACAGACATTGAATAAACCTCGTTTGTTCTCAAGCAGGGAACTCCTTATCCGCATTATGATTTTCCTTTCAAACCGATCTATTCGTTCTTTAGAGTCCATGTCTCACATGCATATGTTACAACTGGCCAAATATTTATTTTTTATAACCTATACTTGGATGTGCGACTCAATCTACTTTGCTGAAGCCTTGCTAGAGAAAAGTACGCTCTGTTGGCAGCCATTATTCTAGCTCTAATTAATTAGAGAATTATTATAAATAATTACAACATAATTTTGTTAATACTCCTGAATAAAATACTCCTTTTAACCTAGTTAAAATTGAACTCTTTATTCAATTTGGGCTCTGAATTTTTATTTAGTTATATGTTTGTGTCATTTTAGGAATATTTTTCTTTATTAGAGGTAACATTTTATTCATTTGCATGTTGTAGAATTGTTTTCATAGATAGTTGATGGAATGTTTTTCCAATAAAAAATTAAATTTTTTATACCTCTTGAGGGCGCTTAAAAATGAAGTGTATGCTACTTCTCATAGTTTTAGATGAATTAATGTATTTATTTCTTGATTATGTCTCTATATTTGGGTCCCTTGATGCAAAGGTCCCAATATTTCTACTAAATAATTTAGTGCAGAATCATGACTACCTCAAAGAATTGAGCATGATGTAACAAAAGCAATAAATGTAACTGTAATAAGGAAAAATACTCTTTAAGTATTAACAAATTAAGGGAATTTTTATCAAAGTTTATTAGGGTCCTAGTTAATCTGGACAAGATTTAAAAAGATTATTATAATTTAATAAACTAAAATTTTATTTAGTGGTGACATGTAAGTAGAAAAATAATTAATTTAAAGGCAGTTTGATTTACTCAACTGAGACTATGATGACAAAGAAAGATAGTAAGGACATTACAGACAACGGATATATAGATTATGAAAATAAAGTTAAGCTGAGAAGATAATGAAATGAAAAAATATTTTATTACTCTGGGACTGTTCTCCCTTTAGAACAAACTATAAATACAGATTGTATGTCTGTGTGGTCACAATTAGACTATATATTTACAATAAGAGTTGACTAAAAATAAATATACTGAAGAAGAGAAAGAAAAGAACAAGAAAATTGTACATATATATGTGAAACTAAAATAACCTAAATAAATTGAGGTAGTCTCTATTAGATATTTCTCTTAAGTATATTTCGCAATCAGTCGGATGGAGAAAGGAGTAGATGTTTAAAGAGGAGAGGTTTGAAAGAGGAAACTGATTGAGCATGTCGAATATCAGCAGGGATGGAATTCCTGAGATAGTGATAATTTATGGAACAAAAAAATTGCTGAAATATTTAATCATGCCCATTGTCATTGCAAATTACATTTATCTTTACTTTAGTTAATCCTGATCAGGTTTGTTCCCATCTAGCCCAAATTAGTGGGACTCATCTGTATTTTAAAATTAAAGAAGTTACTCTTTTAGGGTAACTGGCTGTTTAGACATTTTATAATTTTTAAAAATTCTGTTTAATTTTTGTGTGGTATAAATAAATAATCAACTTAATTCAAGCCTTATTAATTTTTGATGATTTGGTTTTATGATTTATTTTAAGATCTTAATAATAAATCAGATTAAGAGTAACTAAATTTATTTGTAAATCTCAATCTCAGAGATAGGAGATAATGATAGGTTTACTTTTTGGCAATCGGTATATAAACTACTTGATGTTTTTAGAAATATATTTTTATTAACTGTTGCATATTATTATTGATAACCATTTTATCATCAGACAATTGTGAGAGATGCTGCTACCATTGTTAAAGAGGACCCGATGTGGGAGTCGCGATTAAGAGAGGATAATGACCTTTCCTTGGAAGCAGCTGAGGAGGAAAACAAAGAAGTTAAACCTGCTGAATCTTCAGATGATCTAGGGAGAATATCTGAAGAGGCTGATGAACCAAGTGAGGAAGAGGTGTGTATGATGGTATTAATATGGATGTGATGGTTAGAAATGGATCATTATTGTTAAAGTTATTCATTTAAAATATTTTTAAATTCCTCCTCTCCCTCAACCATCTTCTTCCTCCTACTTGTTAAAAAATATTCTTAGCTTTATTCAACCAAAATTCCTTTTAAATACTTTTAGTTGCTTTTATAGAATTATTTTATTGTATTGATGCAAAGATAATAGATAAATTATTTTAAATACTCTGCTCGTTAATGAAATTTATTAATTTTTAATTTAAGAATTGTATCAGTTACTGAATAAAAGCATGTTTTTAAGTGCTAATGATGCCTCAGTATAATAAAACTTGAATAAGTGAATAATTATATTTTATGACCAATCAGGACGTACTGGTGGGGAGCCTGTTTGACGAAGTGAACTGCACGGACTCTTCAGGAGAATGCTCCATACAGACTTGCCTAGCACAGTTTACTGGCATTGAACTGATGACTGGTAGTAATAAAGTCGGCTGTGAGCAGTGTACTGCACGGGCCAATAAAGGTACTGTATTTTATATAATTATTTGGATTTTTTCTATTTATTGTTTGTAAAATTTAATAGTTTGGATGAAAAAATCAGTAAAAACATTTGAGTTGACTACCATTAATTGCCACTTGATTATCTTCTATGGAACTAATATTTTAAAAATTGTGATAGATTCTTCTATAGTAAATATTTTCCAATTTATTAAAATAAAGCCTTCTTCCTCTATGAAGCTGATATGCCTGCTGAAGTCAAGAAATTTTTAAGTTTTTATGAAGAATTTCTTGTTTAAATTAAAATTTTTTTTTTTGGTCCTCCCCTTCCTCGCCGTTAAGGCTATACAGGGTTTTCCCGGGCCAGGGAGTGTGGGCGGGGATTTAAAAGACTCCCTCGGCACCGGGTCGCGAACTCGTGTCTATTTTCATATCATAGAGTCATAAGTCAGGTTGCCAGGCAACGGCTGTGCTGTGCACACTCGTTAGCCCATTCGGCTACCCCGCCCACTAAATTTTGATATTTTGTTGTGTTTATTTTATTTCATTTGAAGTATTTATTAATTTGTGATTTATAAGTAAAAAGTAAACAAAAAGCATATATTATTCTCCCTTAATTGGCTGTTGACTAAGAGATAATGCAAAGTTTACTTACACATCACATTTGTACAGTTATACAGATAAAATTCATATTATATTGGTGTAAGTATGAATAGAGAGCATCAAGGAATAGAACATATAATCAAGTTTGGCTTATATGAACTGAAAATTTGTTAGTTATTATAAATAATTCGCAAGATCTTTTATTTAAAATAAAAAAATGTTTTATTGTTGGTAATTAATTGTCTTGTATAATTAGAGTTTTTGAACTAGAATCGTGAAAAGTACCTCGTTAGTCAATGTGTTCAACTTATTAATTTTATTTTGTTATGCATTATTTCTATTTTTAAGTAGCTTGAGCCTTTACTTTCATTTCTACGGACAGAAAGGAAGAGGAGTAAAATCAGTATTTATGGTCGGTCATGGTCTTACTTTCTTTTTAAAAAATATTATCTATTGGACCGATGAGTATGCTGTATGGATTAGTTAGTTGAACAAAGTTGTGACCAGTTATAATTTCATTGTAGTTCTCTTTATTTTATTTTTTAAATTTAAATATTCTTGAAGTTTTATTTGAAGATATATAGTAATATAAGAAATAGTGAATTATTTGGAAGAGATATTCTCGTATGCATTCCTATATAACTTTTTTTTTTTTACAACTTTTCTTTACTTATTGCAGGAGTTTGGCATAAAAATAAATAAATTAAGAGTCCCTTTTTGCCAAAAAAAGCTCTTGAGTGTCTGTCTTTCTTTTATATGTATAAAGAAATCATAAAATATATTAGGAAAAAATTTATATATTTTCAATCAGTTATTTAAATAAAATACATTATCATTAATTCATTAATAAACTATTTTCCGAGTAGAAATTTTATTTATTACTAATTTGCTTATATGATAATAAGAATAAAATAAATCAAATTATTTTTTAATAAAACTTATATAAAAATTATTATATATAATTATTCTGATATTTGGAATTACCTATATATTCATATTTTATTAAAATAACCCTTCCCAACAGAAACGTACTGCAACGGACAAATCCGTCAGACAGGTTGCTATCTGTTGTGGAACGGTTTAGTGAAACGTAACCAATGTGCAGTGATACATAGATTGATCATTTTCATTGTTACAATCTTTAAACCATCTTGGATATGGATATGAATAGATAGGATAGAGGTTTGCTCACTTATTTAAGCAATAAAATTTTCATTACTTTTTACATATTTTCTATTTTTCTTTTCACAATATCTTGTTATTGATGTTGAAAGCTATTGAGCACAGAATTTACTTCTTTTTTTTTTGTTCTGAGTTAAAAAGTATTCTGTTGTAGGCAACAAAGAAGGAAAGACAGTCTACACTATGTCTACTAAACAGTTTCTCATAGCGGAAGCACCACCTGTCTTGATCCTTCACCTCAAGAGGTTTCAAGTACAGATGTCATCGTTCAGGAAGCTCAACAGGCACGTTTCGTTCCCGCTGGAACTGGACCTTAGTCCGTTCTGCAAGGTAAAAATATTTATGAAACAATTTGTGCATTTATGGTGTGTTCATTCCTAGTTAATTATATTATTTCAAGACTTGCCGGCTTTAAACAAAATTAAATTAAAGATTGAAATAAACAGTACCATTTCTTTCCGTTCCTCTTCAGCCAGTGTAACCACTGAGTAGAATTGAAATGGGTTTCATCGGAATATCCTGCCTTCTGGATGTTAGTCATGACTAGACAGTTGAGTTTGTACAAACGTGTCCTGTAATAATTATACTTTATAGAAAAGGTCAAGATTTGTTGTACTTAAATAACGAAATATATACAATTATTTTTATTTTTAATCACTAAGAAATTAATTTTTTTTTTTTTATGATACAATAATTATTCCAAAAAATTTAAAAAGTTGCGTACAAACATCATCATTAAATGTTCCGTTTGATTTTTATATTAGAAGAGAGAAAAAAGTTTTGAGTCTTATTGGTCTATTTATATTTTCTACAACTGCATTTTTATGAAACAATTTTAGCCTGTATATATGTGTACGTTAAATTGTGGAGGAAAAAAAAAAAGTGGTAATTACACAGAAAGGTTCTATTAGATAGTTTAGTCCACAAGAAAAGAGAAATTCTTTGTGACTGAATTCTAGTAGTCTGCTGAAAGTTGTGGTATTTATCCCATGGTATAATTTATAACATTTAAATAGAAATATAAGGTTTAATAAATGGTACTTTTATTTGTTCCAGGATGATCTTAGAAAGAAAAATCCAAAGAAACTTGTATATAGCCTATTCGGAATTGTAGAACACAGTGGAACTTTCAATGGAGGCCATTATGTTGCCTATGTTAAGGTACTTATACATTGTCATTTAACTTGTTTTATTTTTAGCTAAGTTTTTAAGCATAAGGAATAGCAAACTTAATTAATATTGTGTAACATGAAGTAGAGAAGGAACTAATTTTCACATTCTTGAATTATCAGATGAAGGCAGTGCATATAAATATATTTTTTTATTTTTCATTTATAAATATAAAAGGGACGTTGCATTTATGTGTGAGTTGTGCACACTCTGGTCATTTCACCTATCAGGCTTAGTGATTAAATCAGAACATAAAAACATCAATTTCGATGTTTCCTCGTTTTTCTGAAAATCAGAGAAATTAACCTGTAGAGGTTTCTTTTTCATATTCTTGATTTGCTTTAAGAAACTTGACCCAAAAATAGTTTTAATCTTTGAACAAAAGTGAAATTTGTCTTCTTTTTTTTTTGCATCCATAGTTTTGTCTTTGGACCGACAATATGTGGCCAGTAATTAAATATTAATCTATGACAGCTACTAAATACTGTTTCGTGAAAAATGAAAACCTATGATTTTTCATTAATTTCAAAGAAGCATTTACTCTGGTTTGAATGACCGGAATTTGATTTCAATGGATACAACCGTGGACTTCATTTTCAAGCCATAACTTGTTATTCCCACTTCCACTCCAATACTTTTCTCTATTGGTGACTATTTTATCTTCCAGAAGTCTATATTTAAATGTTCTTACCCCATTCATAAGTGAACGAAATTCAACAGCAATGTTATGTGATAATTACTTATAGTACGTAGTTCATCGATCCCTCGCAGTACTTGATTCAACTTCTGCAGTAATCTTATTCAGTATGCTTTTTTCTAATAAAAATATAGCAACGAAAATAAAATGTTCATTGTGATCCTTTTCTCAGTGAATCAAAAAATATAGTTTTTTTTTTTATTCTCTATTATTATTGAATATAAATTAAAAAAGATTTTGTATACGATATAATCTTCAATCAAAATACTTTAAAATTAAAAAAAAACAGCTACTCCTGATTTAGAATGATTTATTTATAGTAGTTTATACAAGTCTTATAATTACATTCTTTATTTTGTTTAAGTTGTTTTGTTCTAAATCTTTTAGAAAAGTTTTGTATTGCATATTTGCACAAAATTTGGGTATAGTGCTTATTTAGGCTTACAAGGCATATTTCAAAAAATTGAGTTAGATTTTTAAAAGAAAATCCAATTAGATGTTAATTTTTATGTTATTAATTAACATAATGATAACATGATAGTTTTCATGTTTCATCATAATTGTCAATGTTCGAATAATAAATGTTGGCTTGCTTTGAAGTACTGAAAACCATTTTATTTTGAATGAAAACTCATAGTTCGAGAGTCCATGGCATAAAAAGTGACTAATTTCATACTAAAGTTTGGCCTTATAAATTGAACATGTTTACAGAACTTATAAGAAAAATGAACATCTCCCAGCATATAGCCGTAAGAACATAAAATAGCGGCCAGGTGAATAAGTATATATATGTAGAGAGAGCCTATTGATATAGGAAGCTACCATCAACCCTTTAAGTTTGTAGTATTTACTGTCCTAAGGCATGAAATAATAGTAAAAGCTTTCTCCGACTGCGACCGCCATGTGTCTCTTTTCTGTGACACTCTCATCTAGTTTCACACGTTCAAGTTTTTTTTTTTTTTTTTTTTTTTTTTTTTTTTTTTTTTTTTTTTTTTTTTTTTTTTTTTTTTTTTGGCCATAAGCACGTCGACCCCTACTGGGTCCATTGTGCGCCAATTTCAGTTAGTCGTTTTGTTTAAAACGTTAATCCTATCACTTCCGCCTATCTAAGTAGACTGATAGGATTGACCGACTCATATCTTCTGGGGAGATCCATCTGTTCCTCCCCAAATACCACCAGTCTCAGCCTTGTAAATCTATCACATCTGCATATGATGTGAAAAGCTGTTTCATTCTCCTCCTGACAGAATCTGCATAGCGGATTCGTCATTACTCGGAGATTGAACATATGATTATTTAGCTTACAGTGACCTGTATAGATAGCTGTAAGCTTTTTAAGGGCTGCTCTGTCCATGTTCAGTAGCAGTTTACTTCTTTTTTCACATGGACCTTTTAGGAACAGCTTCGAATGTCTCTGTTTCTTGTCGGTCCAGTAATTCCTAAATTTGTTCCCATAGATCTCCCTGATCCTGCCCCTTGGCATTACTGAGGCTGATTCCACAGACAGGCTCGGGAGTTACAGGAATGGTATCTGAGCCCAATCTGGCTAGCTCATCAGCCACCTCGTTGCCTGGTATGCCAGAGTGACCTGGCACCCACTCCACTGCAACTCTATTGTGCTCAGTTAGCTCATTAAGTACTCTATTGCGTTCCTTAACGACCTTTGAATAAACATAATAGTTGTCGAGAGCACCTATTGTTTGCCTGACTGTCAGTATAGATGGTAATCTTTTTCTCAGTCACATTGCTTTGCAGTAGGTTTTGTGCACAGTGGCAGATTGCCAGTATTTCAGATTGAAACACTGAAGCATACCTGCCAAGTGGTATAGAAATTTTTTCTTTTATATCTTTGCGATAGATGCCTGCTCCAGAGCCGAAGGCTGTTAGAGAGCCATCTGTGTAGCAATTTATTCCACTATTTGGTTTATGTCTTCTGCTGCTATCTATCCCAACCTTATATGTTCGGTCCTGATATTCTCGGATTAGAGTGTCAGAGTGCATAGCTAGTACTCCTTCACGTCTAATCCTATTCAGCAGTATTGTGTTTCCTCCTTGACAGGGGACTGGTGAGCAGTATGTTGACTTGCTTAACCTGTATAATGTGTTTGTTGCCCGAGCCTCCACCTCCAGCTGCAATGGAGGCATGCTCTGCATTACCTCCATAGCAGCCGTTGGTGTCGTGCTCATCGCGCCTGTTATCATTATACAAGCAAGCCTTTGAATCTTTCCTAATGAGGATAAGTTGGCTACAATCTTTGCTTTGTGCCACCATAGCAAAGCTGAGTAAAGTATGATAGGTCTGACTGTCGTTGTGTACAGCCAGTATACCATTTTTAGTTTGAGTCCCCAATTCTTTCCTATCGCTCTTTTGCAGGCCCATAGGCATTTGAGGGCTTTACTTGTCACGTTTTGAACGTGTTTAGTCCATGACAGTTTATGGTCCAAAATGACTCCAAGGTGTTTTACTTCCTTACTCAGTGTCAATTGGATACCATTAATTTCCGGCATTTTAATAACTACCTTCTTCTTAGTGAAGATACACACATTGATTTTCCTAGGGTTGATGCTTAGTCCATTAATCCTGCACCAATTCCTAAGAATGTTAGACACAGTACTGAGGATATCAGAGAGGACACTCTGATGCCTTCCTCCTATTAGGATGGCAATATCGTCAGCATATCCCTGAGCATAGATGCCTACAGTGTTTAAGGCTTCCAATAATGAGTCAGCCACAAAACACCACAGTAGCGGAGAGAGCACACCTCCCTGTGGACAGCCACCACAGGGTTTAATCCACAGTTCCTTGTGCCCTATTTCTGATTTTAGAACTCTGTCCTCCAGCATTCTCCCAATCCATCTGGAGGACATAGCATCTATGTCTTTTTTCCTTAGTGCATCATTTATGATGTTGTAAGGAGTTCTATCAAAGGCACCCTCGATATCAACGAAGACGCCTATCATGATTTCACTCTGTTCTAAGGATTTATCTATTCTTGTTACAAAGTTATGAAGCGCCACCTCACAGGATTTTCCTGGTTGGTAGGCATATTGCTTTGAATGTATTGGACTAGTAGCCAATATGTGTTCCCTAATATGTCTGTCCAGTATCTTTTCTAATGTCTTCATTATGAAAAATGACAGATGATGAATTCAAGTCCTTTCTTCATCAACAGATGTTGTAAAAGACATTTCACAAAAATTGGTGTGAAAAATTAATAGGATCAGTCAATTGCTTTTTAATATCAGTAGTAAATTCAGCTACTTTGACACACATAATGCAATATAAGTTCTCTTCCCAATAGAAAGTTCTGCTCTGTAGTTAGGGTTATCACCTGGTTAAATAATGCGACCCAATCATTTAGTATTAGAGAATATGAAGAATTTACTTTTGACAAGATTCTAGTTATCTTATCAATAATTATGTAGTGCTATTAAAGAAGATATAGAACGGTTCTATATCTGTATGGTTGTACTATCAAACGAATCAGTTTCAATAAAAGCTATTTTGAATGACATTTATTTGTAAATTATAAATACCCCAATGCTAACAATGAAAACATTTGTTTTTTGTGAAACGCAAACACATATTAGGCATTTCTGTTTCAATATTTTATTACTATTAACTTACTTTTCTGTTTGTTTGCATATTTTTAAGTCATAAATAATCCTTTTCTGTATAATCGTCTTCCAAATTATTTAAGTTATGAACTCAGAATCATAGAATATATGAGGTGTTTAGTTTCAAAACCGGTTATATCCAATTTCAAAAATGCTTCACAACTGATCAAAACAGGTTGTACAGAATCGCTTTTTATTAGAAATTGATTTTTAGAAGATCTAGAAGGTTTTGAATATTTTTGTAGGATGTCCATGTGAATACAGATGTTTATATATCATGATCCAGTCCTGTAGATTTTAAGTATTAATTTTTAGATTAATACTATCTTCAGCTGTCTACCATTTCGACAATATGAACTCTCCTTAAAATTTAATTTTAAAACATACAAATTTTTTTTTTGTACAATTAATATTATATTTGTTGGTTTGATGATAGGTTGACAGTGGCCAGTGGTTCTGTATTAGTGATTCCCATGTCACCGAAGTTAAAGAAACCAGAGTTTTTCAAGCCCAGGCGTACCTTCTGTTCTACAAATCTGTATAGTGTATTAACTGAATAAATATAATAAACGTGGTGCATTATTTATGTATATTTAAATTCAATTGTATAATAATCGAAAAATGTCGTACTTTTGATCATTGGAAAACAATTTTGATATCAGTTTATTACCAACCTTGTAGATATATAAGATATTTAATAATTTAACTTTATTTCCTTTTTACTTTTTTTTTTGTGAGTGTTTTTCATGGAATTGTTTTATGTTACTTAACAAGTTCATAATAAAATTTTTAGAAATATTTTTTTTTTATTGATTTAAATTGTTTTCTCTTTTCCTTTCATATTTCAATGATTCCATGCAAAGTTTTAATAATTTATATATACTTAACTCTATAAAATATTTGAATGCCACCAGTGGTTTTGGTTTCTAATACATTAATTTTCATTCTGATAATTTATGTTATTTTTTATTCAAATAATGTTTTATATTGAACATTTTTTTTTTTTTCAAATGAGTGATTTTATTATTTGTTGAAAAATATGAATACAATTATTCATTGAATAATAGGATTACTAATGAATGTATACATAGAAGTATACATAAATTTAGTTGCACATCTATTTTTTAACTTCAAGGTTCTTTCACAACTTTTTATTTTGTTGCTTTGTTTTCCTAACTTGATGGAGTTGATGAGACTGGATATAAATTTAGTATGATCGGTAAATATTTTTTTGGCAAAAATTCAATAAATAGAAAGTTATATTGTTACAAATACTTAACTTTTTATCAAATCGTACTTGCTCATTGGATTTGGCTTAGGCTTAGTAAGTGATAATTGATATGGTAGTAACATTACAACATGATCAAATCCCAACTGCTTACCAGTATGTACTGTGCATCCTGAAGTTCAAATGATTATCCTATAAAATTTAGAGAGAGGAAGGCTACTGAAATATCTACGTAAGAAAGATACAAATCACTCAATCTCAAATATGATAATGGCTATGAGCTGGAATTTTATGTATTTCTGATAAAAACTCAAAATTTTTTTCATAATTGCAATACTTTCTTCCCCTCACTCTATATAACCGTTGGTAACTTAAGGTCAAAACAAAGTTTTTACCACTGCGTAAAAAAGTTTATGAACAACAAATAAAAAAAATTGGATTAATGTTGTAAAACTGTTACAATGGTGTAAATGTTGGAACTGCTAAGAAAATGAGTGGTTGTTACAGCTATATAATAAATGGAGGAATAAAGTCTTGTAAATTTACTGATTATTTTAGTAAAGTTTTTTTTTTGGATCATAAGTTTTTTTTATTAACAAAATTGTTATCTGGCTTGTGTATGCTTAGGTTTAACGTCCTTATTTCAATTACGAGCTGGTTGCTGGCAAGTTATCCTCAGCTAGAGTGGTCAACATTTAAGCAGTAGGAGACACAACTGTAAGATGTAAGGGAAAGGTCTGAATTGCTTTTGAAATATACTATTGCTGTGCATACCTATGAGCCTTACAAAAATGCCAATTAAATTAAAACCTTTTAGTTTCTGATGAATTATGAACATCAACAAAACATAAGGACAATCGTTCCAAGTGAGTGGAAAGTCCATGCTTTGCACATAAAAGTGCAGCATAGTTGTGTTTTTCTGCTCACGGGTGGAACAACTTGATTTTTTTTAATAATACTATAAAATAACACAAACACTATTTCTTTCGGCTGCTGAAACAAGGAATTCCAGGAATTCATACATACTTATACTATTAATCCATTAAATTGAAGACTATGCGACAATATACACGAAACAATAAATTGGTGGTCAAAAAACTGGCAATAGCTTGAATTTTACATAAACTCTTCAGATTAAAGAAATATTCTTGAACTTGAGGTAATAACAGGCAAAGAAAACCTGCTCAGAGTGCAGCAGATGTCAGCACGCAAAGTAAGGAGAAGGCTTGCTGAACTCGAAACTGCGGTAATAGGATATCTGCTTGCAGCACTCAAATTACCGCAGCACACCGCGAAACTCGCCTTCACTTTATCATGAGCGTCCTGTCTCATGTGACAGAAGATTATTTGGCCTCTGTTCTGTTTTCTGATGAGTCCAGGTATAGCCTTTATGGTGCAGACAGATGAGTTCAAGTGTGGAGAAGCCCAAGGAAGCAATAAGTTCAGTGCAATATAGCGGGGAGAGTGATTTCAGAGGAGGGTCGATGATGGTTTTGGGTGGAATATGTTAAAGAGTCAGGTACATTCTCTCATGTGTTCCAAGTGACGATCCTCAATGCACACATGTATATCACCACTGACAACCTCAAAGAATATGAGCTACCGTTAGTCCTTTTATTGCCTTCTGTTTCCTTTTTATACAGGATAATGCTCGGCCACACATAAGGGACTAGACTAACAAGACGAGGTTAGTGTCCACACCTAGGAGTGGCCAGCACGCAGTCCAGATTTCAATCCTATTTAGTAACTTAGGACGTCCATCAGTTGACAACAGAATCCTCCATGTGAAGACCAAGTACGTGAATGGGATCAGATTCAAGATTGGGTAGCCAACCTAATTCACAATATGCCTACGAGAGTCCAAACCTTTATTCAAGCATGAGAAGGCAACACTAGGTACTATTGAGACTCTAATTTTATAATTAAAAAATAATTAGATGCGTTTTATTTTTGTTTAAAAGAGTGTCCATTTGTATTGTTTTACATCACCGATTATTAAAATGAATTTTTGTCATTTTTTCCTCTAAATTACTTGTGGACTCCTAGAAAAAGAATATATCACACTATATTAAGATAAAAAAAATTGCTATTTTTTTCTGTTTAGAATAAAATAACGATAAAATTTAAGATGTGCCGGTTTTTATGACCACCAGTGTAGAATTAAAAGGATAATAAAAATATAGAGGAAAGAGATAGTACGAGGGTGATGGTCATAAAAAAAACTGAAAGGCTTAAAATAAGAGTTTTTTTTTTTATGACCGCCACAATGGACAATCCTCCTGTATATTATACTATGGTCAACCATTCAGTACCCAAGATAATGAACATAATTAGTAAATTATTACTTCAATTGCATTTCTTTTATTCATTCAGCTATCTACAAGTCATCAAGTTTTGGTTTTTAATGGCAATCACACAATCTTATTTAGCTGTTGTGGAAAAGATAAAATATTTATTAATCTAATTTTCATTCAACCAAAAGATAAATCGATACTAAATTAAAAACTGTACTATAAAAACTCAAGAGATTTTTTTCATAGTCAAGAGGACTATTATCAGTTTATAAACAAATTTAGACTAAAAATGAAAAAAAAATCATCCCTTCCAGCTGGTGAAATGTTTTTTAAAAGCAGTTTCTCCTCAGCCCTCCTACCTTAAATTAAAGCCCTGATCCCTGATCATAGGCCCTTCCAATTATTGTGCTTAGGTGTTAGCTCAAATTAGTTAATTCATTTTAAATCAGAATGATTCCTTCCAAAGTAAAGGTATAATTTTAGGATTTTATTAAACCAAAAAATGAAATTTGAGACCATTTGGAGCTATCAGAACATTTTTATTCATTCTGGATAGCTTTAACTCAGTTTAAATATTATGAATTTTTAGCTGTATCGAACATCAAATAATAATATAAAATTATTTCAATGGAACGATATAGGGTATGATGAATAAATGAAAGTCTAAAAAAGAATCATTCGACACTTTTTATTTTGAGAAAAAAAAATAGATACCTGTTCCCGAATTCCAATAAGTGAACAGTTTTTGACATAGATCCTAAGACATAGGTAAATTAATACTATAAAAAGGAAGTTGATGAATTTCATACAATTTCATCATTTTTTTTTTAACAATTTCTTTTAAGTTGAGCCAAAAATTATGATAAGTTTTGTAGGCAGTAGGTGCTACAAGATACCATGGACTCAATGCATAAATCTATGCACTTCAGGAAGTACATATTTAAAAAATGAAATAAGAGAAAAGACTGACAAATTACTGAAAATGACAAATTGAACATATTTCTAGCATACAAAAAGGTAATTAGGTACATCAATAATGTCCTAGAGGTGACTGAATAGTTACACTAAACAAAGACAAAAATTATGTGAAAGCACCTACAATGATATACAAATGAAATCCATGTTTAGGGAAATACTAAAACCATTCAATATGCATGCAATTCAAAAATAATGAAAAAAAGACTGCTTACCATAGTGCCCTTAACAATAAATAATTACCGCCTGATTAGAACGACAATGTTGAACTGATAAGTCTATAATTCATAATAATTGTGGCAAAGGTAATTAAAATCAATAAATTAAACATTAAGCTAAAATTAAAAAAAAAAGTTAAAAATAGGAAAATTAAAAATATTAACAAAAAAGCCACCGATTCATGCATCAGATCAACCTCATTCATATCAGGCATAATCACATGTTTCCAGTCATTAAATTGAATAAACCTTACTACTAAATAAATATGTACTTAAGAATAATAATAATCTTATTTAAAACTAGTTTTATAGTAAACAGCCTTCGTTAACAATTTACCTTTTTCACAAAAAAATTGTTTACATCGACATGTATAAAATAAACTGCATTTAATCAATAGATATTATTATCCTACCCTTACTTCAATTTCATTAACACAACCTACAAAATAATATCTAAACTTTTTAATTAATATTTAAAAATATAAATTTGAAAAACAATGATATTTTCTTAAATATTGTCAATCCATCGAACCTTCTATTATTGTACAAAGATTAAAATTAGGGGAAAAATATAATGATAAAATTTGCAGTAAGAGTTACAAGAGAATAAATTAATTTATAAAACAAATATAAAAACACACAGCATATTTATTTTGATAACTTGCAAAACCTAATGTATATTATTTTTTTAATGAATCATTATGTAAACCATAAGAGTAAATATATATTTTTCATAAAATTTCAACAGGATATAGTCAATTTACTTAAAATAGACTTCTCCATCACATCAAACGATTGGCCAACATTTATTATGTACAAGATTTGATTTAAAATGAATTTACATTCATTCATTCCTTCATTATACGGACTGGAAAACATTTAAATTAACAGAAGTAAACTAAAAAAAAATTCAGTTTATTCAATTTAGTAGGTCTGGCTTCTTCAACTGATTCTTTATTTAAATTTTTATATCTCTGTATTAAGTAAGAAGGACAAGTTAGGCGAAGGAAGAGCCACAATTATAGTTTATAAATGAAAAAATTGATTTTTTATTTCATGAGAAAGTACGAGCTGCTGTTAATATATATAATTACGACTATTCAAAGATAATATAAATCCATTTAAACAAAATTTTATCATTTCATAATTTCATAAATCACAAAAATTTTATCCTATTCTTTTTTAAAGAGCTTCACAAAATTTTTTTAAAATAGAGCTATGATTTGTTGAATGTTCAGAAAAGATTTGAAACATTAGGTATAAGAAACAAACCAATGCTAAGTCAAAACTACGCTGAATTCAGACAGACTAAATTAAACCAACCAAGATATCTCCCAATAACTTGTACAGAATAGATATCACAAAAAAAATATTGACAATGGAATTAAAACAAAAGTTGGGTATCAAGCGCGGATCAGAAGGATCACAATGTTAAGGCGATAACCCAAAAGTAACTACTGAGGCCGATTTTTCTTTAACACAGCAAAAAGAGGCTCTTGGCACAGGACCCCTGTCTCCTTGCTTCAAATAAGACAGCTCTTGTAAATAATTTTGTTTTTACTCCTCCGTCTTCGAAATAGATCTAAGAAATATATATCATAACATTTAAACAACATTAATTCTAAAACAAAATACACCCATTACCATTCATTTTTTTTTTTTTTGTTTGGTTTACACTATATGTACCAAATTTATAAAACTAACTATTGCATACGGTTAGAGATAATTTTAACAATTATATTTGTCCAGTTTTTGATATTTCTTTCTTAAAATGGTATTGGCTTAAGTAGGTTGGGTGGAATGAGAGAGGAGCCATGAGAGGACCAATTATATACCCAATTCCCCGTCTTCATATCACCCTGTCAATAATAATGCCATTACGCGCACACATACACACATTTTGTAACGAAATAAAATACAAATCATCTTAAATGATAGTTTGTACATTATATCATTGAAATGTAAATAAATTATACATATACAATAAAGACTACCATAATTTTGATAAATGTGATAACAAATGAAAAAGAAAAAAAAAACACTGATATATAGTGAACACTTAATTAAAATGCATAATAGGGGAAAAATAAAGGAAGATACAATACATTGACAAAAGGGAATGTATAAAGGTTGTCATATGAAATGGTTATTCGATGTAACTACGGCGATAAGACAGAGCTCATCACTTGATTATGTGCATTCTTCTTAAAATTTATTATTCCTATTATAAAAGTTCTTGACAATATTTTTCCCCCTTTTCTTTTTTTTTTCTTTTATTTTTTTAAATTTAAGCCCGTTATTAATATTTAAGAGTGTCGAGTGTCCCACACGAATTATTCGAAAAAATAAATTCTTACTCAACTACATTTATGTTTTATCACACAGAGTTTGTTTTATTTTTTCTTTTTGTTTCCTTATTTAAAAAAAATGCACTGAGAATTGTGTCGTTACACCTCAATGAAGAGTCAATATTAATATAGTACGTAAGTATAAATATAATATTAGTTGTTATATAAAATAGTTTGGGTGTTTTTGTACTGGGTAGGCACTATTGTGTTGAGATAGTGGTGACCTCTGCCATATGCTACCTCCGTGTCGGTATGATACCATTAGTCTGAACTGGAGCAGTGGGCGTCATTTCCAGTTCCACCAATAGTGGGAAGTGATCTGAAATAGAAACCGATTATTAACAAAATGATAAATGACTTCTAATTTCTAAAGGAGACAAGGATATTAATATTTCAATAAATAGCTAGATAAAAAAACATGCACCATGATAACTTATGAAGAGCCTTGGGTTCATTACTTTACCAAAACAAATACTGGTTCTTGGATGTGGGTGTGGCCCAGGAGGGTCTCCTGACCCCAGGGCTGATTCATGGCTAATATAATACAATACATAATTATCTACCACAGCCAGGCTATAAAGTATAAACTTTAAACTTATTAATTCTTACTTAATCAATATTAATTATATATATATAAATATATATATTAACATAATTATTTAAATTAGAAATTAGGTCACTTAATAATTATTCAATAAACTGCAAAATGTTCATCCTGCTGTTTATTCGACGTTTTGATCCCAGTTTTTTTTATACTTAAGATATATATATATATATATAGTATTTATATATATCCTATATAAAATATTTATAAAAGCTAAGCTACTAAAAGTAGCTTAATATCTGTGCTAGTGGACAGTGCTGAGGCTATCAGTGTGTCTCTGGCCTGAGGTATCGAGGGTCTATTTTAAAATAATTGTTAATTGAAACACATGGAAGCATAATTGTGTACTAATTGAGCTATTTGTTGTTCTAGCATTGAAGAGGATTCTTAACTAAAAAAAAAAAAAAAAAAGGGATCGAAACATTGAATAAACAGCAGGATCAACGAATATTTTGTAGTTTATTGAATAATTATAAAGTGAACTAATTTCCAATTTAAATAATTATGTTAAAATGTAAAACTAAAAGGTCAATTGAAAATTTTTTGTAAATATATATATATAGATATTATTTATTATATTATTAAAAAGTTGATAAATATAATATTTTGACAAGACTGAGAAAATTAAATTTGACTATTCCTCTCACAGTATAACTTAAAACTGAACATAAAAGGTTTATGAATATGCCGATGAAGAGGAAATGTTGAACCCAAAATGGAACCTGATATTATAATTATTAATTATTCAATAAAATTTCTTTATTGAAGTTAATTTCTAAATGACAATTTACCTGAGGGTATGTGTGGATGTGGACAGCCAATAACTTTATTATCCTTGAGCCAATCCACTGCAAGGGGACCTAACAGGCCCAACGGTGTCATGCTTTGTTTTGAATAGAAGATATAGTCTATTATACCCTTGAAGTGAAACCTGTCAACAAAAATTATATTTAATTGTGGCTTGGTGGTTGACTGTAGTGAATAATTGAAGAGAAGGATGGTTGGTGTGATCAGTCAAAATAAAAATAGCAAAAATAAATAATAATATTTATTTTTACATTTGCCGACGTTCAGGCCTTCATCAGTGCTAAGAAAAGAACCAGATAACAATAGGTATGAGAAAATATAAACATTGAATAATAAAGAATTAAAATTATAATTTTATAAGATTTATAATTATAAATAATCGCTCTTCCTTAATCTCGATCTCAACTATTTCTCCACAACCCATTTTGGCCTCCATATACAGATCTCTACCTTATATTCCTAATCTTTCTGACAACATAAACAAAGTTTTACGATCTACTAACCCTAACTTATGAATTGCCTTCAAATCTCACAACACACTTTCTAATTTGTACACATCCCTAAAAGATCCTGTTCCTCTTTCACACCGCTCTCAAACCGTTTACCGTATTCTGTGTTCTACTCCTAATTGCTTTTCATGTTATATTGGTGAAACCAAAAATCTTCTAAAAGACCACATCACCCAACATAAATATTCTGTTTTATCTCGTAATTTTACCGCCTCCAAATTATCCAAACATTCTCTCTCCCTAAACCATACATTTGATTTCGACAAAACTTCCATCCTTGCCTCCATCCCTAACCATGACAAATGACTCATCTCTGAAACCCTCCACATCCAGCTCCAACCTAAGACAGCGAATCTAAATAACAGATAAATAGAAAAACAAACAGACAAACAAAACTTATCCTTGGCCTATACCATCCATAACAATCTCTTTTTCCTTTTCACTGACAACTTCCTTATTTCTCTTTAATTTAATTCGTTTTCGTTTTCTTTATCTCACATTTCACGTAGACCAGTTATACTCCATTTTTTACTTAATATTTATTATCTCTGCATTATACTATCTCCTTAATTTATTCTATATTATATTATTGCACTGTTTTTATCCTTATTTATACTATATCACATTATACTTCCTCTTTATTTTTAATTCTTTTTCATTATTGATACATTTTCTCATTCATATTTTTTACATTATTCCAACTTTTTATTCTCTTATACGTAATCAGAATTATATTTAATTAGCAAAGCAAAAATATAATATATCTTCAATCAAATTTAAATTTCTTTTTAACAATTAACGTGAAAGATTATTTATACTTCAGACTTGTTTTCCATTTGTGTGGTCTATTGCACAACAGTTCTAATCAGAAGCGACACTGGTGTTGCACAAACATGAACAAATATCTTCAGACTTGCATGGTTCCAATCAAGATTTTGCTCGGACAATTATTATGCAAACTGGAAAAATGATGTGCTATTGTAGCCATGATGGTAGTCTTGGTCGAAGAATAAAGGGAAAAAAATGAGAAAACTTCTAAGAGGTTCCACCCGAGTGTCAGTCTTTTTATACAATTTTTGAAGAATTAAGGAGAAAAAAAATTCTTGTTAACTTCTTCCAGATGTCGACATCATCTCTTGATGAATTAGAACCAAAAGTCTTTTTTATTGCAGTGCCATCTTCATGGACATAACTTCAGATTTTTTACTGGAGTTGCAAGGCCTGCCAGAGAGTCTGAGTAGTATTTAACATTATAAAAGTTAGCATTGTAATTGCATGTAGAATTGTACTTCCCAATTATTGCAAATGCCACATCTCGCCACGTTTGAATATTGCCAATGTCAACAGTCTATTATTTTCAGAAAAATACTATCAATAAAACAAAAGTAAGAGTAAAGAAAACAATAAAAATGAAACAGATGTGCAGGATTATGAAATGTTCTAGACTAAATTGCTTCACGTGAGCCAGATTGGGACTGTGTAGAAGCACACAGCACCGATCGGGCTCGAGGCCTGTCAGAAATCCGATCTTATATTTTAATGCATTGATGATTTCATTTATGTTATCATGCACTCATGTTGTCTGATTAGAACTGCACAGAAATAAACTGTATAAGTGTTAAACAAGCCTTATAGTGTACTTACATTAAAACAATCATATCTAAAAAATATAATAATATAAATTATACCTTGACTTAAATTCAACAATAACCGAAACATACCAATGATAGTTTGATTATTATGTACTGTTACAAGAGATCTCCATCCACTCCAATATAAAATTAATTCTTTTAAGTCCTGATGACTTCATTAATAGGTGGTTGGTTACTTAAATTTATTAAGAATTAACATCTACCAACAAAATAAAGAATTGAGCAAATTACTTCAGAACAGATTATTAACTTACGTATAGTTAGTATAAGGCATAATATCTTCTGAATATGCTGATGCAAGTTTAAAGGAATGTGTGAACTCGTTGGGCTTGTCGCAGCCCGAGATCTTTTGAAGGACGGACTTATATGGTAGGTCCTTGAAGTCCTGGTGATCTGATAGCACTCTGCCCGAAGAAAGAAACTCGATAACGCCTGTGATATAACAAAACAAATTCATAAATGTATATAAACAAAAAACTTTTAATAATGAACTTATAAGCAGATTTAAGGTTGTTCCAACACATTAATAAAGCTATCAAAGATTGAGTAGGTCACAATAATAGAAAAATCTATTTTCTATTTCATAAATATAAATTTGTTATTATTATGTCTTAAATAATTACGCTGTCAGAATTTCTTAATTTTTTCATGAATAATTAACTAACTGACTGTATATTAAAAAATAATAATTTTCTCTCAATTAAACCCCTTTGCAAAGATCCACCATCAGAATAAATCTGTGGTTCACATTAACGTTGAAAATTTCTCTTAAAGGATCTATTACTGGTACAGTTACCTTAGTTTGTTTTATTAAGTTATAAAGTGAAGACTGTGAGATCTTCTTATTATTGGCAGGTTATATTAAAAATTCAAAGCAAATAAGAGATGACAGACAATATAATATAGATAATTTTTCTCATAGTATTATAAATCACTTATATCTAATACAGAAATAAAGATACCTGAGTCCGGTAAAGAGTTGAAATCACCACAGAGAAGGAGCTGGACGGGTGAGTTATTTGGGCGAAGGTGAACCGAAGCTTCCTCAAGGACCCCCTTTAATGCATGAGAAAGCATCATCACTTGAATTAGTTTCACATCACAGAACTCCGGATCCCAGTGGATGTGAGCTGTGCACACCAGCAGGACCTGTTCGGTGATATTGCTGTAGTCCCTTCCAGCAACAACTAACAATCACATTCTATAATTCTCAAACGGAAAATAGTAAGACAATATCAATGTTACAAAGAGAACTAACATTATCGTGCTATTATTACCAAATAAATAATTAAATTATTATTGAAATTATGAATCAAATTCATTGTAATAAATCTTGTATGGTCAATTTAAGGAAGTTGTTATAATAATATAAGAATAATTAATATTCTACAACAAACCAACGATAGAGAAATGAGTAATAAACAGAAAAATGGAGATTCAGAATGAAAAATGGACACCACTGTTATCAAATTCAGCCCTGACATGACTCCTTGGAATGGAATATTATAGTACTGGTACTGGTATTGCTACTGGTGAGGAGAACTAGTCTGGTAAGTGGGCTCTATAGTGGTCCCTTTTGCAAACTCCTGATGGCTATCTTGAGGTTGCTGCAGTGTACTTGCCAGAGTGGAAATGTCACGATTCATTTCCTGAAGCTGCCAAGAAATGAAAAGTGGCTCAGGTGGGAATTGAACCCATAACGTTCAGAACCGAGCACTAAGGGACCCACGCCCAAACGTGCTTGGCCATCCCGTCCTCTAATATTACAGTATAAAAATATTTTATTCATCAGAATAGGATTAAATTGATTTTAATAGCATAATTTAACCTAAAATTATCATTAATAAAAAAATTCATAAACCAGCTGCTAAAAATAACGATAAGTTAAAAACAGATGATTAATGAAGAGATGAATATTATCTAGAATACTGCTTCTTCCAAATCCTTTGAGGTTTTGTATTTGAGACAAAATTTTATTTGACATAACTGTTTCATCAAAACAATAACATCATTAACAATTGATCAATCTTCATAACAATTTTGTTAATAGACTGATGAATTTATATCTGAATTGTTTTTTTTTAAATTACATTAGAAGCAATACATAAAAATGCCTTATGTATTAAAATTCATTAAAAAATATATACAATCCTATATATATAGGATGACAAAAATTTTTATTTTAAAGAGTTTACTTATCAAGAAAGAAATTTAGTTTCAGAGAATAATTTTGAGTTAATTTTTAGAAGAATGCACAAAAATAGTGTCAATCAGGATAAAATACTTTGAAAAAGTGTACCTCAAAGAACTCATGAATGGTTGTGGTATGGACTTACAAAGTACTAAGCAATGGTTGTGCGAGAAGGTGATCTGGCCAGAGCCAGGATCATGCTCTACATCCAGATTCCCTCTCCACCCCTCCCCCCCCCCAATTAATGGTAACCATTTAACAGAGAGTTGGAGAGGATCTGTATTCCATGAAGATCTCCCAATAATTCAATATAATAATTCAAATTATATTTTGAGATTTTTTTTTAGCAAAAAAAAACTGGTTACTAATTATTCTGTTTTCTCCTTATAATCAATAAAATTTGCTTTTAACAAGAAAAAAAAAATTAAAGCTAGTTGTTTCTATAATAGGTCAGTTAAGCCAAAGGTTAAAAAACTGGAGTAACCAATTACTGCAGTCCCCAGTTAATAGTCCAATGCTATACTCACTGGGGTAACATACTTAGCAATTAAAAATAATTGTCAAAGTGAGAGTATTGCAATGTCATCGTAAAAACTAGACAAATATTAATTTAACAATTTAATACATAATTAACATGTAACTGAAACAAAACTCAAGAATCCTTTATTATCTTTATATCCTTAATGTAAGTATTTTACCATGTCATATAACAAATATGTTAATCAATAATGTATTTATTATTTAGTCATTAATATCCATTTATACAGAATTTTTTCATGAAATATATATATTTTTATCAAATAAAAAATTATATATTTCTTTCAAAATTCTCAACTCAACAATTATTTAGAATTAAGTATTTAGGCAGTTATAAAATAGATGTCAGTAAAATAATTCACTAAAGTTGCCAAAAACTACAAATGTCAGTAAAGTTTAAAAACTACAGCTTTCAGATGAATGCAAAATCTTGTATAGATTATCTAGAGACAGGATGCCTGCCATGATTACTATGCAGACAAAACTTCTGCTCATAGATAATATTTTACTAGTTATATATCTATCATTTTAATGTAGAAAATAAATAAGAATAAAAAGGTGGAAATAATGATTAGTCAACATATAATATGTACAGTTTATTTTTTGCAAATAATATCACAAATAATTTACAAAACCATAATAAAATTAAGTAAAACGAAATTGTTGTGTTAGTCCTGACAGATATGACCAATATTTTCAGATAACATAACACATACACATGGTTTGATCCAATTTAACAAAATAAAAGTATATATTGTACACTGAACTATTTACAAAATAAATAATTTAAAATAGTAATCAAGAGAGGATTAGAAAATCATTTTAATTATTGATAAAATAGATTTTTGATTAGATACATTTTAACTTCTTATAGAATTCAAAAAACAACAAGAAGAGTAAATACTCCATAAAGCAAAACACAAGGATACACTATGAGAGCTCTTTGACTTACATCAGAAGACATTGTCACAAATATTCTGGAAGCAGCTATACTTGCCCAAAATATAACTATCCCTGCAAGCACATATCCGATAATATTTTTTAGCACAAATATTATGCCTAATAAAGATAAAATGACCACCGGTAAAAGGCAGTAGCCTAATACTGATGCGACACATACAAATGTAATACTGCCAGTTTGAATCATCAGATTTAATAAACAATACATTAGTACGCAGCCAGTAGTTCCTATGCCATACACATAACCAAAATTAACTTTACCACCTGAAATAAGCATTGTAACACCTAAAATCAAACAAAACACCAGAGGCCCTCCTAAATCATATTCACCCAGAGGGACTGATGAATGAAAGGGGTCCAACACAACTAGCACTCTCTCTGCTATTTGTTCTGGAAATATACCAAGTTCTTCTAAAAGAGGTGGTTCATCATCAAAATTTGTTGAGTGTACATTGGAACCAGAAGGGGGAGGTTTCAAATTCTCTGCAGGTTGCATGTATCCCTGGGGCTGATCATAGAAAAATGACATTTTTGCTGCATATTGCTCTTGGAAATTTTGCGTGGCAGCATTCTGTTCGTAATTGTCTTGTTGGAAAGTTAGTTGATCAGCATCCAAAACCATATCTTCTGACCTGTAGTAAGCAGTAGGCTGTTGAACACTAGGTGGTTGTTGCTGGTTATCATATTGCTGGTTGGGATATTCCCACTGGTTGGCAGCCCCTGGCTGAGACCATTCCCATCCGTCCTGCTGCCAATTGTTTCCAAAAGGGGCCTGTCCGGACATTTTGCCTCGCGCTTATCACTTTGAAATGAATACAACTACATCAACATCAGACGTTGACACAAATACACGAACGTGGCCATTTTCATGACGTCACCTGCGCACTGGCTAGTGTTCGAGAGCGGTTAATTCAAAAAATCGCGCTAGAACTGCAATTCACCATTACTTCTTATAAAAAAGTCATATTGAAGAACCGAATGATTAGGTTATTCAATTTTTTATTTTTTTGTAACTTACGTGTTCTAAGACATGGATGACTAAGATCTAATATGATGATTTGGTACCAGTTTTGATTTCTATTTTTAAAATAAAACTTGAAGGTAATAATACTATGAGTTCATAGTTGACACATGATTTTTTTTTTTTTTTCTGAACGTTTGATAAATAAAACTAGGAAGATGTAACAAAAATTAATGTGATTCTTTAATTAAATAGTTAATTTCTCAATGATATCACATTTATCAAACAATTATTAACACAATAAATTTATTAATAATTCTAAAAAATAAAAATTCTTTATCATCACATTTTTGCAAGTAATGACATAACATGTACAGTGGTAGAAAAATTAGAGAAATAAATGAAATTTCTTAAGGCCATCGAAAATGATACCACAATTATTAATTTAGTGCAAAAACTAAAATAAAAATAAATAATAATATAATATACGCTGCTAATAATAATATACGCTGCAATATAAGGAAATCTTTCATACCCTAAACAATAACACTAAAACTAAATAGCAACACTATAGAATGCATTTTATCAATGAATTTGAGTATTAGAACCTAATGACAGCTGATAATTTTGTTAGTTTCCTATTGGCATGACAATTTTTATCATTTGTATATATATATATATATATATATATATATATATATATATATATATATATATATATATATATATATATAATGGTAAAAAAATATATTCAGTTATAATTAAATATGTCGATGTTAGTAGAATGGTATAATATTCTTAAATTGAAATTTTGACTAAACATTAATATTGAAAATTTTACTTTATTACTTAAGTCTAGTCTAAAATATTGTGTTTAATTCCAAAAAATTACAAAGAGTAAGTTCCAACTTACATCCATTAACAAAGCTCTTAGTGAAGTAACAACTATCTGCATTATTATCAAACAACACCATTATTCTATTAAGTTTCCATGAAAAATATTTTTAAATAATTTTAATCAAAATCAAATAAACAAACATTCACAAATCAAATAATTGGAAAATTTAAGGATTCAAAGATAAATATTTCTATTGTAAAATTGTAGTTCAAATAAGTTTTATTATGGACGACTCAATGCCTTGAAAATGTCTTTGAGACATTATAAACATGAGTAAAAAATAAATAAATGTTTTTCCAAATCAACAGGCTATTTTTATTATTGATTATGAGTGGAAAAGAAATAAGATAGATTTGGTAATAATAAACCTCCATCTACAAATAACTTCTATATAATGTAATAAAAACAATACCGTTAAAAAATGCTTGGCTAAATAAAAACTAAAAAATAAATGAAAGATGCATTTACTAGAAAAAATATATATATATATATTTTGGCATTTTATGACAGTCCATAATTTAAGTATGAATTAGTAATAATGTAGAGTTTTATAAAAATAAAATTTAAATTAATAACAAAATTAACTAACGAGTCTATTCTGAATATAACAAAAATAAATGATTGGATAGATATTCGAGAAAATTGATTAAATTTAAATTATAGGTTTAATAGGAGAACAATCATAAAAAATAATAGTTAACTTAAGATGATGATTTTAAAATTAAGCTGTATTTTTCAATGATTAGAGGCAGGTTTTAAAAATATACGAGATGTTTTGTTCTTAGGTACTGAAAACATCATGATGATAGAAATAATGTTAAAATGAAATATAAATAGTATCAAAACATTTGTAAAATGGATAAAAAAAACGTATTCTACAAAATTAGTTAAATTATGTCAATTGCCATATTTAAACCAATGAAGACCAACCAAGATGTATTTAAACCAATGAATAGCAATTCTTTACAATCTATTTTAATGTAATAATTCTTAAAAGAAACTAATTTTTTCTTCTTCTGTGAATACAATATTAAATGTCATAAATGAAGTAGAAATCTCAGTATAAATTTACTTACGATTTTCCCATGCAGCTTCTTTGGTCCGAAGCAATGCCGCGAGGCCAATGTTGTCTTTTGGCATGACCCTGTTCAGCATGTCATCAGAGCCTTCTGAGTTAGCCATTGCAAGCTGATTAAATTCTACCAAATGTTCAGAGATCAGTGTAAATCTGAAAAAAAAGAAGGAAAATTTGATATATTACTTTTAACTAAACTACAAAATAATTTTTATGATAAATTTGAAAATTGTGCCTACCTTACTCGGAATTTTTTTTTACAATTACAATAGCAGTGAGGCAAAAAATAGAAGGCAAATTTTCATTTGAATTTCATCAATTAATTTTCATATAGTTAGTCTCTTTAAGATAGACAACTAACAGGAAAACAAAACAAAAAAAATTGCCTGATCATAGTTTATTAATAGGTAATACCTAAATCAATTAAAAAAGATACTGATGTTAATCCAGGAAATATGGGAGGGAGAAGGATAGAAAAAGATCCTAGAATAAAAGATTCAGAAAAATATACTGGTTAATCAGTCCTAAGTTAAAATTGAATCCATATTAGCAATGATCTCACTAAATCACATGACCAGGATTTAAGCAAGAAAGGAGCACACAAGACCAGATCTTCATTTATTGGCAAAATATCTTAATTTTGTAGCTGAAAGTAGTTGCTAGAGTGCTCTGATCACTTGGAAACTATTTTTAGTTGAATTCAAGGAAAACAATATACAAAAATGTCGTGTTTTAGGTTTATAGATGTCAATTATCCAGTTAAGGAATTTTGACTGCCATTTTATGGTAAAATACTAGACGAAATAAATAAACTAAAATACACGTTTCTTAATACACGTAAATATATATATATATATATATATATATATATATTTACAAAATTTCTTTAATCGACCTTTGAGTATTATATTTTAAAATAATTATTTAATTTGGAATAAAGTAAGTTAATAATTATTCAATAAATGTTCATTGTTTTTATGTTTATTCAAAGTTTCAAAATAGAGCCAGGATACCTCAGGCCAGGGACACACCAACAATCTCAGCACCGTGCACCAGCACATATATTAAACTACTGGCTTAAGCTAATCATCAATAAAATGATTACTGAAATAAATAAAATGAATATTATCTTATAATGAATGTGCTATATAATAATATGATATAGAATTAAAAAATAATATTATTAGAGAATATATGGTAATTAAAGAATTTTAACTGAATACATTGGATTCCCAAAATAGATTTTTTAGAAAAAAACAAACAATATTTTTAAAGTTGGACAATGAAATATCATAAATGGAGAACCTGATGAATAGTGACTTCATTGTCAAGATGCTAAAGAAAATTAAGCCTCGAACTAAGTCCTTTTAAAATTTTAATAAAGATGAAATAACTATACTCACTTGGCAGTGCGGTAGAATATGGCACAGCCGTCAACATATTTTCTTTCACTTTCTGCCATTGTTTTGGCTCTTGATTTTGGTGAAAAGATACCATCATAACCATCCCTTTTTAATTCAGGTAAAAAGAATTTGTAAAATTGATCAGTCTCAACCTCCTGTGAATTATAACATCATGAACAAAAGAATTAATGATAAAATTATTATAAAATGAAATGAATTTTAGAAAGGAGTGATCTAACACACCATTGTTTGTTTACTATATTTTTTTCATCCCAATGTTTCGACCAACATTGATTTGATATCTACCAGAGCTACATAATATGATTATGCTTTAAAAAAATGTATTAAAAGTATACAACATTGGAGTGTTTCATCATCATGCTCACTCTCAAATAATTACCTTGATTATTTTAAAATTTAAACTAATTATGTATGATGATTATTTACAGACTAAATATTTACAATAGTATTTAATAAAGACTAACAATATCCATTTTTAGAGCTTTCTTATATACATGTGAGAAAATATATAATCCTCTTTTTTTATACTAGTACAGTGCAGTTCAATTTCATATCGAGAGATGAATTTAAATAATGCAAAAATTGCCGATTGATAGATAGAAATATGGCTTGGAAATAAAAAAAAAGTTACATTAAACAAACTTTATTAAAAGATTTTTGATTTACTTAAGTTTAATTAAAAAGGATTAAAAAAAATTAGACATTTAAATAAATAATTCAAATATAAAAATAAACACATCGAAAACCAGTAAATTTGTTAACTATTATTCTTACGACTCTAAAAGCGATGAAATAAGAAATTATTAAGAAGAGAAGATTTAATTGCATAGAATAACATAAAAAATCGTTAATGTGATATAATAGCAATTTAATATACTTTTGAGCAGTTCATCAATCTAATAATATGTTTTTGAAAAACAGTTAGACAAGGAAACCATCTGTCACATAATGTTAAATACAGTCTAGATACAATCCAGATTTTTAAGTTCATGTTCAAATTTTAGTAAGAGGATTCATAAGAGATGGAAAACATTTTTTATGAATACTGCTCTTAACTAATAAATCGCATGACTTATTTTTGAAAAATAACAATTTCTTCTTTATATTAAAAATTATACTCCTTTATATACCTCTTAAAACCACTAACTGGGAGAGTATTTGGTATGATGAAGAATATTTCAAAGTATTCCGAAATCTAGTCAATTAAATATGGTCACCTTAATCTCACACTATATTCATTTAGTGAATCTCATACTATATTCATGAGTAATCAGGTGAAAAAGTATCATTATGTAGATGATAAAATTATATAAAATTTATGTTTTAAAATAATTTTAATGACCTAAAACCACTATTGTACCTGTAAACTGATGATGTCAGCTGTATAATGTCTTATTTCTGCTAGGATTGCTTTCTTCCTATATTCCCAGGCAAGGGCCCAGGTTGGACAATAGCCGTACATCTGCCTTGTTGCATATTTATCGCAGAGTACATTATAGCACATCACTGTCATCAAACCTAAAACAGTTTTATAATTTTATTAAGTATAATTTCATGTAAATACACCCAACACTGGGAGAATTTTATTTTAAACTATTTTGTTTTAAATTGTTTTAAATTAAAAAGAAAAATAATTGTGAACAACTGGATCTTCAAACTGGATTGTAGGACACATCCGGAGGAAGAAGGCACAGATATTGAAAAAGCTTGTGATATGAGCTTTGATGAAGATAACTTGACTATTCATGAGACAGAGGAAGAAAAACATTATTAATCTGCAAAATTCTCCAAACATCTAGGACATCACGGGGCTTTGAATCATTACCAATGATTTATTGTTTCAATGATACTATTTGAACCTTATTAGGTTTCTTAATAAATTATATTAAAAATAGAAACTATTTTTTTTTACTACATACAAAAAGTAAAAATAAAATGTCTTGTGTAAGATTTTTTTTTAGTTACATGTAAAACATATTATTTTTATTGTAGTATTAAATACTTGAGCCGTTTATTTTGCAAGTGGCCTAAATCCATTTCTCACACATAAAACACATAAGTTTTTAGATTTAGTTCAATAATTGATCCGTTTACTATGAAAGTGGCCAAAGTCCACTTATACCTAATTATTATTGATAAATTCCAAAGGTAGTGATGCAGGTAACTTTAATACATTAGTATTTGACGACTTTACCTCAGTTTTAGGACAATTGCTTTAGTTGAATAATCAATACGTTTAATTAATGCAGTTAAAAACAAATTACACAATATAAATACCTACAATTGAAATTTAACTGTATGTATATTGCATAAATTTAATATTTGTGTATATTTCATATAAAACTAAAAATTTTAAATTAAATTTTAGAAAATATTTCATCCATGGAGTTGAACAAAATGACAAGCCGACTAGTTCAGATAATGGAGAAGAATTAGGAATAGATGATTTAAAAAAAATAAATAAAGAAATAAAATTATAGAATAATATTGATCGTCAGGAGATAAAAATGGAGAAAAGATTGATGAAATATTTTTTCAAAATTCTGGATATACTATGATATATACCACCATAACATCACAATTTCTTAAAATCCCCTTCACACACAGAAAATGTAGATGACCACTAAATTTGTTTGTAGTTTCTGTAGTTAAGCAATGTTTGGATGGCCTAAATTATGTTTTTGAAGTGTTGTAAAGATATATAAAATAAATTGAGTATTATATTTTTTTTTCAATTTAAAGTATCTCAAGTTATGTTGAATGTACTTGGTCTCCTTCAAATTTTATAACGAATCTTCTTGTTAATTTTTAAAGTGGCCTAACTCATTCTTAGTAAGAAAACGTATATTATTCACTTAATAATTGCAATAATTTTAATAGGAACATAAATATATTTAACTCCTTTAGATACACTTAAGCGGTATGACTCATTGGTATCCTGTACATATATTTTTAATTGCATTGAAACGCAAACCCTTAAATATCTCAATTTAAGTATAAATGAACTTAGGCCACTTTCAAAATAAATGGCTCATTTAAATATATTTTTAGAATGACCACTATGTTTCAAATTCGAAAAAGGGCCTTGTGCTTAGTTTAAATATTATTTTTGAAATGACATACATATATGTATTTTAGTTTTGTAATAATAATAGTTATAACCTATAGTTATAATTATATAACTGTATAATATTGGTCTCTGCCACATTAAACTTAAAGTGTAAGCCCTTTTTTTAAAAAAAGTATGCATTAATTATGCTTTTGGTTCTTTATTATGGAATTTACTACACATTATGGTATTTCGTTGGCATATTTTGTTGTGTATAATCCGGGCCCTTAGTTGTGAGTAGTGATCATTAGCTATGAGTTTACATAACTACATAGATCAATCAAATACTAAATCAACACACAAACTGGGTCGATATAATATTAAAAAATGACCAAATTTTGATGTGTATACAACAGAACAATATAAGGGTCAGTTTTTCGCTATCAAATAGTAACAGCAAAGGCCTCTCCATCAACACTATTATCCTAGACAGTTGCATTCTGCTCCCCAGTTCAAAGGGAGACCAGGGCAATCCTCTGGAATTCCAGTGGAGCGATCAGAATGCCGCTGATACCCGGGGCTAGCCTTGTTCCTGATTTAATGGTTCTGTTACATTCTCTTGTTATGGTTCCGCTAATGTTTTACTGCCTTCCAAGAACCAATAAAATTCTTTTAAAGGACAGTTTGAAGATGATGAAACATCCCATTTCGAGGAAATAATTTCATAATTCTGATCCATACTCATTTAAGATGGTTAAACTCAAAAATATGAACATACATACATTAAAAAAAGAAAAGAAAAATGTAATTTGAGTAAAAAATTAATTTAAAAAATCCACGTTTCTGTCGACTACTCTGCTTAATATAACTCAACGTACTTACTATTTTGCATTTATTTCAAACGGAAACCGTTTTCTTTAATTTTGTTCCCCAATTTTTAATGTATATTAGTGCTAGTGCTAAATTCTTTATGATTTGCTGCTATTAATATTAATAGACAAATAGAAGAAAAAGTCTAAATAAAATATAGGCTTGACATTTATTCAGCCGTAAACGAAATTATTTTGTTTTTAAGTGGTGGATAGAATTTGATAAAATGAGAAACTTTCTTCATTATTTTTTGACAAACCCCTAACTTCCTTCCAACGTATGGTCAATCAGATACAGGAATTTCAAAGAAAACACTTTTGGGTATATGTAAGGTTGTTGCGATAAGGGCAAGTTCCGCTTATAGTTGTCCATATCCATTCTTTCATATCGATATTATTTTAATATTGTATCAAAAATATCGAAATCACCAATATCGAACGGCATCGAGAAAGAATCACTTTATTATCATAAAAGGGTGCTGCCCAATTACATTGGGTTGCTTTAAACACAGCATACTTATTAATCGCTACAGACAATTTTCCAAAACTAATATACAATTATATAGTATTAACAACATGTATGAGCATAATATACAATTTTTTTTTTTTGCAGTGGACGTGGTCAATAAATAATGTAAAAATGCTGTAAAACACGCATGCCTCCCTCCATGAACAAACTCTCTATATATGCACATGGTGATGGATAATTCCCAGGGAGTTAAGGATTATATTCTCCGCCAACCTTGCCACGTCCTTTATGTTGACACCAAGGCCCTCCATGAAGCTCCTTGTTGAGTTCGGTATCGTTCCGCGAGCTCCGAACCAAAGGCCTCTCACGTGGAACTCTCTGGACCCGAAACTCTCGCGAAACTTTTCACTAAGGAAAGGGATGCATTTCTCATATGTCTGTTTTTTCTCCCTTTCCACTTAAGAGATCGTCGAGATATTTAACAAATATATCGTCGGTTTGATAAAAAAAAAAAAAAAAACCATAAGGTTACTCTTCATAACCTTGAATCATTAAAAACCTTTGAGAAATCACAATCATTATATATCGTTATATTACTCGTTTTAAACGCAGTATCAATTGTTTCGCCCAACTGATTTATCATCATGCAATCGGCAAACATGTTTATTTAAATAGAATAATATGATTGGAGGCATTCAACGATTTTTTAAAAAAAGTTACATTTTCTGATATTAATAAAAAACATTGCCATGTAATTCTCGTTATATCTAATAAAATATGACTTCAAAATTAAAACTGTGTGCTTGTTGGGATTATATTTGATTAATAAGGATCATTGATATACAAAGGTTTGTGTCATTTTAGTGCATATAGAGTCAGTATCGAATATATTGATATATTGAATATTGAATATATTGACTGTCCGAGCTATATATTGTGACAATTATATTGATATTTGTACTATCTAAACAACGTTTAAAATATTGCTTCAATATTATTGGATCAATAATAACACAAAATAAAATGCTAAGCGCGATTAAATAAGTTTTCACTTAAAAAAAATTACCATACATTCAAAGAAACGTTCGTAGAAAACGTAGTTTGTTCCCCTCCCTCTTAGATCCTTCATCATTGATGATCCTGACTAAAATAAAATTACAGGGAATTTACCATAGTACAAAATACTCTAGTTGATCCTTATGTTTTTCTTATGATTTAATAAATATTGAGAAGTATCGTATTGGTTATTTGTTTGGCCATAGAACAAGGAAAAGATGAAGCTCGGAAAATACAAGAAAAATCTGTGAGAGGGGAGAGCTCTGAGGAGAAATAATGACGCGACACACTTTTCCCCCATCCAATTAATGAGGAGTCGGCCTCCTCTTCATTAACAGGCACGCCTGTTTCTTCACTTCACTTAATTTCTCTTTTTTATTATTAATACTTTTTTTTTCCTAAAGTAATGCAAGTAAATTCGAGTACTATTTCTCTTTCGCTACTTCAATATGGCAGCCGGTTCCAAGATCACCAAGTTGCAAGATCATGAACCCCACTGACTATGACCTCATCTTGTCAGTATAACAATTTTCGATATAAAAAAAGGTTGGTATCATTACGATATGAAATGCCCTTTTGAGAATTAAAAATATATTTACAAGCAGAAAGAAGGACCAATGAAAGTTACTAGTACACCTTAACGAGAACTCTTATATCAGATAGTTATTGTTCTTCCTAAGGCATCCTATGAATTAACGACATCAGCAAAACATCCTGTTTATGTTATATTTTATCTACGTATTCATATATAAAATATAATTATTATAAACAACCCCATTTGGGTCATTTCATTCATATTTTTAGTGAGAATTATTACATATCTATAATGGATTATGTTCTTAATAAGACCCTATTTCTTCTCGCAATCTTTTATTTGTATTTAATACATTATTATATACATATGCAATTTTTCTTTTTTATATAACGTTTCGGCCTTTTTGGCCATTTTCAAATTTACTAATTGCACATTTTTATACGAAGTGTCCACATTTGTATAATTTTTACTCGTCAAATTTATCCAGACAAAATGAAGTATTTCTTTTTGTCAGTCAAAAAGTTATTTGATATGGCGGTTATACTTTTCTTTCTATAAAATAAGAAAAAACTTATTTTGCTTTGCACATTTAAAAAAAAATTAATCATTAAATGAATAACATTAATCTTTAAATAAACAATATTCAATTACCAACTTTATGTAACTTTTTTTTAATTTTAAATTTTATTATGTTGTTGATTTAATTAAAATTCTTCTTAATAAAAATCATCTCGAAGAAACATTTAAACCTCATAATGACATAAATGACATACTCTCTACTACAATTGTCCAAAGTCACCTTAACGTACCCTTACCTATGACATTACCACCAAAATCAATTCATCGTTACGAAGTTCAAAATTTAATTCAGAGCTTGCCTATGAACAAGGCTCCTGGATTTGACTTAATTACGAATTTCGTCATAAAAAATTTACCTTGGAAAGCAATTCTTTTTCTAACAAATATTTACAATTCTATTTTGAGAATCACACATTTCCCCACTCTCTGGAAATATTCTGAAGTTGTCATGGTCTTAAAACCTAATAAATCTTCAGACTCCCCAAATTCCTATCGTCCGATTAGTCTTCTTCCTTCTTTTTATAAATTGTTTGAAAAAATTATTCTTCGTCGCCTTGATTCTCTCGATATATTTAAATTTATTCCAAATCATCAATTCGGCTTCAGAAAGCATCATTCAACTGTTCAACAATGCCATCGATTGGTAGATTATATTTCTAATTCTTTAGAATCTAAAAATTATTGCCCTGGAGTTTTTCTTGACATTAGTCAAGCCTTTGATAAAGTTTGGCATGAAGGATTGCTCTCCAAACTTAAAATTTTACTTCCTCCGACCTACTATCTAATATTACTTTCATATCAAACGGATAGACGTTTTGTAGTAAATGTAGGACAGAACGTTCTGACATCAAACCTATTAAAGCAGGAGTGCCTCAGGGTAGTGTCCTTGGACCAATATTGTTTGATATATATATGTCTGACCTACCGGAACACAACGACACAATACTGGCTACTTTTGCAGACGATACCGCAGTACTAAGCTCAGATAAAAACCCTGTTCGAGCAACTACCATCCTTCAAAATCATCTGAACGATATTGCAGACTGGGCAACAAGGTGGAAAATTAAGATGAATGAAAAAGAAAGTGTGCATGTGGTATTCACTCTTAACCATAAACCTTCCTCTGAAATATATTTTAATAACATTCAAATCCCAACATCAGATGTAATTAGGTATTTAGGTTTTTACCTGGACAAAAGACTTACTTGGAAGACTCACATCAGACAAAAACGAATAGAATTAAACAGACGATACGGTCTCTTATCCAGATTACTTGACAGACGTTCAAAATTATCTTTAACTAACAAACTAACCCTTTATAAAGTCTTATTTAAACCTATTTGGACTTACGGCATAGAACTGTGGGGCTCTGCTAAAACTTCCAACATTAAAAAAGTTCAGTCCTTTCAGTCAAAAGTGTTGCGAAGGATAGTTGACGTACCTTTTTATGTCGCAAATGACACACAACATAAAGACTTAAACGTACCTACAATTTTAGATACTGCAAAAGAGAACTACAATAACTTTCACCAAAGACTGACGTACAACATGAATCCTCTGACAGAAATCCTTCATCGTACAAGAAACCCGTACAGCCCACAACGACGATTACGTAGGCGTTGGCCAAGAGACCTGCTGATTTGATTTATATCCCGGACGTGATGGGAAGCTGTGAAGCTGCTAAAAAAATTTGCTTATTGCAAAGAAATTTGCAGATTGCAAATTTAATCTAATGTTCCACATTTTTGTTTGGTTAATAAATAATAAATAAAAATTTCAAATAAAAGTTTGTTCAGATTTTATTTTTTTAATTATGCATTTCAAACCCTGTATGTAGCTGTTATCCTCGCATAACAGTTATCTTCGCATTTTCAAGAGATGTTGTTTTTGTAGAATACTATCATAAATACCAATATTTTAATTTTGAAAACCTGAAAATATGATAAGTAAACCATCGCAACTATACTACCTAAGTGGCTTCCGGCAAGATTTACGATTCATCACGAAAACGGAACACTATATGTGCTTGTAACCAGCGATGGTTACAAAAGAAGGTATGCTTCAAAATCTTTAAAACTAGTCTATATCCCTTCCCGATAAGTAAACTTTTGAAACCATGTGAGTTTTGATTGATTGCATATTGATACAATTTTTTCAATGGCTTTTATTAAAGTTTTCGTAGGAATTAAAGGATCTAAATTGGGATTCTCCACTTCCCCGTCAAATTCCCTTTCGTTTGATGCCTCATTTATTAAAATCGATCGCTCCTGAGAGCCGGAAAAGGGATTTAAAGTACCGCATTATTTACAGGACACTAGACTAAGAGGCACTAGCGGATCCAGGATTTAATTTTTGGGGGGAGGGCTTCAGCCCGAAAGATTTTTTTTCATATACATATAACGATAATTAATTTGAAAAAAATTAACTACTTATATGAAATTGTGTTTAAGTGGTTCTTGAAGTGCTATTAAATATAATTACAATAAACAAGAATACTTTAAGAGATAGTTTTTAATATTTTTTTCTGTAAAACATGGTTATATTTTACCATTTTGGGGGAAGGGAAAGCCTCCCTTCCCCGTATATCCGCCTGTGTTCTGAGGGGAGAGGAGAGGATGTTTCTATACAAAACTTTCAACAAAAAAGTCCGCTAGAACCATGGGCCGATTCCGAACGGAAATGGAGTAAAGACCAATTTTGTGTTTTTCTTAACGTGGTCACGTTTTTATTGAATTAATAGTAATTTCTCAAGCATTGTTTAAGATAATTAAATTCTAAGTATAACATGGTAAAGTAGACAACATTTCTTGAGATAAAAGAGATGACGATAAAATGATAAAAGAGATTTTCAGGAGTTCTAATACAACCGCTGTACAGAGAAAAGCTGCTCGGGTATGAGTACAGTAACTGCAGCATTACAGCGGCCATATTAGACCTTATTGACCTCACTAAAAAATTTAATTACTGTTTTCTCAAAGAAAATTGTGTCTACTTTACGACGGTGTGCTTAGATTTTAATTATCTTGAACAGTTTTTGAGCAATTCCATCTTATTCAATAAAAAAAGTGACCACCTTAAGAAAAACACAAAATTGGTTCTAAGTCCTTTTCCGTTCGGAATCGACCCATGCATCACATGAACTTTTAGGAAATTTTGTCTAGTATCACTCCCCAGAGTTTGGCATTGAAGAACTAAGACACCTTGTATAGTGCAGATTAATTACTATGTAGATATAGAGACAGTTGATGTAGGATTGATTCAACCGTATATATATATAGACCTAGCCGTCCATGATTTGACAGAGGCATTAGTATTCAAGGCGGGGAGCCAAGGGTTAGGGCCTATAGCTTGGATTGACAGCTCCTCTGAACGCTTAGCTACTAGCATGTAACGGCAACTACAGTGAGATCGGGAAACAAGCGTTTCCCAACTTAAGCCCGGGTCGGAATTAATGATTAAAATATAACTTTGACGACTGCAAAGCAGCTTTTAAGGAAGGATCCCAACAAAGATGATTAGCATTCTACTGTCTTGTTTCGTTTCTTACCTCGACTACTAATATAGCACTCGTCGATATAAGATTTGACAATCTATTATTTTTCCGAATAAAACCACACTATGAAATCAATTTAAAAAAAAATAAAGTCCATGCTTTAGGCCACATGATAGAAATTAAAACATCAACAAGGTGAGGTTAATAATATACAATATAAATTATAAATAATAGCTTATTACAAAGAGGATGAAATGCTGAACATTCTCCTTACTTACAGTATGCAGGTCCGATTTTTAGCTTTTAAAATATTTTAATCCAAATCTTCCATTAAATTTGTTATCATTTGGTTTTCGACAACATTCCTTCATTTTCGCCGATCTAACACGGCGTCGCGTTAATATACAATTTTGAATAATAGCCCATTACAAAGAGGATGGAATGCTGAACAACTCCCATGCTTACAGTATGCAGGTCCGATTTTTGGTTTCTGAGATATTTTAATCCATATCTTTAATAAAACTTGTTATCATTTGGTTTTCGACACTATATTTTCCCTTTTCGCCCCTCTAACATGGTATCGCGTTAAGATAAATTTTTCAATAATAGCTCATTACAAAGAGGATGAAATTATGAACATTTCCCTCTCTACCCATATGCAGGTCCGATTGTTTTTGAGATATTTTAGTCCAAATGCAAAAACACTTCAATTAGTCGACTCCAGCCGACTTTACCCGAGCGTGAAATATGACGGCTCAATCTAATTCACTTTCCATAAAAAAAGTGCAAAACGAGCCTAAAGAAAGTTATTACTTTAAAAAGAAAGAAAAATACTGGAAAACAAACCTTCAACTCTCTTAAATATCAGTGAATAATTTACCAGTTGACGTTTATTTAACACATACACCCACACACTTGGGAATTTCTCTTTTTGAAATTATTGTTCAAGATAAGTATCATCATATGAATAGGCAAAGGCCCATTGACGAACTCTAGTATTATCTCTCTGTTATGTAAAAAAGTTTTTTTTGACTGTCATATTTTATCTTACGAATATATAGCGGGACGGACCGTAAAAAAGACACCATACTTCTTATTCCTGCATATTATGCATTTTTTTTTTTAATACACTTATATTAACTTAATGTTTCTATTCATTAATTTGTGTTTAGAACTAGTTTTTTTTTTAAATATTTGTAATTATAATACTCTATATATTTTCGTGTTCTCTATATAAATCCTGATTCTGATTACAAGTCAATTAGTTTCATACTTACAAGAAGGTTTAGTCGTGGACGGCCTAGCTAATGGTATCCAAGGTCTTTCTGGTGGTTGAGGTGCTCGCACTGAAACAATAAAAGATTATGTTATTAGCTTATTCATACTCATACTTGTTTGAAAACTTTTATAACATATTTATGTATGGTTTATATAATGAAATGAAAATATTTTTTACATTATAAATTTAAAAGAACTGTTGTCCCTTTAGAATAAATTATAAATACAGATATACATATACAGCTATACATTAAATTAAATATTTACAACACAATAGTTAATTAAAAATAAAAATACAGACAGAAAGAGAGTCGCTTGTGCTACCTCCTTCAAGAATTCTTTACCCATCTCCATACATACGGCAGTCCGCATCCTTAAATTCCTTCAAACAACTCTTATTCCACCACCTACTTCATTTCCAAACTTCCGTACCTACGTAATACTTATTGGATTCTGTAATTACAACTTATCACTAACAATTAATCGACAAATTTCATTTAATTTTTTTTCATTTATTTATATACTTTTTCTTTGAATACATGTAAACCATATAAAATGTACTATTCTTAATGGACTTTATTCCCAGAATAAAATTAATTTTTTCTTCTTTCTTCTTAAAAAAAAGAGAGAGTGGCAGAGGGGGGAAAACAAAAACCATACATACATAGGAAACTAAAATAACATAAGTAAACAAAAATAGTCTCTGGGGAGTACTTAAAGAGTTGTCTTAGGTACATTTCGTGATCAATTGGATTGGGAAAGGGTTAGAAGCTTAAAGAGGAGGGATTTGAAAGAGGAAACTGAATGTACGTGTCGAATATGGGAAGAGACAGAATTCCAGAAGGAGACGGCTTGAATTACAAGGGGTTTGTCACAGCAGTCCGGTGGGAAGGATTGAGGTCGGAATTACGAGATCTAAACCCTTAAATAAAGGTTAGTTATTTTAGTCTGGTTCTTGGACTATTGAAAAAATAACAATTTAGAAATGGAGCAGTAAAATAACCGAAAAAAACGGTTACCCGAAAAGAAACAAACAGGTTTTCGATCAAACCAAATGGTTATTTCTTAATTTCAAGGTCTGCTAAGTTAGCAAATAAAATAAACAATACTTTACTTTTCAATAATTACAAAAATTTTAAGTAAATGTTTCAGATGTTTCTAACAAATTTCGATCGAATTTCTATGCAGCCAGTTCATTTTGGAAAGAGTCATTTATGACTTGATAATAATTAACTAAAACTAATAATAACTATACCAATATTATATTATGTTTACTTGTATTTTTCCAGTGTATCAGTCATTTTATAAGACATATTTGGTAATTTGAAGACAGTAAATAGTCAAATTTTATTACTAATAAAATCCTAAGCTTTAGATCAAGTAATTACAAAAGCAGCTTTAAATATTCAGAATAATTATTCAGAATATAATATAAATAAATATATTATTCATAAAAGTTCAAATAAATTATAATCTACTATTTTTTTGACTATATACTATTGTTTTCTAGCACGTTGCTCACCCCTAACTGGACGGAGGGTGAGTACCGAACTCGATTAAGGCCCAACGTGTCTGATCTGATTTCTAGAACCATGTAGTTGAGAATCGATAGAGCAATCAGCTTAAAAACAACCCCACTACTTCAGGCTTAATCGTCAGCTTCGTAAAAATTTATTATCCAATTTACTTATTTTTTAATTATTACCAAATTGCTGATTAAAATACTGATATATTTTTTTTCACTGCATTAGCTAAATGCTCCTTAGTTTAAAACGCCATTACTTAGATGTTCAATTAATACTTATAACACCAATTTACTCTAATAATACTTGGAAATACTTGACTAATAAGCACTACTTATTTATAAAAGTGTCTTGTTAAATAGGGTTAATAGCCTTAAAAAAACTAAACTTGGACTAACAACTTGGAAACGGTTAATCTAAGGCTGGGGTCTCTAAACTTTTTGGCCCGCGGGCCTCATTAAGACCTCCACTAAGCCCCGCGGGCCAATGCTTGTGATGGAAATAAAATGCATGTTCTATAAATGTCTCCAGTTGTGAAATGAACTTTGTAAGAAAAACAACTCATACAATAAATGTTATAATAACGCCGTGTATGAGTGAATCACTAAATTTCCCAATTTTCAAAGATACTTTCGCAGGGCGGATTGGAGGTTCTTGCGGGACGCGGTTTGAAGACCTTCTAATCTAAGGGAACAACATGATTCCAAGGTTTTCAAAAATTAAAGATTAGAAAATTGAAATGAAGGAATCGTCCGAGACATAACCAAAAACAATTAACAGTTCTCAGCATCAAAACTCCTATATATATTTCAGCTTTTATAAATAATACAAAACACTCTTGTTTATGACATATACAAACTACAAAACTGTTTTTTATCGGAAAGTTTTAGAGCAAATTCATTATTATTTTTTTTACCAACACGAAATAGACGAGTTTGTGTTATACTGTTAAATGTGTATAATTCTGAATTAAACATGATCATAATTACGATTCAAAAAATATTCCTTAGATATTATCCGCCAGCACACCCAGGCAAACAGCCGAGGGACCGAACCAGAGAGCCACATTCGCTGGGACACTAACAAGGGGTAGGATAGAGTAATATTTTTCCTGGAGTAACTGCTTCCAACAGGAAGAGTAGCAGTGAGGCCCTTTCTGCTTGTTTTTGTTCCTTCTCATTTAGATCAGGCAAACTTTAGTCTATTGCTGCTCCCGCTCCGCTTGGAATAAAGAATCCCAAACTAAACCCTATGGGGAAAAACAAACAGGAAAATAAAAAATAAACAAGTCCTTTTAACTCGAACCCGTAAAGGGATTTTGTTAGGGAAAAATCCTCATCAGTTGGATCAGTTTTGTCTAGTTCAGAGGATGCTAGGTTGTTCTCTTCCAAACAAACAGTATCCTATATACTACTATTTGTTACCAATGGCCGCTGGCGAGGTAACAATTCTTCAAGAAGACAAAGGAACGATATCGGGTAAATAAAATGGCACAACTAAACTATTTACTATTACTTATTTAATCATATACTTGCATTCAATTGCTAATTATATACAATACTATGTGCGTGCTTAAATAGCTTATTTCACAAGAGTAGGATTAAGAAGTTTAAGGAACGTATCTTGTTAATAAGATAATCCTGCAATCGAAGTTTTACAATGTATTGACTAAGTCTAGAAAAGATGAATTCGTGTGCGTTATGAAGGTGAATTGAGGAGGAAATTGAACGTTCATATTTTTTAAACCTTCGATAATTTGCAGGAGTTTAGTTGAACGGTGTTTTGAGGTGAATGAGGCTTGTGACGATTATTAATGAAAATAAACGAGTTTTTAGGAAGTCTGATAAACGGATTTTTAGTTAATGAGGAAGTATTGCTAGGAGAAAGCATTTACAGCGAGAGCTGTAATCGAAAAAAGGGAGAAAAAGGAGCGTTTCTTTACTTACCCGTTAACAGCCTTCTTTTTAACCGAGGCTTTTAATTAAAGAGCTCCTTCAACATTTGAAGGGCAAAGGAAGCGCGATAATTATTCAAATTAATTTCTACTAATGGCTTTAATGCTAACAGGTAGGCCTTCGCTCCGGTATTATTGTGAGATTTCCGCCAGCCTCTGAAGAAGGGAATGGAACCAGGAGTGGAGCAAGAACCTTTCAAAACGCAAACAAGAAGAGGAGGAAAGCGGCCGACGAAGAAATATTAAGAGGAACAACCAATAGCTTTACTCGGACAAAAAAAGATATTTTTTTTAACCAACTGAAAATTCTATTAAACTAAAGGCGACTCAATATATATATATATATATATATATATATATATTTTTTTTTTTTTTTTTTGTTGATTTGTTTTTCTGAAGGTCTATCTTCATAACAATCTTTTTTTTTTTGTTCGTCCCTACCTCGCGTTTTAGGCTATACGGTATTTTCTCGGGTCAGAGGGTGAGGACGGGAAATTTAAAATCTCCTCCAGCACCGGGAGGCGAACTCGTACTTTTCTAATCTCATAACTTCGGTTATATGGGTGCCGGACAACTCGCGGTGCTGTGCACACACGTTAGCTCTTCGGCCACCCCGCAAACATAACCCATTCAAGCACCAATTTTAGGATGAGGTATCAGTGTATGCTTCTATCCAATCAAATAGACCACTATCCAAACAACGAGCTATAACACATCTGCGTTAAAAAAGAAAAAAATGAACAGGCACCTACATCTAACCATACTACATTTTTAATTTCTTTCTTGTTCTGTTTCTTGAAACGAGAACGTATGCACAACGATTCTGAATATTTCTCTTTTATCAGATAGTCTACCTAATATCAGATCATTTGCATTATTAAATTCTGATGCTATTGCTTGGTTGAGTACTATTATATTATTAGATATTTATCATTTTTAGAAGGTTTATCACTAGTGATTCGGTAACATAGGTAAACCGATAATGCTGATCCACTATCCTCCCACGTGCGGTTTAGCAGGGCCTGCAGAGCACGTGGTCACAACCTTTATCACGTTCGAAGCATCGAGGGCCACGATGAACCGCGGAAATTCACGTCATAGCTTCATATTAGTATAAGTAAATCCTTGGGATGTTGCTTCCTTTTCACAGTGTTGGGTAAATTCAAAGTGTCCAAAGGAGTTCAGCAAACGATCATGTTGTTTAGAATTTTGAAGTTATCAACCGTGAAGCGCAACATATATTTCCTCAGCTTAGAAAAATAGCAAATCATGAGCACCTAAATGCTAATAAATAAGTGCTAAATAAGTCCAGATCCAAAAATGTTAAGTAAGTCTAAGACAGGACAAGTCTTGGGCTAAACATCAAACGTATCCAATCTTTCTATCTAGCCGTAAGTCCTTCAAACAATAATCGATGCTCCATATTACGTTACAAACAAAAGTTTACACAATGAACTCAATATCCTTTACGTCATTGGCGTTATTAGACCCAGATCCTAATCCCTTATCACAATCTCAATCCAGTTCCAGTCATCCTTACAATCTTCCTCGGAGTTTGAAACTGTAGTGGCCTCAAGATCTTATGTAAATATTTCATTTGAGTTCTGGCAATCCAATTTCTGCAATCAAGTCATTAGCGTCTGTGGCTGTAGTGCCCTCTTCTAGTGTCTAGTAGATTCCCATATTGGCGCGGCGGAGAGAGAAGCACTGGGATCTATCTGAGTCTTGTCTTGTCCTCTACAAGTGGGGGAAAGGGTCAGACTCGGAGATGTCTAGATTGACTAAAAATATTGTAATCTTTTGAAGGAAGTTAGTCAACTGTTCTACATATCATGAGTGATAAATATTCAGGACGCAGTCTTTTTTTAAAATTTTTTTTATTTTTGCCAACGTTTCAACCCAAACATGTGGGTCATCTTCAGGGCGTGAAATGAGCACTGAAGATGATCCACATGTTTGGGTTGAAACGTTGGCAAAAATAAAAAAAAATTTTAAAAAAGACTGCGTCCTATATAAATATTGTAATTAAGTACGATTTTTTTTTGTTTGTTTTATTTCTTAGTTAAACATACTTTCTTTTATTTTTGTCATTGCATATAGATATGTCATATATAGCTCTAATACCTAATGGCTCTTAAGTATGGTAGAATGTATTATATTTTTAATATATATATATATAATATTACTACAATTAAAACAGTTAATCAATAATAAAAAATACAACAGAAAGAACAAGCAAAGGGCGTGTTAAAAGCTACAGGCCACCCAATTATCTGAGCAATACATCAATCAATCTCAAGTGAAAGCAACTAACTTCCCCGTTCACCGGGAAATTTCAGATGTTCCATTGGCGGCCGGAACACCATTCCCCGACAGCTGGAAATCCCTTAAACGAGCTTTAATCCGCAGCAAGGACAACAACAAAAGCCTGTTGGTGGCTTTTTGTTTATCAGTGGCTGTTAATCCGTATAACAGTGTTTTCAATAGGGCGGGGAGGAGGGAGGGAGGAGGGCTCATCCTATTATCTGACCAGAACTCCTATTGGAACGGCTAAGCCAGGGTCTGCGGTTGTTGGCGGCGTCCTTCTCTCCGAGGAGCCCTCAAAATATTTTAAAGCAGATTAAATGGTTTTGAGCGGCATCTATTGGGAGCTTGCTGTAATTAACAATTCCATTTGACCACGTTTCGCATTCGGATAAATTTACTTAAAATTGATTCGGTAATGATAGATTTGAGGAACTTCCAAAATTCAAAATTTTTATGAGTTAAAAAATAATACATCACGACCGCAAGAACATGGTGTGGTATGCTATCGGAAGTGACTTCATCATGAAAATATTTGGTTATTTTATTTTCATAAAGTTATATATCAGATAAAAATTTTTTCGATCATCGCTTCTGTAACGAGAAACAAAGATAAGACTATAGTAAGACCAATTGTGACATGGACCCTTTGTACAAGCACAATTAGTATGCTGAATATTTTTGAAAGAAAAATATCGAGAAGAATTTATGAAAAAGGGTGTGTGGAGGTATCGAAAAAATGCGGAGCTATATGAATCATATAATAGCGGCAACATAGTTCATTTCGTTAAAACTAGACGTATGGAATGGTTAGGGCACGTGGTTAGAATGGACCACAGCAGGATGCCTTATAGGGCATAGTTCTCTAGAATGTATGGCACAAAAAGAAGGGAAAGTCCAAGAAAAAGATGGCTACAAGATGTTGAGAGCGACATTAGAACACTGGGCGTGAGAAATTGGAAGGAAAGAGCGATAGGGATGATTGGCATGCTATAATTCAGGAAGCCAAGGCCCACCCTGGGCTGCAGAGCTACATAGTAAGTAAGTAAGTAATATATCAGATATGCTAGACAAATTGAATATGCTACTATTAAGATTACTGTTAATTATCCATAGAGAGTTATTGGAAGAAGAAAAAAAAAGCCTTAACAAAGTCTCTGAAGTAAAAACCTAATTAACCAATGTTTCAATTGAAGCATTTTCAGGGATGAAAAAGAAAATATCAGCAACGTACATGATTTGTGGTGAAAGCTCATATAAAAGTGAAAAATAATTATGTATTTAATCAGGTAATTGAGTATTGTCACGAAAGCCGCCCCCGAAGCTCTTAAATCTGTTAGCGGAGAAATGAGAACAGTCTGCGAAGATGTCATCTAAAGGAATACGGATAACAAGTTGAAATTATATATATATATATCCTTCCGAATTTGCAAGGACAAGTTTACTTAAAAGTCAAACAGAGGAACGCAATAAGGTTTCTCCTACGAGATAATATATAGTGACTGGAGCAAGAAGGAAAATACACGCTTAATAATTTAAATGGACTAGAAGATCTTTTCCACATTTTCGTTTGATGCCCAAATTACTCCAAGCCACCCGGATTATCTTACCTCAGCCCGAAGGGGATAATAAGTAAACTCTAAATTTTATTTTTCTAATAACTAACAGGTACGCGATAAAGTAAACTCGAGGAGCGAAATGACTCGAGAGGGAGACAATCGAGTGCCTTGAAGGTGGGCGAGAAGTGGATCATAAATCAGAGCTAGGGGTAGGGTCTTAGCGAGAGCCCTTCCTCGAGAAGTCCTCAGGATCCCGGGAAGTCCTCCAGCAACCGAAGGGCAGTCTTTTCCAGGAACTGCTAGTTAAAGGGCCACTCGAAAGAAAAAAGACCAAAATTAAATTTGGAAAGTATCGGATCCATATAAGCAGTTAAAAAAAAAAGTAAAATAAAAAACACGCATTAAAAAATGAGGCTAAGAATATATCAAGTAATTTTTTTTTTATCATAAAAATCAATTGGAATATAATAGAGCAACATAACACGTGAGCTTTAGAGAAAAAGAATATGATTAAAGTGAGTGAAGAAACAGGCGGAATCATACTATAAATAAATGAAACCGGTTATTTTATAATTTTATATGGTTTGAATGTTAATTTAGAAGGACGGTCTGGAAAAAAATATATCCTTTAATTTCCTTAAGTTGAAAAATTCAAAATTTAATTTAGCCATCATAGACCTGGACCGGGGGCCATTTTTAATCAGATATTTTTCAATATTAAACTATTATAAGCATTCATAGGAAAGTTTCTCCTTTCTTATTATTTTTTCAAGGAAATTTACGTTAATCGTTGATATAATATGAGAAGGAGTTGATCGGGGTGTGAGGTCAAATAAATACTACATTAAACAAATAGTATTATTTAATTTTTGCCGACGTTTCGACCCACTTTGCAGGTCTTCATCAGGGCTACAAAAGATACAAAACATGGTGAAAATAAAATAAATGGATATAAGTAGATATAATACTAGATAAATATTCTACATATATAATACTATAGATATTCTACATATATAATACTTGATATTTTAACTACATTGTCACCCACTATATCTCTGATATCATCTTTTTATTTCTCTATCAGACAACTTCTTCTTATTTTATATCTACTTATATCCATTTATTTTATTTTCACCATGTTTTGTATCTTTTGAAGCCCTGATGAAGACCTGCAAAGTGGGTCGAAACGTCGGCAAAAATTAACTGGTTTAATTTAGTATTTGTTTAATTTAGTATTTATTTGACCGCACCCCCCGATCAACTCCTTCTCACTTTAATATTTTTCTTTAATTGTCATAGAAATAATTATGAAAACAAGGCAAAACACGATTTCAATTAATATAAATTAGTAACAAATTAATCGAAGGACAGAAAATAAATGTTAGGTAATAATTTGCAACTATTCCAACACACACAGCCTTACGTCTCCAAAATGCAGGCAATCCAAAAATAAACCCGTCAACGTTTCGCCAATTCAGGCATCATCACAGATGTCATGGAGTGATGTTCGATTTTCTGGTTTTTTTTTCTGTCTTTCTGATGATGCCGGAATTAGCGAAACGTTGACAGGTTTATTTTATTTTTTTCCTTCATTATCGAGATGTGAGGCTGTGTGGTTTGGAATTTTTTTTCAAATTATAAGCTAAAATTTTATTTAAATTTAAATTGAACAGTTAATTCGAAGTTAGCGACAGGTACATTTTTAAGACAAATGATCATTAAATATGTTTGATAAATTTAAATTGAACCAATCAAGTAACCCAATTTAATGAGATGTTTACTGTCGTTAGCAATTTCGGTACCCGAGGGGAATCCGAATGACGACTGATTTAATTGGGTACCTTGGAACACGGGAGGGAAAACTAGACGGCTGGAGGGTGGTATGAGCCGGAAATTGGCGGAGAAGGGCGGAAATCAAGGACCGGATTCAATTAGCATACTTCCTTTTTCTTCAACCCGGGGAAATAAGGAGGATCTGAGGGAATGCTTCCGCAAAATCTGAGTAGATGTTGCCCTTTTAAGCTTAACGCGGAATGTGCTTGCAGTGAGTAATGAAATAAAATTCATTTGCTTTAAGTTATAATAAATTCAAAATAAGCAAACATATTGCCATTCAAAGAAAAAAACAAACAAGTATCATAGCGATATATCTGAAACTCTTAATTAGAAAAACTTTAAAGAAGTATATTAACTTCCACTCTTAATATCATTTTCACGAAGTTCAAAGTCTTCAAAAAGGTTATGAATTTTTTTTTTTTCTTTCTATTTATTTCACTTTAGATTTATTACATAAAGTTTTATTAAATCTCGTTTCTATTAAATCAAAACACATAGCTAAAAAAAAAGATGAAGGAAAGAGAACATGATTCTATTTAATTAATATTTAAATTACAAAAAGAGGCATTATCGTTTCTTAGTTCAAAGAGAATGGATTCAAAACAAGATTTAAAATTTTTTTTTTTATAAGATTCGTAAAATATAGACCAACAATCACCAGCTCTGCAAATTAAAATGTCTTTTTGAGTATTTTTTAAATATAGACACCCATTTAAATATACCAGTAAAACTGAATTAAAAATAACTTTCTTGTCAATTATAGTCTCACGAATATTCAGAATACAAACACAATTTTTTTTTAAAAATAACTTTTTCTTAAGCATGCAATAAAATTGCGCTAAAAATCTAGTTTATAAAATAGAAGAATGAACCTTAGATAGGACATTATGGAAAGAAGTCATCCAAGCACTTTAGGTTAAGGAAACCCACTATTAGTGGAAATTCCTAGTAAAAAAAACAAGAAAAAAGAAACGTGTTTTCTTGTAAATAGTTTCTGTTCTTACAGGTTTTTGTGATTTGTCAATCACTTGTCAATATTTTTATAAAATTCTTTTTATTGAATACAAATTTTAAAATACGAAATCCTGTTTAGAAAATAAAAATATTCGATTATCGTTTAGCATAATATTTCTCCATTTTATATTTAATTTTTTTTTAACATTTCCTTTTGTTAATTTAATAATTAAATTAATTTATTATATTAATATGTTATGTTGGTTATACTTATTGAAGTTTTAATCAATTTATAAATTTAAAACTAACAAGAATATTTTTTAGGAAAAGAATATTTTTGGCGTTTCGAAAGCAAATAGAAAAAGCGGGTCTTAAAAAAATGGTTCATTACACAAATTTTAAGACCGGTTCAAGAGTTCCTATTTATTTTATAGATTTTATCAATAATCACTGCAACTCGTATATTCGTTTATTTGAAATGTTATTAATTATTAGATGAGTCTTTCAGATGACAGAATGACGAACTCAAATTTCAACATTTTCGAGGAAAGTTATTCTAGTGATATTTGTAGTTGGCAAATTTATATTCGTACAGACAGTGAGTAATTTGAATCCAGAGTAGGTGATTGCAGTGTTTAAATATAGAAGTGCGAATAAAGATAAACATTTTTCCACAAGAAATATCACCAAAATTAATAACCAAAAATGTTGAA